GGCTGGGCGGTCCCCGGCCCCTCGGCCCGCCTCTGCGCGCGCCCGCAGCGTGCGGGTGGGCACGCAGCAGGACGAAGATGCCTCGGGAACAGGGCTACGGGACACTCACCGTCCCTTCCCACGGCATCAAGAGCAGAAAATCAAGCTCACGTAGATGGAGATATTAACTAGTCCATACCCCGTCGTTACTTCGTCTTAACGTACTGCGGACACACTTCTCTGCCAACTCTCCGGGACCAGCCGCTGTCCATGTGCTGCGGGTCTTAATGCCATTTTCATACCTCAGGGAGTACTGTATGATTCCGGGGCTGATTGGGAAGAAGACAGTTTTGCCATCCAGTCGGAAAGAAAGTCCAGCAAATAACGTGTTAATGCTACATGGAGATGAATGTCTTAACCTCGGGAAAGCTAATTTTTGCTGAAGCTTTAGTTTTTTTCCCCAAGATTAAGAAGGCTGTTGATGAACACACAGGTACTTTAACATCAATAAAATGCTCCCCGAACTGGCCAGAGGTCCAAGCTCCCCTTCCCTCGCAAGTCTCCTTCTTCTTATCCACCTGAGTTCTCTATTTTATGTGCTTAGAAACATGCTCAAAATTTCCATCTGCAGCAAACATTGAAGCAGAAACCACCTTTCTCTCTTTGCTGCAGGGCCAAACACACTTCCACTAAGCTGAAGTCTCACCGTAAGTGTACACTTACCCACTCCTATATGGTTTCTCCACATCGTTGCAGCGCTCGGCCTTGGCAGTTTTTGCAATGCTTGGCTCCCAGCCACTGTCCTAACAAGGAAGCCCTTCACACGGGCCCGCCTGCTCCGCGCACGCTAAGCTCGTTGGTTTAAGGTTGCTACTCCTTGAACCTGCAGCGTTTTCTCAGACACCTAGGCCTGTAAGTTCCTGCTCAGGTTTTTCTCCTGCGCAGGATGAACTCATCTCTCAATAGCGTGGTTTACAAGTATTTCTGCACAAAGGCTTTCCCACCGCAAAGCAGAATCAGACACACCTTTTTGTACTTTTTAATACTACACTTTGCCACTTACCTTTAATACAAACATTCTTCTTGGATGAGTACTGGCTAGGAATGAAGCCTTTTCAATCTTTTCTCCAATGCCGGGAAAGTGCGTGGACAGACTGTAAATAATCAATACGTTATGTAATTGTCTCACAAAAGTAAAAGCTCTTGTAGTATGTTTTGACTAGCCTTATCTAACAAGCTTGAATTGTAAAGTTCATTTTACTTAATACAAAAATTCTTTAAATCAAAAATCTTTCTTGGTAAAGCAAAAAACTAAGGCAAAGATTTTATTTGTCTTGTTGCAAACAGACAGTGAAAATCATTATTTACAATCCAACTGCAGGAAAGTATCTAGTTTCTGAAGGAAAAACTCTTTTAATATTTTAGTAGGCAGGGAACATACTGCATGTATTCCATGTAATAGTCCAGCATAGTGATGGTGAACCTCTTAGAGGTTCCAGTAACCAACAGAGCCAGGCGTGGTGGCGCACGCCCGTAATCCCAGCGCTTGGGAGGCTGAGTCAGGAGGATCTTGCAAGTTTGACACCAGCCTGGGCTAGAAAGTGAGCTCAAGGCCAGCCTGAACTGCATAGCAAGACTCTGTCTCAAAAAGACAAAAACAAAACAAAAACCAGCCAGCTGTGGCAGGCATGCCACAGGTTTGGCACTAGTGGCCAACCTACTGGTTATCAGAATGCACTTTGCCCTAAGTGCCTCACTCAAATCTCAGCTCTGTCAGTTACCATTCTGGGCCTGTGCAACCTCTGTGCCTCAGTTTATCCGTAAAATAAAATGAACGATACCTGCAATGTTTACCCATTTTGTATACTTTCACCTCTCTAATAATGAAAACTGATATAACCTCTCTGTCCTTTATTTCCTGGCCTCTACTGAAATTAGAGACACATTCGTAAACTAACAATGCCACAAGGCCCATAAGCAGTTGATTTTTCTTCTTATAACATCTACATAACTAGAGGTAGCTTGAAACTTCCATGAAGGTGAACTAGATTGTTTCCAACACTTCAGTGCATTTCCTTTTGAGGGAATAAAGATCCTTAATCAAAAGTTCTTAGTTCTTAGATGGAACCTAGAAATTTATTTTCTTGAGAGTCTTGCTCAGGTTGGCTTTGAATTCAGGTTCGTCCTGCCTCAGCCTGCTCAGGAGCTGAGATTAGAGGCAAGCTCCAAGGTGCATGGTTAGAAATTTGCATTTTCAAATGTCATTAAAGATGAAGCTCTCTGAAACAGGTGATCTTTGGACCACACTCAGAAATGCTGATTTAATCTCTACCAGGGTTTTCATGCTAGGGTGCACCTTAGAATATTTTTTACAATTTTATAAAAATAAAGGTTATTGAGCATTCATTACCCCACAGAGTATGATCTCAGATTCTTAAAAACTTTGTGGTTAATATACACATTGTATATTTTATTCCTTGAAAATACTTCTAGGTGCTTGACAGTTAAATGTGATTTTTTTTTTTTCAGACAGCAAGGCCCTTTATGTAACTTAACGGACTTGGAGATGGAAAAACAACGGTCCAGGAAAAGGATCACCAACCTTGTCAATAGATGCTGAAAACAGAATCTTAATTTCTTGAAAATCTTTTCCATGAATCTTTTTTTCAGCAAAATGATGATAGTGTTATATTAGTAAAGATGTTTTTAAAAAGTCACTGGTCATTAATACTAAGATTATTCACAGTGCTTGGGAAAAACCAATATACCCAACTGCTACGACATTACCATCTGTACAGCGTTAGGCATGGAAGCTATCTTACATTCAGGTGAAAGACTGAAGGCCGTAGTGACAGGCAGTAGCATGAGAAATGTAGAAATGGTGCCTCCTAACTGCCCAATCTAGTCTTTCCCATTATTCTTTCTACTTCTTCCGTCCAGAAATGCACTCCCTAACATCCTTTTTACTTTTAACTCATTTGATGGCAAATTATTATCTGTAAATGGCCAGACAGTAAACATTTTAGGCTGTGCAGGCCTAGACTTCCTTTGAAATCACCCAACCCTAACGCTGTAGCACAAATGCACCCAGTTGTGACACTGCTATTGTAAAGCTTTTACAAAACCTGGCAGTGGGCAGGGCTGGACTGAAGACTGCAGTTTGCCGACTCCTGCTGTGACCAAATCGCTTTATTTAATTGATTGTCAGGATCGGACGTCAGGGATTCCTCCCTCAAGTGAGGGAATATTACTGCTTCATGAAACTGAAATCACAAAGCAAATATAAATGACTTGAGGGACCAGAATTAGGTCCTTAGGGAGATTTTTCCTTACTATACTTTAGTGCTACTATGTACAGTTTAAGCCAGATGACAAGCTACTATACAACAGAGTATTAAAAAACGTGTTTATTTTACACTATGTACAATCAGGAACATATTTAAAACCATCATCAATTAAAATAAATGAAGACCATAAATCACAATTTAGTTTGTTCTTAGTGTATATATATTCACATTAAAATATAAAGAACATATACCAAAAAGACCCCAAAGTGTAAATTTGCTAAACTTCGTTTATACATATTCCACTGGAAAAAGGAATAAAAAATGACTTTAACCAAAACTAAGTTCCTGTGATGTGTAGTAACCATTATATTGTTTGTATGAGGTAGTAACTAAATTATTTTGGCCATGTGTTAACTCTAAATCAAAAGAAATATGAAAGTAATCATAAAGTAAGGCCAACCAAAGTAAAAAATTCCACTAGCAATTTGAACCACTTCACTCTATGGAATGTCATAGTTCCTCAGTGTGATTATATGAAATGTCGACTATGGACTCTTTATAATGCTAATTTATTTTTTGTGCATACCGTAATTCAGACAACTATAGTGTTACATCATGGTACCGCTACTCTGTGATTTAAAATTTTTTCAAAGACATTTTAAAGCAAAGACAAGCAATCTTACAGGATTTCTGCTTAAATATAAAAAGATCAGTTACTACAACAGGTGATTAATTGGTTTTTTCCATATAGAAAACAACCCAAATACATTTAAAAAATATGTTGTGGAGCCAACCGCACATTGACAATGTCACAGCTTCCTTTTGTGACAATGTATCACGTATCAATACTCTGTGCAAATATAAACACCAGTGTACTTGCATTAAAATTAAAAACAAGATTATAAAATGATTACAACTGCCATTACAATTGTAAAAGTTACAAGATTTATATTCATATTACTAAATTACATACAATAAAAAATACCATAGTGTTAAAGTACTGTTTCATTGCCAGCATCCCATTTTGTAATATAACCACACCCATGAATATACTAAAGATACTTAAAATATTAACCCCAATAGCATTTTCATCAACATTTACATCTGTACAGATAAGACATTTACTTGTACATCTCATAAAAGTACATTATCTACATAAATTCTTAGTGTATGTCTTTCGCAATATTAAGTTTCACAGAAAAATACTGCCTATATGTACAAAGATCACAACCGTGAACGAAGCACTTGTGTGGCTCAATATGCTGGATATATCCATACCACTTAAAACAGATTTCCCATCTTGTCTCACGCCACAATAAATTACAAGCAACTGAAGCCAGGTTACTGCAGCTTTTGTACAGCGCCGAGCATCCCGTAATGTTGCAGCGGTAGTGTTTGTTTTTCTAGAGTTAACTGTCAAAGCACAATACATTTCAGTAACTGTTTTCATGACCCGCCAGGATGTATAAATTGCTGTTTGCGGTGGGGTTATCAGTTGGCCTACTTTCCAAAACCACGACCCTAAAAGTAATAAAAGAAACACATAACGAAACAAAGTTAGTCTTCAAAACTAATGTTAGCAGAAACTTTTCCACTGTTTCTTGATTACACGCCTGTATACATGCTCCTCATTTGATTTATGGGCAGAAATAATTTGCTGTAACTGTGATTAAACAGCCAGTTCTAGCTCTCTGTAGTACTTTTGCTGCCCACTACCTCCCACCTCTAAGCCGGTATTCTAAGAGTTGGGAGTGAGGGGCAGAAATCTGTAAGTTAGGAATAATTTGGTTGGAACTTAATTCTTTTTATAAATTCTAAAATAATTTGCAAGAATCAGAAGGTGAGTCAGAATAGAACTCCAAAATTTTACTTGACCCTAAAATCAGAAAGTTCTGTGTTAACATGTGATTTTTTCTTTTGCCTATGTTGTAAATCAGACAGTTTTAAAAGCACAATGTTGGTCATAGTACTGCACAAATTTCAATTCTCCTGGAAGAGAAACCTGTTGCATGCTGGATTTAGAAAACACATTTGATACAATCCATTTTCTTTTTTTTTTTTTTTTTTTTTCAATCCATTTTCATACCTGTCAGATCCAAGCAGCCTGAAAATTCTTGTGTTATCTGAAATTTCTTGTGTTACCTGTTCAATTAAAAGATAAATTTATTTCCTGAAATTAAAGACACAAAATCTTCTATGGGCATTTCATTATAACTTTACAGGAAAGAAACATAATTCCTAGAATGGAAAAATATCCCTGTATGACTATTCACTGTCAGCTTGCATGTTGATTTGGTAGTCCAGGAAAAAATGTGACTAACTTAATTAACTACAAAGTATAGGTAAAGAAAACTGCTTGCTAGATTACAGAATTTCAGGAATAAAATTTTTAAGGAAAAAAAAGCACTGAGTCCATTTTATTTATCTGAATTTTTTTCACCCTTGATGTTAATACTAATAGCATAGCAGGGTCACTGGCAGCGGCAAGCCACGTAGATCTATTCTTCCACTTAAAAGGCTGCCGTGTGGTGTAACAGGAAGCACTTAAAAGCCAGACACGCCTTCAGTCTGACTCTTGGTTCCCCACTTATTAGCAGCGACATCGGACAAGGCATGCAGTTTGCTGGACATAGTTTGCCTCCTACACAATGGGTAGAAAAGATCTACCTTACAGTAGTACTTTGCGATGTTCACAGAAGTGCAAGACAGTACAACACCGGGCTAAGCATTTTTTGGGGACCCCCAGGCACTCTCTCCCACCCACGATGCCGCAGTTTCTCGGACGAGTGCTTACTCGCTGTGGACTGCTCTTGTCTCCCTCTCATCCCCTCTGGTGCTTCTGAAAGTGTTTCTGAGAAGTGAGCTGGCTTACTGGAATTACTGCTAGAAACACACTAGCAGCAACCTTTATTCAGTGTTCACTAGCGGTTAGGCACTGTGCCATGCGCTTACATGCTTCATTTCCTTCCATCTTAACTCTCAGCTCACAAATGAAGAAACACAGGCTGAGAGAAGTTTTAGTGACATGTCACCATCACTGAGCTATTAACAGGAGGGCTGAGATTGAACCTGTATGTCTGCTTTCCAGAATGCATGCTCACTATTACTGAGCTATCCTGCTTGCTTTGCCAGGAGAAATGCTATTACTTGTTAGAAGAAATGGAAACAGAAAGAAATGAGTTATTTCCTGGGTTGAGCAATCTGAATCTGAGGTTTTCCTTTCCTTCCGGTGATCAAGCAATATTGATGGGCTTGTGGGTACTGAAAGAATTTTTGGTGATTTTAATATTCTAGGGGGCAGGCACTATATGTTTTATTCACGTTTATAGCCCTGACACTTTCTACCATAAATGCTTTACATGACTTAACTTATTCCTTTAAGGTAAGAAGGACTCAGGATATGCAGCTAAAGGCTAACAAAAAGAGGCACAGTCTTAGCAACATCAAGCGAATAAGGGTAACAAATAGGAAGCAGGCTGGCTTCAAGAGAAATGTAGAGGAATTCTTGGTCATTATCACTGGAAAACAGGTAGGTAAAATGTCTCAGGACAGAGAGTGCCAGCATAAGCACTCTTATTCCAGGTCTCAGCCTGGGAATGCTGAAAGAAACCACAGTTGGCTCACTTGCAGTAGTACTGAGAAGTTCTTATTCTCCATTTGGGCGTTATTATCTGGAAGCATATTCAATATGCACTGAAGCTGCCTGAATAATAGAGAAAGTCGTGGCTCTGAGGTATGTGCTACTAGACTGAACACGGTATTAAGTTAGTAAATCAGATATCACCAGTACCATTTAGTAATTTCCCAAAGTTAAAGAGAATGATTTGAAGTAGATTTTATAATGTCTTGTGACTATTCAAAATTTTATTTAAGATAACTTTTCACTCTGTTGGAGCCTGGCTCCAAACTCCTGCCTTGCCCTACCGAGCAGCGGGGACGAGAGGCACGGGCCACCATGCTGGACTTCTGGTTAAGGGGCAGGATTTTGGAAAGATTACTTACCTCATTAGATCTAAAGCTTCTACCTTGCATTCCATGCTTCCAGAAAGCTAGCACACTGTCTTGTAGACAAACTAGCAGGCAAGAACAGCTCAATTACTGTTAATAGTACAAAAGTTCAACTGATAAGCATTTTATTCCTCTGTCTCACACCATAATATTTCAACTAGTACCTGATGTCAGCTATTGTACATTTATATGGCATCTTTGTGTAGAATTTTATAAATATACTATGTAGCGCTTTTTCATCTTTTTGGTAAAAAATTCAATGAAAATATTTGTTACAGATATTTTTGTTTTGATAAACTAACCAATTTAAAAAATAAAATACTGCAAACATATAGAATATAGACAATAGCATAAAAACACACATGTATCAATGAACTACGAAATCTTAACATTCTTCCACATTTGCTTTATGCTTTAAATAAAAACAAATCCAGTGGCATCCCCTACAGACCTGGCCCCTGATCCCGCTCTGCTCTCCTTCCTCTCTAAGATAACCATTATCATAAATTTGGGTTTACTGTTCTTGTGCATGCTTTTATCATTTCTACACCATAAGTTTACACTATTAATACAAGCTTTATTACAAATGTCATACATGAGGTATGGTGACTTTTAGTTTTAAAAAAAATTATTATTATAAATAAGACTGCAACAAACACTGTTGTACATTTTCTTTTCTTTTCTTCTTTGTTTTTTGAGACAGGGTCTCACTGTATAGTTTAGACTGGCCCTGAACTCACTATGTAGCCCAGGCTGGCCTCCTGAGTGCTGTGATTACAGGTGTGCACACCACATCTGGCTAATTTTTTTGAAAACATGTACAAACTTTCTCTGAGGTAAGATACCTTGTCCTTGAAATACTGGGACACAACAGTTACGCATAAATAAGGTAAATTTTAGTTGTTTTTTGTATTTACATACTTGATACATTATTTCTGTATGTATCCCATAAGGAAAAAGTCTAACTTTGTTTCTTGTAGAGGACTAGCAGTACCAGCATCATTTGTTGGAACAATCCATCATTTCTCACTGATACATAACGTCTTAAATTCCCATTTACATGTTGGTCTTTTCTTGAGTCTTCTTTTTCTGTCCCTACTCTTCTATCTTTTAATCTTTCTTTCTTTGTTTTTTGAGACAGGGTCTCTCTATGCAGCCCAGGCTGGCCTCAAACTCCCAGCAATCCTCCTGCCTCAGCCTTCCAAGTGCTGGGATTACAGATGCGTGCCACTATGCTCAGTAATGCCTGTCTTAATAACTATGGTTTTATAGAAAGTTTCAATACTGACCAGGGCAAGTATTGGTCAACATTTATTTTACAATTCTTGGTCTTTGGCATTTGCACATGAATTTTAAGATGAATTTATTAAGTGGTACAAAACATTTTGTTGGAATTTTTACTGCAAATGTACTGTATTTGTGAACTAATGTAAAGAACTGACACCTTGGGGCTGGGGATTTAGCTCAGCAGCACAGCACCTGCCTGGCAAGCGCAAGGTCGTGAGTTCGATTCCCGGTACCAGAAGAAAAACAAAAAAAGAAAAAACAAAACAAAAAAAAAAAGAACTGACACCTTTCTCATGCTGAGTCCATGGATATGATGTAGTTCTTTGGTTGTTCAAATGATACTTTATGCTTTTAAGAAATAATTTGGAATTTCTTAGAAATCATCTTAAACATGTTTTGATAACACTTCTTCCTTTTTTAAGGTGGCTTATAACTTCTGGGGCTCAAGAAACCCTCCTGTCTCAGCCCTCTAACTTTATTTTTATGTGTATTTCTACTGCGATTGTGAAAGGTATCTTTTTTTCCTGCTAAAATGTTCAGACTGTTTAGGAAAGCTATTCATTTCTGTTGCTCATATCTAGTGTGAATCTCTTTTTAGTTCTACTAATGTAAGAGTTTTATATTCTATGTAGATACCGTATTTCGATACCATATCACCAGCACAAAAAGGATTTTTTAAACTTTTTCTTTCTTATCTTCATACTTTTCTTCCTTAATAAGACAATGTAATAATAGTAAACATTCTTGTCTGCTTCAATAGGAATTGTTCTGACCATTGAACATGGTATTTTTAATAGGCTTTGCTAGATGATAAAGGACATTTTCTGGTTTTTTTTTTTTTTTTTTTTGTACCAGTAATTGAATTCAGGACTGTGCACGTGCCAGACAGGCGCTGTGTGGTGAGCTCTATCCCCGGCCTCTTCCCCTATTTCTAATATGTTAAATATTTTTATATTATGGTCTTTTTTTTAAATGACAGGATCTTGCTGTGCAGTGCAGGCTGGCCTTGAACTTACTCTGTAGCCCAGGTTGGTCTTGAACCCAGAACGATCCTCCTACATCAGCTTCCTGAGTGCTGGGATTATAGGAATGCACCACCACACCTCGTTATTATTCTAATTTATAAGTTATTTATCATTAATAACTGAGATTATATTGAAAGCTTTCTTGTATACTTATTGGAGTCACATGACTTTTTAATTTAAGGCATGTTTTAAATAAAACAAAATGTGCCATGTTACATAAATACATTTCCTTTTTTGAGATGGGGTATGCTGCCTAGGCTGGACTTGAACTTGTGATATTTCAGCCTTAGCCTCTTAAGTAGCTGGGAACGAAGGTGGGTGCCGGTGCTCCCAACTTGTACACCTAATGCAGAGCTATCCTTGTCTTCTGGGGATGAAGCCTACCGGTAATGTGGCACTCTACTTGTTACTATTTGATTAAGATCTTTTAAAAGTCTATTTTCAGAAACCAGATTACATTTTCCCTTTGTACTAATTTTGTTTGATTTTAGTAACAATTTTAAACACTGATTTATTGAGAATTCTTTGTCTACCATCTGCAACCGTTTGAATGGGATAGAGAGTCTCTTTTCCCTGAGGGATGAAAAATACTCAGCTATAAATTACAATGCTTTTAGTTGTCTTTATCACCATCAGCCCAGCTGTGCTCTATTACACCCGAAGCCCAGCAGGCCTCTTGACTGCAGGGCTGCATACTACCTTATTTTCTGATGTTTGTCTTGTTTTTGACCCTGGCTATGTCTTTTTAAGCATGGATTCCATTTTGACCCCTTGACCAGATGGCTTTTGAAATATCACCAAAATATTATCACTGTCATTTGTTGGGGGAGAACAATTCCAGCTGGAGAAGTGAGGAAAACAGAACCACGAGTAAGGCGCATTTGCCCTTGGTCTTATCCTGGGCCAATGTATATATGCAAATACCTTTACCTTACTTGAAAAGGAAATCAGAAAAATTCTGTAATCATTGTTCTTTTTCCCAGCACCACCCTTTATATGATTATTTTCACCTTATTTTTCCTAAATATAATTACTTTAAAATACCAATTCTGTTAGACTCCTTTTCCACAAAAAACTCTAAGGAAAATGTGAAAATGGCAAAAAGCAAATTTTATATACTTAAAATGCTCTGGCTAGCAAATAACAACAGTAAAAACACAACAGGATGTATATACTAAAATTTTAAAATACTTGAAGCAGTGTTTATTTCTTTGGCAAATGCCGAACCCGTAAAAAAGGCAGTATTATTTACACTAAAATTATTACACTATTTTAGAGCACGTGTAAGGTGAAGGCTGCTCTGGTTTGAGCCCGATGTGCTCACAGGCGGGCGTCTGCAAGGTGGCTGGAGTACGGGGCTCACGGGCGGCCTGCTGTTAAGAGGTGGTCGCTGGGGCGCGAGCTGGAAGGCCGTGTCTTCCCTCCCCGCTCTTCCCTTCACTCTGCTTCCTGAGTGCTGTGAAGTGCGCAGCCCTCCCCTGTCCAGTCCTTCTACACGCTACCAAGCATGCGAGTACTGACACTTCCGAAACGTGAGCCAAAATAAACCTCTTCTCCTTGCCTTGAAGTTGTAGGTGCTGGGCATTTTGTGCCAGTGGGGAAGAAATTGACTAAGCAAGACAAAGACTCATAGTGACCTCAGGTTACTATGTCCTGTATTATGAAACATCCTTAATAATACACACTCAACATTTCAGATAATTATCACACATTTTAAGCAGTTCATAATGCAAAGAAATACAAAACTTTGGCTCACCTATTGATTCAATCTGGAAATCAAAAGTGAGTTCTGATGATAATTTCCTGCTAGATTTCAGTCTTCCTTGGAGATTTACAATTTTTATACAACCTAGAGAAAAACAAACGTTGTTCAGAAACTAAGATAAAGAGACTCTTATTAAAATAAGATGTTCCAATAAAAACTTACAGTCCAAGCATACAAGGATGGTATCTCTCTCCAGCTGGGTTACATGCGTTACACTTGTCTGTGGGGTGTCTACAACACAAAGAAAGCCTGATAAACTTACAGAAAACCGTGATATTAGAGCAAGAGACATTAAAAAAACAAAAGAAGAATTCTGAGCACTACTGTATTTGAAATGTACATACATCATTTGCAGTAAAGGTATGGTGCTGAGCTAGGCGACCTGGATTTTAATGGGGCTCAACATAGAACTATATTGTAAATATTAAGTCTTCTTAATTCTATTGGTGAGGGAATTATTTATAATTGAAACCAGGGGTGGTAAGTCACCTAAATTATGGCAATAAGTGATTTCTGACTTTAAAGTCAGAAGGCCTGAACTGTGCTTTGCACATCATTACATGTTGGTGCCTAGCATATGCAATAAATATGCGCTGAATAAATGAAAATAAATGAATCAGAGAGCTGAACAAATTACTTTGAGTATAAATAAGATAACTGAAAACATTTTGAGAAATACGAAACACTGCCCAGATGCCAAAGAACATGGTTTCTGCTACGATGATTTATCGAAGTTCTTATCAAGTGAAAAAGACTTAAATGACTAGTTTTTTATGAAATGAGAACAAATACGGCACACCCAAAGGTCTGTATCAGTATGAACCCCTGTCCTCTATTCATGCGGAACAACTGCAGTGGATGTGATGTACTTCTACCCTGTCTGCTTTCTACTTCCAGTTCGTAGTTACAGCACTAAGAACTGTTATATTTTGAATGTGTCACTACCGTAACTTACCAGGGTTAGAGGGATGTTGAACTGGCTTCCGACTGCAAGTTAGGCCAACCATATTGCTGCAGTTCTTACAAAACTGGTGAAAATTAAGAATATGAACCTATCTAAACAATCTACTTTCATAGCCAGTTAATCAATGCTGCACAAAAAGCCAGGAAAATGAAGTTTTTCTAACTGCCTATAATAATTAGGTCCCAAATACTGGGATCATCTTTAAAAAACATTGATGCCTGGCTATCACTCTCAAGATATTCTGATCCGATTGGAGGTGTGTGACTTGAGGTATCAGAAGTTTTCATCAGTGCTGCTAGCCAATAATTTCGTCTAATGCACACCCTAATCATTCCTCTATCTTTATCTCATGATCTCAAACAAAGAAATGAATTATATTTGCCATATTTAACTTTCAATAAAGGGTGTTCATCAGGGTAAGGCCACGTAATCAAAAGTTCTTTGAAAGGAAGAGATCCACAGCTGTCTAAAATTCTTCTGTAAGGAAATGAGGCCTTTACTGTTCAACTACTACAAGAGAGGGATTTAAAATTAAAAAGTGTGAGAGAGTAACCAGGCATGGTGGTGTACACTTATGATGCTGGCACTCCAGGAGTCTGAGGCAGGAAGATGACAAGGTCAAGCCCTGGCTGGGCAACTTAGTGAGGCTCTGTCTCAAAAAAAAAAAAAAATGCTCAGTGCAAAGGCCCTGGACTCAATCATCAGTATGGGGGGTGGGTGTGTGGGGTGGATATTAAGGGAAATTCACTGACAACAAATATTTATCACATTACAATCTCTCCCCATTAAAACAGAGAAGGAGGGAGAGATGGGAGAGCAGATGAGCACCAGCTATTGGAAAGGAAAGATGGGTGGGTGAGGGAAAGAGGTAACAGAGAACTGGGGAGGAAGCGGGGGACAGAGGGCCTCACAGTGCTGTCAAGGCAGGTGATGTTTTCCTTCCACAACAGTTGCAGTCAGGTTTAATGTGTTACAAAGAACCCTGGCTTCAGCACCTACTGTCTCTAGGCTTTTGTGAATACAACTGTGATTATTTTTTTTGGTAGAAAAAAACCTTAGTTCCTTACAAATGCCCACCTGATCAATATCTCACTGGCAAACTGTTTCCCAGACAATTCCCCTGTTAGCCAAATACTCTGACGAACAGCCCTTGTCAGGGACCTGTAAAGATGGCTTTCTAAAGTGGCCACTGTCTATTGCATAGCAAAACATTTTATATGAAAGTTTCAAACTGTAATCAAATTTCTGCTCATTATTTGGAGATAATGTTTGCTAAGGGAAGTAGTTATGAAGAAGGGAAGCAACTTGGCAATATTAAAACAAATAAATTACAGAGAAGAATTACTTTCAAATATGCTCACAAATAATTTGGAAGTAGCTGTTTACTTACACTTTGCATCTTAACTGTAAACCCTTTAAAAATGGATGGAAGTTACTGGGTACCGCCAGTGTTCTGACTGGCCCCAGAAGGCTCAGCAGTTGCGGGGGGCAGAGAGAAATGAATGCATCACTGGGTGCCAACCTCCGCTGAAGGCTGAGCGGGCTGTCAGCAGGCAGGCCTCGTGAGGGGAAGCAGGCCGCTGCAAGTGTAACCGAGGGCCGCCTCGTCTCCAGCCTCCGCTCTCACTGCCTGCTCTGCGGCCTCCACAAAGTGAGCAGCTTTCCTCCGCCACCCTCTTCTGCCACGATGTGCGCCTCACCTCAGGCCCAGGAATAATGAAACCCCCTGGCCATGGACAGAAACCTCCAAAGCCATAAGCCAAAACAAATCTTCCCTTGTTTAAATTCTCTCTCTCAGATATTCTACCAAAGTGATGCAAAGGAGACTAAAACAACTGGTGTAGCAATTAGAAGTATGTATCAGGAAACAAACGATACTTAAAATAGTCTATAATGCAGCTTTTAAAATCACCTTTTCTGTTACCCTGAGATGTGCCTATACATGTAGTTTACAAAATATGGTCCCTGTAGCAACATCACCATTATCATCTGAGAATTTACAGAAACGCAAATTCTCAGGTCCCACAACATGTTTTAACAAGTTTCCCCACGTTTCTAGTGCAAGCTCAAAACTGAGAATCAAGGGGCTGGCGAGATAGCTCAGCGGCACAATTGCCTGTCTGGCAAATGCAAGGTCCTGAGTTTGATTCCCGGTACCAAAAAAAAAAAAAAAAAAAAAAAGGAAAGACTCGCATGTGTCAGGTATCTCCATCATCATTTTATCTATATTCCTATTAAGTGATGGAATGTCATTAAAAAAGGTAAAATTACCTGATGATTTTTGGGGATGCAGGGTAAGTTATGGAATATACACATTTCTAAGTGTATGACATTTAAAATTAAACACAGCTGTACCTTGGTTCATGACCTGTAATTAGGTCCATGATTCTGAAGAAAATGGCCATGTTCAAGTTTGTGCAGAAAAGATGGCTGTGGTTGTGCTCACCACCCAATGCAGTTCGCAAACGAAAAATTGTGCCAGATACTTCTGTTTGTGAATCACACTGTTTACAAACAAAAGCGTTTGTGAACTGAGGTACCACTGTATTTGAAAATTCTGAAGGTTATGAGTTTTCTAAGTGTTTACTGTTTGCTTTAAATCTTCTAATGTTAATGTGTGTTAATACATGTTTCATAAAGATTCACTTTCATATTAATAAACAGCAAAGAATTGGGTGCATAGAAAATCTTCTAAAAACGAATCTGAACATCTACATGACAGCATGAGCTCCAACACTGAGTTATACCTCCAGGCTACCAATGTGACTTTAGTGGTTACCTACACCTACTATCCTGTGAGACAAACTGATACTTAAAATATTGTCTTATGTCATACGTATCTCAAAAATCAGAAAATGACCCATGTATATCCCTCATTTTATAGTGATGTTGCAAGCTCATTTATTATTCTATACCAAATCTGAGCTCTTGAGGATCAGTCTTCCCATATTCATTTCTATACTAAAAAAGTGAGTTAGTCGTGGTAGTGCACGCTGTAATCCTAGCACTCTGACAGGCCAAGGCAGGAGGATCACAAGTTTGAGCCCAGCCTGGGCAAAATGAGCAGGACCTTGTCTAACAAACAAACAAACAAAAAAGGCAGCAGCCTGGGAAAGTAGTTCAATACAAAGGCCTTGAGTTCAGTCCCCAGTACTACACAAAGCAAAAAAGTGTATGTGTTCAACATATATATGCTTTGTTTTGCTAAACTGTTTTATACGTGTCAAGAGAATTAGCTTCTTTAAAGCAAGTCATTCTTTCTTCCAGCTTCATGCCGTTCTCACTTAGTGAGAAGTGCAGTAAATGTATTTACTGTAAACGTCGCAAACCTGATTCTGTAAACCACGAGGAGGTAGAGTTTGGATTGACAGTTTCAAACCGAACCACTTGGTTGAAGTCTCGCCCTCTGCTGACGCCGACGCAGACCAGCGGGTACTCCTGCTCAGGAACGACCAGCATCTCGAACACGCGGAGCGGACATGGGATGGGGAAATCTATGTGCTACACGAAAGAAACCAGAGCACGGTAAATAAAGGTAAACGCAAGCCAAATAATTCTGTGAGAACAGTATTACAAGTTTCCACTCTTATAAGGTATAACAAACAGCTTTCTACTATAAAGACTGCTTATTGTCATGGCAGCTCAGGATACCTAGAAATATCTAAATTATGAAGTATCTTTCTAAAATTGGAGGTTTACTATTGTAAATACTGTTTAGCAAGTTTTAAAGTAGTATCTTAGGGTATTAGGGAACTTCCGACTCTCTTTTCAGCGATGGGAAATGAAGCCCAGGAACTGAGTGGCCGGCCGGGGGCAGCAGGCCAGCGCAGTCTCCTGTCTCCCAGCTCGACGCTTCCTCAGGTACACCCCTCCGCTCTCCTCACCCACTGAGCACACGGGGGCAGAGATGAGAGTCGGTAATGAGAACAGAATGTAACTGACAAGTGTGGGCAGGCAAAGCCCAAGTAAGAAAAATTGAGCCTCCTATCTCAAGTGATTTTATTCAACTAACTTATACTACCAACTTTAATTTTATATGATTTCAAAGTAATTTTTTATTGCTACAAAAAGAATTCACATCTTGTAGGTTTGGAAAAACAGAAAACACTAACTTTATTAGCAGTCAAGGAATAAAACCACAGTGAGATACTACATGTACACCAGAACACCAGTAGTTAAGACTAATGACAAAAACTAACATCAGAGAGGAATAAATAACTGGTCATGCATGGATGGTGGGTATATAAGTTGGAATAAATAACTGGTCATGCATGGATGGTGGGTATATAAGTTGGAATAAATAACTGGTCATGCATGGATGGTGGGTATATAAGTTGGTATAATCACACCGGTTAAGTACATTATCTTACAATGCTGAGATGTGCACTCCCTACACCTGGACAGTAATACTCCTAGGTATACATTCTAGGTGACGTGGGTACACATGCCCAGGAGAGACAGCAAAATGTTCATGGCAGCACTGCTCAGGATAATAAAAACTGAGTAAACCAAAGGCCCATTAATAGAATCGATAAAATTACGAGGTACTCAGTGCCATATACAGAGGAAAATTGCACATAATAATATTCTAATACGATACAATGGAAAATTACAGAACAGCGAGGGCGAACAAACTATAGCTATATCCAGCAACTACATAAACATAATGTTGCAGGAAAGGAGCCAGATGTGAATGAATATATCTTTTGGGTTCTACTTTCAGAGTTTTGAAAAATCAGGTGATTCTGAAAATCAGATGCTTAGGGATACATGCACATATAGGAACACAATCCAAATAAAACAACAAAAAACCCCCAAGGACTTTCTACCTCAAGGGAAGTGTCACAGGCAATTCTGAGGAGGTTCTTCACAGCAAAGGCCAATTTAAAAAAAATCTTTTCTTTTGAACAATTTATTCCTATTTCATCATGTATATCTAAATTGTACAAATAAAATTTAAAAAACCTACAAGGCATGGTGGTGCAAGCCTGTAATCTCAGCTACTAGGGAGGATGCAACTTTGTGTGGCCCCGTAGCAAAGAAAAAGGGCTGGGGATGTAGCTCAGTGGAATAGCACTTGCCAAGCATGCGTAAGACCAGGGGTTCAGTCCCCGGTACTGCGAAAAATAAAATAAATTACAATACAAAGATATGTATTAGAATGAACTAATGAAGTATATATAACGTATAAGACCTTTTCTTTTTGGTGGTGGTGGGGGTGATACTAGGAATTGAACCCAGGGCCTGCATACTGAGCTTCAACCCCAGCCCTTTCAATTTTGAGAAAAGGGCTCACTAAGTTGCCCAGGCTGGCCTCAAATGTGTGATCCTCCAGCACCTGGCTTTTACTTTATATTTTTTGTTGCTCTTATACATATATTTTATCTTCACTGTATTTTTGAAATGGTTACTGCTAGTACTTAACACAGCTACTGAATATGACTTATTTATTATTTGGCAATTCATAAATCCTAAGGAAAACAGGAAGGATTGAAAGTGCTGGAAGATACAACATGGTCCTCGTGGCTGGAACACAGCGCTCCATGTGCCCCTGCTCTTCCTGCAGTTCCTCCTTCCCCCAGCTGCCAGGGCGCCTCCTCCCATGGGCACAGACGTTCGTTCACCAGCACTTTCCAAACCAGCTCTCTAGGAGCTCTGCCATTACCTTAGCACCTGCTTTGGACTTTGTCATGTTTTAATAAGGTAAAACAATTTGAAGAATTCTTTTTGAAATGTGGAAAAAGTGATAAAGCAGAAATACAATAATGCTTTTGTTTCTTTACTTTTTTCCTCAGCATATTAAAAAGCCAACAGAGTTTGAATACTTCGAGTACTATTTGGTTTCCAATAATAACTATGCAGTATATAAATCATTAACAAAAGATTTCTGTCTCATGACTTTAAAACTCGGTGTTCTTGGTGATGGAGAACAGTTCCCACACCTTACTCATTTCTCTCTGGTAAACAGCACTGTGCTTAGCGTGCATTAAGAACATCACGTATGCTGAGAAGGTCTTTAACTTTTCAACTTTTTATGACAAAAGATAGACTCATTAAACAAAAACTGCCAGAAATATCACCAAGAAGAATGTGGAAAGCATAAGAATGTTTTAAAATTTTTTTTATTTTGATGAGAATAAAAAAGATACAGCATTTCAAAACAAAATGATAGGAAATTAACAATGGTTGTTACACTGTATATTGTTACCTTCAATGTAGCTGTTCAGATTACCAGATATAGACATGCAAAATTGATTGAATTAGGCATTAACTGTTTCTTTCAATGAACCAACAGATATTAGTAGTATAATTATCTTAGCTATCTCATGTATATATAAATTTTTTTCCTTTCCTTCTTTTTCTTTCTTTTCTCCTTTCCCCCATCCCAGTTAGTTACAGTATAGAGAAATCATAAATACTAACTGAAATAATGCAGATATAGAAACAAAATATGCTTATGGAAGCATATGAAACAGAAATAGTAATAAAATCAACACAGAAAGGGAAGCTAAGCCTAAGGGAGCTTCAGGCAGAGTAGGAGAGCCTTGCAGGAGACCTGACGGCGGAATGGTACTGCAAGTCCACTAGCTCACAATGCCAGCAACAGGCCTCACTGGCAGAGCCAGGCCAAACTCCCTGGTACTTTCCATCTGAAAAGAGGCCATGGATAGGTCATTTTTAAGCTTTCTATGTTTTCAAACTACATACTCTGCTTCCTGTATACTCTTGATATCTAAAATTCCTGTGAGAAAAGACCTTTTATTATGCATGAGGATGAATGGTTTAACATATCAGATAGCAAATAAAATTCATGGTAAGGTTTAATCAGTCTACCAGCATATGTGAGTATCTATACAATGAAATTATTTTTCATTGCAATAGAGTTAGAAGTGAAAGGAACTGGAAGGACTTCTTTAAAATAGACTGAGAAAGAAAAGGAAGGGAGAGAGGACAGGATGAGACTGCAGAAACAGTCGCACACTCCAGCGAAGATCCAGCTTCCTTTTGTCGAAAAGCAAGTTTTGCCACCCATGGGTTGTATTCCATAGCTCTACTGTAGAAAATTTATGAGGCTCTCTCCTCCTCAGCTTTTGGTTTACACCATTTTTTTTTAGTGAATTTATTTGTGGAATTAATATCTCAATACATTTTAAATTCTTGAAATTACTTTTTCATCTCTTTAGTTCCAGTTAAGTTTGAGGTTAATGTTGATGTGAAAACTAAAAATGGATTTCTTAGTCGTCCACAGGATTTTAAGTTACAGGAATGCAAAACTTTAAATAGCCTAGTTCAATACAGAATTTAGAAAGAATCCCACTCCAATTATATTCTGATTCCAATTTTTATCAAGGGACAAATGCTCAGGAAATAAGACTACTTAATCCATATATAATAGCAAAGAAAGTAACTTTTAGAAACTCATTTCATATTTCCTTGGTGTAAATGAGACTGCATATATTTTAAGTTAGTTTTTCCCCAAAATATAAGGTATAGCTGAGTAATATTATACATTTTAAACAGTTCATTAATCAAAGATTCTAGAGAAACCGAAAAGCCCAAACCCAAATATACTCAGGGAAGACCTGCACAGACATATAGGTGGGTACAGTAACCAAAGTAAGTAACTTCCCTTGCACTATGGTTACCCTTTATCCACCTAGGGCAAACACTAACCTGTCGGTTGTCTTCTGCTGTGATGGACTGGGCCAGACCAGACTATATTCAAAACATTTCACTGATGTGTTAGCATCCCATTTTTGACACGAGGCTATGTATGCAAGACATTCGCCTTTCAGCTCCCCACTGCCTTACCCTAAGTTATATCTCTAGTCTCTTTCAAAACTTTCATCAGGCCAAATGAGTGCATTATAGTGAGGCAGATTTTCCAATACTCTGCCACATAAACCAAAATCATCAAATTGGCTTGAGAATTAACTGGAAAAAAAAGTGTTTTCTTTTGAAGAACAGAAAAGTTGACAATTAGGTTTTCACACAAAGAATGTCAGCAGCTGAATTTCATGCTTACCTTAATCAACATAAATTTCTGCATGGGTTCAACCCATTCTAATAGAACAATGCTAGTCTGAAGTGCTCCGCATAGGTATTTATGGCCTGTGTAAGGATTTCTCACTGTCAAGGCAAAAAAGTAAACATGAGTTCTATTATGCTTAAAATAATAGTTGCATGCTTTAAAAAATAAGAAAAACCAAAAGCTGGCTGCCAGTTCTAATTTAATTAGATAATATGGCACAAAAAAGAAATACTTTTCGGCTAACAGCATGAAATGCCCTCATGACTTACAGGATTTTGTCCGCACGCACACATGAAACTGCTAGCTGTTATAGGGTTACGGGTTAGCAGGGAAGTTAGCTGAGGTGGCAACATATGGTCAGAGTAAATTTGAAGATAAGTTATCAAACTGATAGAATGCACACATTCCAGTGGCTCACAGACTGCTTCTGATAGTAACGTTCTAAGACAATAATATTTTGAACATTTTTCTTATCTCTTCCCTTTTAATAAAACTCTTATGGTTGCTAAAAACATGGCACACATTCATCGGAATCTTATCATCCAAATTTACAAGTAATAAAACTGAGTTGTCTCAGATTTTGGGATTTTCTTTACTTAAAACATGAAGTAATTATATTTGAGATAAAGATTTTAAGAAGTATGAAAAGGGCAAAAGCAGTGTAACCCTTAAGCTTCACATTAGGTTTGAAAACAGGAAATTAAGTTGTAAGAAAAACCTGCTCCATTTCACATGTAGAATCAAGTCCGTCTGGCGAAGGTTTCAACGGAGATTCAAACCATCATTTCACCTTCCTTTGTCCCTGCCAGCTGCTTTGCTTATTTCCCACTGGCAAGGCCTTATCCTTCTGCCAGTCTGGTTTCAAGGTCTTGGGCATCTCTCTCTCTTACTTGCTCTTCCTACTATTACTGCGTGGCTCGGGACCTTCTTCCTCATTGTACAGTGAATAAAGCCTATGTTCACGTAAGGCCTCTTGTACTTTCTCCAATTGATCTATGCACACTCATCCACTATCGTTCTCTTTCTTTTCTTTTTTGGGTACTGGGAACTGAACTCATGACCTCACGCTTGCCAGGCAGGAACTGTGCCACTGAGTTATATCCCCAACCCTATTATCCAGTTAAACTGCAATAGTCTGCATTTATTATGTAAGCTTTATGGTTTTGTTTTTTGTTTTTCGCCTCCACATATTTGTATTACTTTATCTCCAGCCATTCGTAAGGAAGTTAAATTCTTTTGAGGTCCAGCCTAAATACCAACTTTTTAGTAGCCTAACAGGAGGCAATCAAGATACACAGTAGATGTTTAAATTTTAAAAATACTTACTACAGTAAAAGACGTACTGCCATTAATCGCCCTCAGAATACTCCACCTTGTTTCAAACATACGTTGTCCATTTTCGCCAGAAGTTCTGAAAGTTCCCTTTCGTGTTTTTACAAAGTACGATAAAAAATATGGTGAATGCTGCCGCTGAGTTGTGTCCAGCTTAAGCAAGGCTGTAAAAACATCCTCATCAACCTTATTCAGCAGATCTGGCACTTGTAACATCTGGCTCTCCCCAAAGTCAGAATGATTATGACAGATGTTTGGATGGATTCAGGAAATTGAGGCAGCCGTGATAACACAACTAAAGATATGAAAGGACACTTCCAGAGCTGCTTCAGAAAGTGGCAAGGATAATGGGATAAGTATGTTTGAAGTGAGGAAGAGTATTACGAAGAGGAGTAACAGCAATGTGTCCTTTTTTGTTTTTTGTTTGCAGTACTGAGGATCGAACTCAGGACTTTGCGCTTGCCAGGCAGGCGCCTCTGCCACTGAGATGTGTCTCTTTTTGCAATAATTTTTTTAATAGAAAGATGAGTTTATTTATAATGTAACCAAGCTGGGGAGGGCAGCTGGTCTGTCCGCCCTTGGAACTCACAGACTCACTCCAATTTACCCCCAGGGTAAACAAGCCAGGAAGCGCCCATGTGCAGACGGGGCCAAGCCTTGGCTCGCAGTACCGACTGCTCCTTGTCTCAGGCCTGACGGTGGCTTTTAATACTTTTTTAAAAAAATTAAATATTTACCACATTTTTATGTCACACTGCGTATCTTTACAGTTCTCTCCACATTATACCTGCTGGTGGTGATTTACGTCTTAAGTGACGGATAATACTAGTAACAAGGGAAGAGAACCATTTTCTGTTTTTGCTACAAGTCAACAGAAAAACTAGTTGTTATGAGGGTGGGTAAAGCATTTATTCTGGAGGTACGTGAGTAGGGAGACTACAACTTTCACACCACAAGCACAGGGCATAATAGTACATGCTGAATGAATGAATGGTGTCTCACAAGTCATCACCGGGCTGACAAGTCCCCTTGGAGAACACAATGTAATAAACTGAGTAACAAAACCCACTTCACTTTCTTCATTTATCCAATCAACAAATTATTTACTAAACATCTATTATGGGCAAGGTGCTATCTCAGGTTTAGTTTATATAGGGCTGTAAAGGCCAAGAAATTTATTTTACTAAGGGGTAAAAATACTCCTGGAAGAATGCCTTGGGGAAGGACCGTTTTGCAGTATAGTTAAACACGAGGCTCAAGGGGTTTTCTTAGGTGCTCTGCAAAACAGCACAGCTATGTGTACCGGACAGTTTACTTACCAACACAACACTTCTGACACCACTTGGTTTCAGGGATTTTTGCTGATACAGCAAATTTCCTAAATGTAAATGAAAACGAGTATGTAACATCCGCAGGCAAACTGGGAATATAACAAAGGGGCTCACACAGATCAGTGGAGAAGATGAGTATGAAGTTGGTGTGCTAATAAGTGCTGAAAGAATATAATGGTTCCCTTTCTCATATTCCTCAATCAATTCTAAGTGAATTAAGTATTTAAATATTTTACTATCACGTATTTGTAAGACAGAATACGACCTTATTTATTTGAAAAGTGCAAAAAGAAACTGTACAGAAAAATACATAGAAGTTTGAATTATTCGTTCATGATGTACCTAGCACCTCAAATTAAAGGTAGCATTCAATTTGCAGATGAGTAACTTGGGTTACAGAGTACTGCTGCAAAGGTGAAGATGAGCCACAACCAGGAAAAGGTATTTTTAGTTGTATAAACTTAAGCCACATACAAATGTGTCTCACTATAATATTAAGAACTCCTTTTACTTAAGACATTTTTGTTTCGTTATTCAGGAACAGCGAGATTCAGATTTTTGGCAACGGTGCTTTAGGGGTTCTGCAAAAATCTGATTCAAATTTAATAACTAAAAATCCATACTGAATTATCTTTTAAAATCACAATTTAAAATCATATACACTCGAATATCTTTTACAGTGAAAGTTAATTTAATGGAGACTGTTAGTGCATCAAATTTTGCAAACCTCAAATTAAACTTCTCCAATTCTGTGCACATCTTTAAACCTCTTTTACATGTGAACATGTGCCAAGCATTAGATGTCAGCACATCACATTGGTATGTTTAAAAAATCAAGCATCATACAATTTTACATCAAACTGTACAACATATGTGTGATGCATAACACAACTCCAAGCGAGCCTGGGAGAGTCTTTTCAGTGGGTATTCTTATCACCATATAACTGAGTAACAACTAAGCAGATTTAACATTGTGGTATTGTAATTTTTACCTTCACTATGTTTTACATATTGACTTTGTAGTTATAAAAACTTATAATAATCACATTGAATCCTTACTATGTCTTATACTTTTTATATTTAATTCCTCCAACAATACTATGAGGACGGTCATAGTATAGAAATCTAAAGCTTTGATCTCTGCTCAAGGTCTTATAGTTAGTGATTTAGAGAGAAAAAAACACCGTTCCAGTATTAGTCTATTTAATGTCAACGTTTAGTGACTGAAAACTGTTACTTTTTGTTTACGCTTTTGGGTCAATTTAAATAAAGAGAGTACTTTGAGTTTGCACAAAGTAGGCTGTTACTCATTTGCAAGCACTTGTCTATGTGAGTTAAAATTGTCTTGATATTGTGATACATAACCAGGAACTACCAGAGGCTAAGGCTCTGAAGGACTCCGCAGCATCTAGAATATCCTAATGTTACATTTCTGGTTAAAACACCTCATTGTTAATTATTCCACTTAACTAACTTTATATTAGGAAAAATTTTACACTTTTAAAACTAGATTTATAATTATATGCTATGTCCTTTTCATATACTTTGAAGTTTAATTATATTCATGTCCTTTTCATATACTTTGAAGTTTTATAACTTAATACAAGATTTCCCACTTTCACCAAATTGCTTTGAAACAAAATGCCTTTCAGAATTAAAATCTAAATAAAGTCCCTGTCAGATTTTCATTGGCAATAAGTTTAATGTTCTTGATCCACACATGTAAACTTGACCCCTGGCTTCCAAAGTTAACTTAGGTTTTAAGTTACTGAACTGGTTAAAACCCAGGAGGACTATTAGGGTCTGTAAGATTATAAGGAAGAATACCACTTGGATAAGAAAAATCAGTTATTAAGTATGGCTAACTATTAATGAAATCATTCAAAATACAGCTGTGGGCAGCATATTGAAATGTTATAAAAATATAATGTTCTATGGTAACCTATGGTTTGCTTTAATTTTAATCATTGTTTTATAAAAGGCAATAAAATTTATTTTCTCAGCACCCAATCAATGGGAATCCTAAGTTAACCAACTTCTTGATGTATTTGATGTCGAATATTTTAAGTGCACTTACAGGCACAGTTCAATTTATAGTGCATGATAAGGATGACAACTGTTTTCTTATTGACAGCCCACTAGGTGCCAGAGACCTTGGTAGGTACTTGATATACGTAATTTATCATTTTGAAAACAACTCTGCAAGATGAAAATACCAGCTCTATTTTACAGATGAATTTAATCAGAGGGTGTATAATTTATCCAGGCTTTAAATTCAAGTTTACCTTGATTTTAAAACTTTACGCTTTATGACAAAGGAATGATAATATCTACATGAGCACCTGTCTTCAGAATGACCACCATGAAGCTGTCTTCAGAGCAAAAACACAGCGCTCAAGAAAGCTTAACATGTGTTCATTTTGTGGTAGAAGAAATGGTACTAATATACATCTACAATATTATCTTGCTAAGAGGGTTTTCAGATTTCATGCTAATTATAAGAGAATTATGAGTTGACTTTAGAGGACTTCATTAGAAGATAATGAAGCTTAAGAAAACGGCAAGGATATATTTGTGGTCGTAACTAACACTAAAGATTGTTTCTGTAACAAAATCTGAATAAGCTGGAGGCAAAACACCCTTAGAGGTAAAAACTTTACTATATGGAAACTCCTTACAGGAAGAGGCACTGAATTACAGAATTCAATTCTGCCTCATCTATACATGAGGACAACTCAAGCATATGTGGAATATTCAGTAAAATTTGGAAGAATTAAACACAGCAAAGTAAAAAGGCCTCTAAAGCAGGGTACACGCCTGTGATCCCAGCACTCAGAAGGTGAGACAAGAGACTGCTGTGAGTTCAAGGCCAGTGTGGGCTACATAGTGAGTTCAAAGCCAGCCTGCACATAGCAAGATTCTGTCTTGAAAACAAAAAGCGAGGGGGGAGAAAAGGCCTCTAAAACATAGCATGTATGTATCACTTGAGTAGCCAAAACTGCACTTTTTTTTTTTTTTTTGGTTTTTCGGTTTTTCTCCGGTACCGGGAACCGAACTCACGACCTTGCGCTTGCCAGGCAGGCGCTTTTGCCGCTTAGCTAAATCCCCAGCCCACACTTTTTTAAAATTAAAAAACTCATGTGATTAAAAAAAAAAAATGAAAGTTTGCCTGCCTCCTTGAGGGCATTTATGCATATCTTACATATACTTGAAAGCTTGGTGGTTAGATTTTGTGCTCACAAGAATTTTGGATCATCAAGTTAGAACGTTAGGTGGAGAGGTTCTATATGTAGGCAGATTAATAGCAGCACGAATGGCAGCTGGGAGAAACACAAAGGCAGATCAACTCTATAGGAAGAAACAACTCCCTGGTCCAGCTGTGGGGCTGGTTACAGGGGCTATTCATTTAACTCCAAACACAGATTTTATAGTGCAATGTAATAAATCAAGTTCATAATCACAACTCTGGGTAACCATGAAATTACCCAATTAAATGATATAGTCTATTTTAAGAAGACAATAAAAGGATAAAATACAATTTTAAATGTTTTTCATCAAAAAGGTTAATTAATTTTTACAAAGATTTTTGCAGAGCTGGGCAAATCAGCTACACTGTAAATATATTTAAGAACATATACTTAAGGTACTTGGAAGATAAGGTTTTATATAATTTGCTTTACAACTAATCTTACAAAAAGAATGGCTATATTACAAAGTTTCTGTAAAACACAATTTATTCCAGACTTAGAGAACTTTTAGTTAATGAATGAGACCCAATTTATATAAACACATGGAAGGGCATAGTATAATGAAAAATTCCTGAAAGTACAGAGGCTAAATTTCTCAACCTCTAATTGTCTCCAGAAACAAAAATATATATTCAATAAATCATTTTGATTTTTAGGTTTAGAAACTACACTTTGAAAAATGCATTTTATACAAGTTAACACAAATATGTCAAAAGGGAAGACATTATATGTGATGTAAAATTACAGAGAAAATTAGTTGTAATTTTGCAGGAAAGACAAAATTAAAAATTCAGAAAGAAAATGTTTAATGTAATTGGAAAGTACAAAGTAGAACAATTTTACAAGAGTATGATAAATTCTTCTTAAAATACATTACTTAAGATTTTTTCATTATACATGATTTCTAAAAACCCAAACTGAGTACTCTTTCATTTTCTCTATCATCATATTTATTTAAAATAAATTATTAACTGTCTCTAAGGATGAAAACATAATGAACTGTACAATTACCTTGGCAGTATTCTATCAGGTAGTTTGTGTGCTGGGATAGCAACAGGTAACTTTTGCATTTGTCTGGCATAATCAAACAGCCCTGGTAGATTATGGGAATACAGCTGAGAAGCTTTACCTGCACAGAAAATAAATGCAACATCAGAGCTAATAATAAGCAGTAACAATCATAAGATACATGAAAACTAAAACTTACCAGATATTGATAGCAAGCAATTATTCATTACATATAGCCATGTACACCTTCGAGGGAATAGCTGATGAAAAAAATGTACAAAGTTTACAAAGGATAATACATAACAATGCAAATTTGCACCTATTAACCATGTAAACTGTGATTATTCATTGGTCAGTTCTTTAAAAAAGTAACATTTTTAAAAACAAGATGATACACACACAATTTTTAGGAAAGAAAAAAAATTACCGATACGATTTCAGTCTAAACATGGTATTATTGTAACTATGAAGGGAATGAAAACATTTTCCAATATCTACTCCTTTTTGTTAGTTCTGTGGTTGAATAATTATGAATCTCTTGTGTGCACGCTTTAAAATGTACTTGCCTAGGCAGATGCACGTGCATGTAAGATACAGACTCATAAATGATACACACTACACACAGGAGTGACTGAAAAATACACTGAATGTTTAAAAAATATTACAATAAAAGACATCGCCATTAATACCACTCAAAATACTACCTATCACTTCAAACACACTTATCCCATCAATCTTGCCACTTTCTGAAGCAGATCTGAAGCTATCTTTTGTGTCTTTAGATGCGCTGCTGGGGTTGAGGTCCTCAGTTGATCCAAATGTTTACCTTTCATGGTCATTTTGACTTCGGGAAGAGCCAGAAATCATATAGTACCAGGCTGAGTGAATAAGGTGGATGAGAATATACTCTACTTCCCATTGGATGGAGCCTGGCAGCAGCATTCACTGTCTTTTTTTATTACCCCCCATATAAAGATTCTCATGCAAAGGAAGACTTCCATAACTGCTTCAGACAGTGGCAAAAATGATGGGCTAAGTGTGCTGGAAGTAAGGGGGAGTAGTTTGAGAGAAATTACATGCAGTGTATTCTTTACTGTAATAAATTTTTAAATTTAGAAGTTACTGTATATTTTGGTCCTCCTTATATATGGAATTTATTACTAAAATTGACTATGTAAGAACTGAGACATCACTCTGGAAGTCAGAAAATGGTTAGAATTCAGAGCAAGGAAAAGGGAGTACATCCACATACTTTAAGGAAGGAAGTACCCTAATGAAGCTTTCTCATTATAAGTACCAGTGGTGTGAAAAGGAGTGCCTGGGCCAGCAACACCAGCACCGGCGGGGTGTGTGTTAGAAACGCCAGTTCTCAGGCCGTGCCCCAGGCCTCCTGACACACAGGTTCTAAACGTGGGCCCCACAACCTACGTTTCCACCAGGCTTCCTGTTGTTTCTGCTGCATACTGAAGCTGATACCCACTGATGTACGTATTTAGGCATTCTGATTCAGCAAGCCTGGTTGCTGGGTTTGTCCCAGTAATTTCTACAGTTTACCCAATAGGGACTGGGCTGAGTGCAGGAGATGGAAAGAATGAAGAAATGAATGATGAAACACATCACGGCTTCTAAGACTACTCCTTTATTAAATATAAAGGCATAAATATAAAGTTAAAAGGTAAAAGAAAATGTAATAAGGCCAAAGAAACAAAGTAAAATCTACATTAAATAAAATTTACAAAATCTCATTACATCTATTTCATTTATTTGGAAAATGTATGTACATAGAATACCTTATTTTCTCCCAACAACTGTGGCATTGCCATATAGTTTTAAAGTGTGCCTATAGCTCTCTGTGTCTCAAATAGAGAAGCTATCAATACATGTTTTCCTCTTTATGCTTTTCTTAAAAAATTCATAACCAAATAGGAAATTCCCCAGCTAAATTAATAAAACCAGGGAAAGTAAGGGCAAGGACTTTTCCAGGCCACATAGCAGTATACCTTACCACAGAAACAAGGAACCAATTTTTATGAAATTAAGTGTTTGAACTGGGATCTATTTTCATAGAAATATATAGTTAAAAGTATTTATTTGGTAGCAGATCTATGGTTTATTCTGCAATCATAAATATGAGTGGGTTTGTTTAACACAAGAATATATATAAAGCACCCGGACAGGACATAAATTACTTTCACATAACCAATACAGGAATAAAGGAAAGGTATTTATGCAAGTGTTAATATTTCAGTTCAGATTTTTTTTTCAGTTCAGATTTTTATTGCTAATCATATTTTAAAATAATTCTAATTCTAAAGCTATTCTAGATCTTTAATGTCTATTTCCTTTAGGAAGTTAGGCTCTGGGTGAAATAATTAGTTTAATAAGAGAATGTAACAGTTCAGAAGGTTCAATGGTTTATCTAGTTTCGTATTATCTGGCTTCTTCACGACCCTGGGGACCTTGGGTAATGTATTTAGTCCCCAGGTCTCAGTGTTCTCTGTCAAATGGCGCGCCCAGAACTTCACAGAGCTGTGTAGTAATTAAGGAAGATATATATACATTGTACACCTTATAAAGCCCTTAGAAGAGTCTGGTGCACAATGAGTACCCAAAAATGTTAGCTCTAAGTGGTAAAAGCAGATGGAGAATTTACAATGTGCCTGGTGTGGTGGCATACACCTGTAATCCCAGTACTCAGGAAGCCAAGACAGAGCATTGCTCTGAGTTCACGGCCAGACTGAGCAACACAGTGAGACCCTGCTGCAAAAAACCAGAAACAACCCACCCCCAAAAGAATTTAAAATCAGGATCCTGTGCTTTGTCAGCACGCCCTCTTTCAGCAACTATCCTTATTTATCTAGGAGACTCATGGCATGCAGTTTCCTCCCCTAGAGCATAGGTAAAACCAGCCTAACAGTCAATTTCACAGAAAGGTGAAACAATTCAGGATTTCACATATGCTCGTTCTCTACTCTCACACGCTTCCTCGGGCAGGGGGAAATGCTGCATCTTGAAGGGTGCTGGTTAACTCAGAAAATATACTCCAGCGGTGTAATTTCAAATGCTATAGCAATTAAGACAGAAGTTATTGCAGACAGCAGCTGCAGTGATATGTGCTTTCACTTAAGAGTTGATAAATGCTTACTTCACCTCTGCATAATGTGGGTTTTGTTACTTACAGTTAATATTCTTAACAATGATATATTTTGGATAGCTCTTCAACCAAGGGTATTGCCACCTCTGAATTACTTGATTACTAGTTATTACAAGTAATATGATCCTTCCCTTCTCTTGTCTTAGATACTTTTCAGACATTTCACTGTGTATCAATTCCAGATTAAAAGATGTAAAGTGTAACATACAGTTTAAGGTCTTGTTAGAAAATGTGATTAAAAATTAAGATGGAAATGTTTCGTTACAAAGAAATTACCATTATTTGTAGATTTTCTTTCCTTTTTATTTTAATCAGTTTGTACTGATAAAAGGGAACTGGTTACCCATCCCACGGGCACTCACAGCTCCATGTGACCAAACTGAATGCATCATCATTCCCCTTACCCCGACTGTCACGCCTTCAGACACCCAGTCACTCACAGTAGAAACCTCAAGTTAACAAAGACCTCGCCTACACCTCAAGGTGGAACTTGTCATTGAACGTGGCCAACTCCAGCCCCTCCATCACTCTCTAGGGCCGGTGTTTATAGCAGAATACAACTGGGAGGAGCAGTGTGGTAAAACAGCTAAGCACACGGACTGTGGAGCGCTGAGCTTGCTAGGTTTGTATTTGTGTGCTCTCCTCCCCTCGCCACCGAATAGCTGTGGCATGCCTGGCAGGTTACTAATTCTTTCTGTGCCTCTGGTTCATCTGTGAAATGAGGATAATGATGGTATCTCTCTCAGAGATTTCATGAAGATTAAGTAATACATGTCAAGCATTTAAAAACTGTGCCTGGGACATAGCAAGCCTTATACAGGTATTATTAGTCATTAATATCATCATCATTTCCACAGGCTGTTTAGTGTTTGTGGTTTCTGGGTGCTAAATGCTAAGCGCTTCCCCAAATCACGGCGACAGTTAAAAATGCTCTCATGCAATTACTCCAAATTCCACCTGGTCCTCTCCATCCGAACACCTTTTTACTCTTTCATCATAGTCTTTAGCTCTCCCACATGTCAGTACGTATTTCTAAAGTACAGACCTTACCACCAGCGTGGTACATGAAGTTTTGGGGGTTGGCACTGTCTGCCTACATAGCTCCATCTATTCTTACTGGTGCACCCTCATACTTATCTTTTGTCTGCCTGGCAAATTTCTACTTATCATAAGTTAAGGACCATTGCAAACAGCCTGGTTCCTATTTCAGGTCCTCCTAGGAGGAACTGGTGTTATCTGCTTCTGGAGCCCATGCCTTGTACTCACTGCTAGTGTAACTAACAGCTAACCTTGAGTGCTGCAGTCAGTGATTTATGTGTTTCTTCTCCCTGGTATAGCATGAGATTCTAAAGAGTAAGCACTAACCCTGTGCATGTCTTCCTGGTGAACATGAAGGTTTTATGAATAACAGAGGCCCAAATCATGAAAATGAAACATTTCTGATCTGTTGCATACTTATAATAATTTTAAAAAAGAATTTACACATAACATACCTGCTCCATTGATGTTTCATGAAGTTCATTAAGATTAAGGGTGTAAATCCCTTCTTCAGCACCAAATATCAAGTACTGATCTGAAATAACAAAAGCACTTCTCTGATTTCAATAAATAAGGTACCCTTAAAAGTCTATTCTAAAGCTCAGTAAATATGTGCTAACGTATAAAAAGATTAAATACTTAGAAAAGGCTGACACTCTAAACTTATAAATTGGGCTACATATAACATAAACAATAGCCTCAAGGCAGTGAGGAAGATGGTTACAGAAGGGAGGTTTGCAGCGCGGCCTGCTGGACTCTTCACTCACCACAGCGGGTTACTGACTGGCAGAGCATGAAGCTCTTCCTAAACCTCCTGAAGAACAGATCACGCGAAAGTGACACAGAATGTAGATCAAGAATACCTAATACAGATCCGAAATATTTTGATAGACACTACTTTTTCCAGGCTACTATTATGAGCACTAACATGAAAAGCTCTCTACCATCAAATGGCTGTGCAACAATGAATCTGACTATCAATTTCCCAGTCTGTGAAATAAAAGAACCTATGTCAGATATTTAGGAGCTTTAATAAAAACACACATGTGCATTTTAACACATATATAAAACATTTTCATATGTTTCTTGACATGTATTATATATAAATAAATACTGGGATTTTTTGTTTTCTTGAGAGAGGGTCTCACTATGTAGTCCAGGCTGGCCTTGAACTCACTATGCAGCCCAGGCTGGCCTCAAACTCGTGGCAGTCTGTCTGTGCCTGTCTCCCTAATTTTGGGATTACATGCATGCACCACCACTGCTGGCTATATAAACATACAGTAAGACACAGATATACAGCAAGAGGATGGGGACTCCTTAACTCAGTGCCATGGGACAAACATTCTAATTATGACCCCTGATAAAATGGCCTCTGGATCCTGGTTCCTTACTGTTATAGCTAAATTCCTTGAGTAATGGCTGTCTAAAAAATAAGTATATTCAACTACTGTGTAGCAGCAGAGGAATCATCTCTGGAGCAAATGAGAGTAGCAAAGAGCATGACACACATTATATTGATGTGACTACAGTAAAATTTAATGCTCGCCGCCTAAAACACTGATAACAATATGGAGAAACATTTACCTTAAGATTTGAAAAAATTTATACTAAAACATTTTTCGGTAAAGATATTAAAAATGAATAAAACCAAATGCTCTCATAGCCCCAGGTGGCAAGAAATTAGAAAGATAACAGACAAAAACATATGGTACTACCTCTTGTATCTGGGTTTATCCATGAAGTTGCACAGTGAATTTTCAAGGGGCACCCATTAAAAACCTTTGAAAAACATGCACCCATCTGGAAAAACAAATAACCAACATGAAACAGTGAAACAGAATGATTCTCAATACAATGTAGAAGATGTAATTATTTTGTGTTAATACGGGATACTACAGAGGGCATAATGAAATTATAATCACCTTCAAATTTACGGAGATAATTGTGTTGAATCAGTCACTGGCCTAATACAAACTTTTTAGTAGCACACAGTTTCTAATTATAACAATGACTTTACATGAAAGAAAGAAAGAAAAAACCAATTCACTCATATTTTATCTTTTAATTAAACAAAACGCTAATAGCAATCAATTCAACATTAATAATTTGCTTATCAGAGTAGCAATATCCCATATCAAGAGCATATAGTATTCTCTGTTAAGAAGGGAACCATAATACCCACAAGGTAAGACATTTTTCTCTTTGGTATCATGATAAATATGGTATTAGTCATTGTATTTTAAATTATGAAGTAAAAGTGGTACGACTGAAATTCATATTATATGCTTCAACCTCAAAACATACAGGCCCCCTCTTTTAAAGAAGAATAATATGATTATTTTCCTTGGTAAGATTCATTAAAAATATTAGCCTGATGTTAAATTATCAAGCCTACTTTTAAAAATCTTTCAGATAAATATTTTACAGTGAAATATTCATTTGAACTCTATGTCTTCAAAGAGCAAAATATTAATTGTAAAAATATTTTGGTTAAAAACTCAAGATACAAGAACGGTTATCTACTTAAGCGCATTTATTACCGACACCTTGAGAGAAAATTCATATGGAAGTATGCAATCACAGGAAACCTGTATGTGCGCCCTGATACCCTAAACTGAACAGCACGATACACTGACTGACAGCAAGAATGTTTCCTTCACCAACTTGGACACAGCATGCTCACAGAACCCGGGTTTAACAACTAACACCAATTACAATAAGATTGTAATTTAAAATTAAAGTTAAATTTCCCTTTTAATGATAGAAATGTACCAATCAATATTTTTAAAGATTTTAGTACCAAAAGACCAACACTGGCTAATAGGCAATACCATCAGATGGTAGGGTGGCAATAAACAATGTCCTCATGCCACAGGGCAGAAACTGAGTCACTTAATAAAACCTAGATCACCAACAAAATTTGTATATTAAGGGACTGCCACATCTCTAGAAATCTAAATGACAATATATGCAACAAAACAGCAAGCCCCACCCTTATGCTAATTTGTATAGCTGGATTTTCTTTTTTTCAGCAGTCAACAGTTACCAGCTTTTTTGTGTCAGGCTATATACCTAACCTGGGGGGCTGGGGATTTAGCTCAGCGGCAAAGCGCCTGCCTGGCAAGCGCAATGTCGTGAGTTCGGTTCCTGGTACCGGAGAAAAACCAAAAAAAAAAAAAAAAAAAAATATACCTAACCTATTTACCTTACAGCCAAACAGGAAGTTTGCCCTATGATATCTATTTCCCTGCTTTAAGCATGTGTATAAGTATTGCTGTGTGTATGTGAATGTGTAGCTATATATATAATATATATGAAAGATACTGCATCTACTTCCCTGTTAGTGTATATGGAGGTACATATATATATACATATATATACATAGTATGACAATATATAACACAAAGCGTACTTTAAATTATGAAGGTAATTTGAAGTATATGATTTATAATGTAAAGTAATTTATAACAAGTATGTATTATACTAATATACATGTAATATATAATTAATAATGTGTAACTATTTTACAAAGTAGAATGAAAAAGTAACAGGCTAAAAAGTAGAGTTGGGGGGTTAAAAACTAGAGAAATTAAGGACATCTAAACTAGTGTTAAGGTTTTATAGATTGATAGCAATGAAATGCAGTTCTAGCTATAAAAACTTAAAATTTATGACACACATGATACAGTCATTCTACTACCGGGTACACATCCAAAGAGACCAAAGTCACTATGCTGCAAAGACATCTGGGCTATCGTGTTTATTTCAGCATCACTCACAACAGCCAAGATGCAAAATCAACCTAAGTCTTTATTAGCAAGTGAATAAAGAAAATGTGGTATATTCGCATCAGGGAATATTATTCAGCCTTACAAAAAAGGAAATCCTGCCATTTAGGCCATGTAGGAACCTGGACGGATGTGATGCTGAGACACGCTAGTAACAGGATGAACTGATACTTCATGGGCTCACTTATTTGTGGAATCTAAAAATGCTATAAAAGCAAAGAAGAAGATGGTGGTGGTTGCAGGCTGGGGGAAGGGAGAGGACTGAGAAGACGTTGATGAAAAGACACACAATTTTAATTAGGAGGAATAAGTTTAAGATATCTATTTTATAGCATGCTGGCTACAATTAATAACAATACCCTGTACTTGAAACTTCTCATTTATTGAAAGTTGTTTAAGAGGCACAAGGTACATGACAAGCACGCCACTTGTGTGAGGAAAGCTTTCAGAGGGATGAACTGCACTGTAACTACAATGCTCCCTTTTTTCATATGTTTTAAACAGGTTTTTAGCAGGACCTATAAATTTTATAAAATATTGGGTTTCAACATGGCATTTTTACATCTGATCATATGCATCTCCTCTACAGCTTCCCTTATACTCATCCCTTTACTTCCTTCTTCTTGTTTAGTAATAATAGTCTCCCTTCTACTTTGATGCCATCTTTTTTTAAGTTCCACATATTAGGAAAGATATGTGATACAGTACTACTTGGCTTTCAGACTTTGGCTTATTTTACTTAACATGACAACATACTACTCCACTCATTTTCCTACAAATGATATAATTTTTTTCTGGCAGAATAATATTCATTGTACATACATTCCACATTTTCTTTACCAATTTTAAAAGAATATATTTTAAATGTTTCCACTACCAAAAAAACAAAAATGAAACAAGACAAAAAAACCCACGAGGCAATATATATGTTAAATAGCTTGATTTAGTCATTCCATAATCTATATGTGTATCAAAACACTATCCTGTAGACCACAAATATAAACAATTTTTACCTGTCAATTAAAAAATTTAAGGCCAGGTGTGGTGGTGCATGCCTGTAATCCCAGCACTTGGGAGGCTGAGACAGGAGGGTTGCTCTAAGTTTGAAGACAGCCTGAGCTACAAAGTGGGTTCAAGGTCAGTCTAAACTACATAGCAAGGCCTTGTCTCAAAACAAAACAAAAGAAATTTTAAAAATGAGAAAGATAGCATGGCATAATTAAAAATAAAAACCAAACCAAACCAAACCAAAACAAAACAAACAACAACAACAACAAAAAATCCAGCCAAAGTATCACACAGGAGATCCAAGTTCTGAGTAGAGTTTAGTGGAGTTTTATGATTGTAGTAACCAAGATCTAGCCTCAGTTTCACTGAATCAATGACTTGGGCCAGATGCTCCATCAGGTTCCCAAAATGCCATATTCACATTTTGTTTTTCCTACAATATCCATGTTGCTTTTACATTTTTTCAAATACAGCTGCAAACAGGATATTAATAAATTTTTGGATCAAGAAGCTTTAAAATGTGTAATTTATTATACTTTTTACTTTGAAAAGCTACTTTTCAGATGTAGTAACATTTGAATTAGTAATTACGTAGATTTTTTTCAATAATCATGGAGGTTCTTTTAATTAGGTTAAAAAAAATCTAGCCAAAGATACACATTTAAGCAACCTGTACTTGTCACTGTACTTACCTGTGCATTGTAGTCTGAAAATTTAGGCTGTTTGATACTTGATACTTACATGCACTTTAGGTGTGGGGGGAAGACCATTACTAATAGGCTTCTAGAAAAAAGAACACATACATGATTGTAATTCTTTTTGTGGCTTTCTGGCATGAAAATAATATTTTTCAGACACATTTATCTGAATAAAATACATGAACTTTATATTTTATGAATTTTAACTTTATGAATTATATACTTTATGAATTTTGTTCATAAAGCATACGACACTTAATTTTCCTACGGTCCTTCCATATTTGCTAGCAGATTCTCCCAACAGAGGAGTGTGCACTCTTTCTCTAGGAAATTATACATGCTCATGTATTTGCTTAGTGTTCTAGACTTTGTATTTTGGTGGGGTAAGTGCTGGAGATGAAAGCCAGCACCTAGAGCGTACCAGGTAGCATTCTACCACTGGGCCCGACAGCTTTCTAACCCTTTTGTATCATTTATACACAAGTCCTCCCAGAAAATGCCATTTCTGTATGTGTTAGAACATACATAGCTATGCGCTCTTTATCTACTTATTCTTTGCCTTAAAATACTCCATTTAATCCATATACCTGAGAGTCATAGGGACCTGACACTAACCGCATCTTAGTATGAACATAACATACTTTATCTAGCTATTCCTTAACTGTTATTGGAGATTTAGGTTATTCTCAACTCTTTCCTGTAAGAATGGTGAAATGAACCTGTATAACCTTCTTACGCAATGTGTGAATGTTTTTAAGGGTATGTACTCTGTGAGAAGTGAAACGACTGGCTGCAGGGTCAGCATTTGCATTTACTGAGTACTGACTGCCTTTCCCGGCATCTACAACACATCATACCTAACAGCACTGTATACAGTTCTGGTTCCGTAAGGCAGTATACTCAGGCAGTATCGTGAAGATGGTTAGGTAAAAACGCTCTCTCTCACGTTTCTCAATTTCATGCCTCTGATGACAAGGAAGGGGGAGAACCTTTTTAAAAACCATGCATTTGCTTTCCTATTTCCTTTTCTGAGATCTTTTTCCCATTTTTTACTGTTATTTTTTATATCTATTTGTTGCTTTTTCATATATTGAGATCTGAATATTTTATGCTTTATGAATTAGAAATATTTTCTCCTAGCCTGTAGATTAAGTGAACCTTTTTTACAGTATGTTTCATTAACTGAACTTTGTATATAAATAAAATTGGGGTTGGGGGACAGTGATGAGGGCTGAACTCAGGGCCTCACATACGGTTCACCAACACTATCACACCTCTGCTCCTGAAGGATAAATTCTCATCAATTCACGTATTAAACATTGGTCAGAGCAGACAGACAACTATAAGGAGAAAGCTGTGCTCACCCACAATATCCTTTTTTTTTTTTTTATTTTAAAGAGTAGTAAATGAGACATAAACAAAAAATAGAATAGCAGCATACCCGTATAACAAACATAAACAAACCAAAGCAAGAACATTTAAAGTGATACAATCTCCCGTAATATCCTCACAAATGCCAGGTATTTTTAGAGATCACATCTTTAGTACATGAACTATCCTCTTGAAAAGGATCTTTCTTTATGTTAATCTTAGTAACAGCATTTTAAGGAAATGACATAATGTTTTTCCTCAATTTGATATAAATCAGAATCATTTAAATGGTATGATAAAAATCAAAAGTTACTTATTGATTTCATATATAACATCAAAATGTCAAATGACATTTCTTAACATTATATGATGTTTTGGGTGGGGGAGGTTATCTCGGTAAAGCACTTGCCTAGCATATGTAAGGACTGTGGTTCAATCCCTAGCACCCACTTCAAAAAAAAAGACATTACATAGTATTTGACTTTGTATATTCATTTTTGAGAATGTAGAGCATCATATTATTCCTACCAATTTCTGGAACTTTTATTCCACTTCACAACTAACTTTTGTTTTTACACTGACTCCTATAAAGTATCTCGTGTCTATTTCAGCAAAACATTTTAAATATTTAGTATTTTTAAGTAGAGAGCTGTGAATGTTATGTTCAGATTTAATGTAAGCATAAACAAAATAGCTGTAAGTAGCTTTAAGGAGCTGCACACCATACTTCAATATACTACGGATACTGTTTCCGTCACGACACAGCCATGGAGTTTAGAATTACTGACATTATTAGTTCCCTAGCCTAATGACGTATGATAAAGAAAATGTGGATTGAAAATTCTTTACAAAGCTTGTAACTTTCCAAAGGGTATTATTATTTATCAATTCATTATTTTTTAAGACAGGGTCTCACTGTGTAGTTCAAGCTGGCCCTAAACTCACTATGTAGCCCAGGCTGGGCTCAAACTCACATCAATCCTCCTGCCTCAGTCTCCTAAATTTTGGGATTACAAGCATGTACCACCACACTTGGCCCAAAAGGTATTATTACATACAAGTTGAATCTGGAAATTTGAAAAAAACCTGAAGCTTTTTGAGCCCAATGTTGCAGATTCTGGAGCACTTCAGATTTTGGATTGCTGGATCAGAGATATTCAACCAGTGAAGCTTTTGTAAATACTCCAAAATCCCAGACACTTGTGGTTCCAAGCACTGTGGGTAAGCAGTGCTTACACCCTACTGTGCTACAGTGATTCAAGTGAACTTCTGTACTACTGCATAGCAGGGCTGTTAAAATTTAAACTGACAAGAGCAAACAGGTGCTGCTCGAAGAGACTGAACTTTACAGGGTTCATTCTTAAAGGACACTTAAGGCTTTTGTTAGAAATGTTCTAACTGCGTGATGTGGTGATGCACGCTTGTAATCCCAGCTATTTGAGGCTGGGATCACAAGTTTGAAGCCACTCTGGAAAGCACAGCAAGACCCTGTCTCAAAAAGAGAATATAAAAAGGGCTAGGAATGTGGTTTACCGGTAGAATGTTTGCCTACCACGTATGTGGTCCTGGATTTGATCTCCATTAGTGGGGGAAAAAAAAAATCCCTAAATTTCCAAATTATAGTGGGCAATGCTAGTCAAATGCCCTGAGTTATAAAAAATGGCATGTCATCATCTATAGCTTAAAAAAGTTAAATATAATAAAAAGGCCTCTGATACTATAAAACCCTAATGTATATTTACACATGAACATAATTAAATGTATTACAAATTTCTATATAAGCAGTACAGATTGTAACTATAAAAACTTCAAATCATCTCATCGATGTTTGCCATAGTATTAGGGATTTTGAGGATTTTTTGCTGTTATTTTGAGGTCTGTAAATATAGGTGAGTGTATTCTAGTGATCAGGAGCCAATTCTTTACAAATGTTTAAATTTTTCAGCCATTATGAGCCCTGATAAACATACATTTCAGTATTATATCAGTGTCTCATCTAACATTTGTGACAGGAGTAGCTGCTAACAATAACTTCACTATTTCTGAAGTGATATCTTGTATCTGCTAGAAAATAATTTTCTCCCTTTGTTAACTATTTACTTTGTATAAGGGCAAAATTTTCACTTATTATGTGATCTACAGTTAGCAATTTGTCCTGAAGTAGAAGTTAAGTTTTTCTTCTCTATGTCCTTCTTTCCACAACTTTTTAATACTATAAAGTAGATTCTATTTTTTTCTTTTTGGTGGTGCAGGGGATTATACCCAAGGCCTTGTACATGCTAGGCAAATGCTCTAGCATCGAGCTACAATCTCAGTCCAGTCAGAGGGATTTTAAGAATCAATTCTCATCAGTGAGAATAATAATACTTACTTTGTGAACAATCACAAGAATACTGTTTACCTGTATGAAGATCACGTTTTATAATACATTAAATAAAAAACTGGTGTAAGTAACTTAAAGAAGAGAAAAATCTAAATAATTTAAACGAGAAAGCCATTGTTCTAATTTACCACAGCAAAGTGACTTTCTAAAACCCTTAAGTCTGTTCGTCATATTACTCCACTAAAACACCAACACATTAATTATAAAATCCACGACTGCTGTAGTTTCACTAGCTCTAAGTGTCAAATTAACTTAACAGTAAACAGGGAAACAAGTGTGAGCAGAGCTTATAAACAGTAATACCTACTGGTACATCCTTCTTTTCTTTCCTCGAAAGGTTTGTGCTTCTATGCTCATTCTGTTGCTGATATAATGATCCATCTCGCTCACCATTTAACTGAAAGGAGCTCACTCCATTTCCTTCAATAAGACATGTTTAAAAATAATGAGAAGTGATTAATTTTTATTAAGAAAATTATTAAGTAGGAAAGAAAAATATGAATCTAAGACAGTTTCATTCTCCAATTTAGATCATTTCAGATCATTTGAATCATAATATTTAATCCCAAATTAAGAAGTTTTATATGTATTTTCTTCTAGTTAAACCTCAATTTCTGGCATATTAGGCAAATTTAAAACCAGGTTGTATCTAAGTATACTTTTTTATTTTTTCTAGATTAAAATGGAAAAAGTGAAATGCCAGATTCATAACTACTTTCAGAAAAGGGGTAATTTATATTATCTCACCAAGAAACATTAGTTTGTCTTTTTTTTGAGACAAGGTCTCACTCTGCAGCCCAGGCTGGCCTCGAACTCATGGTAATCCTTCTGTCTCAGCCTCCCAAGTGCTGGGACTACAGGCATGTACCACCATGCCTGGCTACTTTGTCTTTTTAAAATTACTTCTTTTGGATAAGGCAAACGAAACTTTAGAGTGTTAAAATAGCACCTCCTAGTACTAACTTGGAGGCAATATTTAGCAAATAATGATAATAATTTAAAAAAATGATTTAATGAAATAAAGGAGTTAAATGAAGTACTACTTCTCTTTTTAAAACACAAGTGGACTAGAGCCCAAACACATTTTCCTTGCTTATTCAGAGTTTAATTTCTACTCTTTATGTGGTATAGATGAATGGGGATAAACCAATGTCCAAAAGAGGGAAGGCTAAATATGAAATGAAAAACAAGGGGCAAGATACCCCAGACTGTGTCATAGGGATCTCTGTTATTAAAACACTTTGAATTATGAAGCAAAAAGGAGAAAACACCTCCATCATCATCGTTCCCTTCTTTTCTCTCACAGAGGAGCTTTAAGTAAGTTTTTGCTTAGTTGTTTGGTTTTTTGAGACAGGGTCTCACTATGTAGTACAGGCTGGCCCTGAACTTTCTTACGTAGCCTAGGCCAGCCCCAAACTTACAGCGATCCTTCTGCCTCAGCCTTCCAAGTGCTGGGATTGTAGGCCTGCGCCACCATGCCTGGCAAACAAACTCTTGATATCTGCCCCCCTTCATATGACAACCTCTCTACCATTACCTAAAACAATAGGCTTTTGTGGGGGTATTCTGGGTGGTGGTGGTCTAGGTGGAACCTGGGATGGCTTCGCTGGGCTCCCTGACGTGGGACATCTCTTGATCGTTCCTCGATTATCATCCTCAGTAGAATGAATTTCTTGTGGTATGAAGATGGACTTAGGCTGAAATAAGTAGAATAAAAGGAGATCAATGAATAAATGTGAAATTATTTTCTTGAAATAAATATTAGTATCTATCAGAGGCTTCTGAACTGTTTTTTTACCAGATGACTTTCAAAGCTACTCAACTATCCCATGCGGATTATTTTAATATAGTTTAAAAATACGCTAAAAATGCTCTTAAAATGTTTCTCAAGTTTTGCAGCTATGTAAAAATAAAGGGGAAGTGGGGTTCTAGGTCTTTTTATTAATTCCTCCCAAGACTTCCTACATAGGTCTATAAAAATATTCTAGTCTTTTTGATATCCTCCACTTTAAACAAGTATTTTTAAAATTTTTTCTTCAGTACTTGGTGTTTTGAACCAAAAGCTTTCACACTGAGCCACACCCTAGTCCTGTAGGTGTTGGTGGTACTGTCATTATTACTGACTAGAGAAAGGATCTTTCTCAGTCTCCCAGACTGGGCTCAAACTTATGAGCCCTCTGCTTCAACCTCTCAGACTACTGGGATTACACGCATAGGCCATCATGCCATTCTAAAAAGACTCTCTATTGTACATACTCATGTTAACCAAAGCTCAGCTGCTTAGCAAGGCTAATATAGACTATGCCTTAGACAACTCAACATGTTTATATTAATACATAACCTTTCAGACAAAGTACAGGAGAAGATACGCATTAAACTGTTCTCAGGTTGGAGAACGCTAGCAAACCCATAGGCGATACCTGAGAAATATTTTGTGCAGAGAGTGTAAAAACTTCATCAGCTAAAGGTTTTGACAATCTATAAATTCTTACAAATGTGTCCCTTACTATGAAGACTTCCAGCACTTAGTTCCTTGAAATTCAGATCTTTACATTTTTGCTAATGTAAATAAGCAAGCACAACATCATTTATTCATGAGTCAAGATTTTCTTAGTATAAAATGAAAACTACATCAATAAGTTAGATATAAGATTGTAAGAACTTAACCCCCACTTACAATGCCGACTTCAAACTTAAAAACAACGAATCATTAAATTTTTCTACATATGTAAACTTCCAAAATAAATTTATATTACCACTACCTACATTAACTCATTTTACCTTTAAAAAAAAACCCATCTGGAAATACTTTATTATTTTACAATGACGTTTTTTTTTTGCACCAGGAATCGGACTTGGGAACTTGCACTTGCCAAGCAGGTTCTTACCTCACTGAGCTATATCCCTGGCCTCCATATGATGATTTTGTTCAGCAAGATTCTGTTGTTAAATTTTTTTTTAAAGCTACTGCCCCATTTTGCACTTTTAATTTACAATTATTTTCTGAAAATTAAATATTAGTGCCATTACTATCATTTAATCATTAAGAAACAGTTATTAGATTTTGAGGAAGACAATCTAACAAGAAATGCTACTTTTCTAACTCACAATGAAATAACACTTATTCACTAACATAATTATTTTTACTGGATAAATGACTAGAGCTTATTACTTTGAATGAACCCTAAATGATAGGTTGGGAATTTTTAAAAGACAAAAATAATCTAAACTATCTTCTTAGATCTTAGTTAGCAACTTCACAATTTTTCTTTGTGGACTGCAAATGAAAATATCAGTACTTTACAACAATACCCACATGCACATAGGCAATCCAAATTGAAAAATAACTTGTCTACCTTTGGTGGCAAAGGTGGTGGAACTTTTGCTTTCATAGTTGAACTAAAAGTAAAAAAAAGAGTTTGTAATCAGAATTCTTCATTTTACAAGTGAACCATTACCAAAATGTATTTTCAAAGTTATGGAAGAAAAACTTGCAAAATAAGTACCGTTTCCTAAGGTTATATTTTTCCCTCAAAATAATTTGTAAAATGTCCAAGTTATGTTGAACAAGGTATTATACAGAAATAATTGGGTAAATGTGCCTTGTTGGTTTCAAATACTATAAAGTAATTAAGTTGGAAAACAGTTACAATTCTATTTTATATCCACTAAGTGGTAAATAATTAATATAAAAATGTAAGCAATGGCTGGTTTAAGAAAAACGATGTAGTATAAATATATCATGTTGTAAGCTTCAGTTTTGTTGTTTGAGATGATTTTTCATGATGCTCATCAAAACTATACATGTGTTCTATGAAATGCAGGCAGATTTTGAGTGAAGCTAAAGGTCATACAAATCACGATTGGTTTTAGAAACAGAATTAAACAATGATCAAGCACAAACTTCTCAGAGGAGGACACTGGGGCTGAAGTTACGTGGCCTGACTATTGTCCAGGTAATGAGGTGGAGAGAATGAAACTCCACTCCACGTGCTACTCAGGTGCTCCCGACTATGCTGACACAGCATCTTTCTTTACCAGCCAAAACAAAAACAAACCAGGACCAAATATCAGTGCATTCCTAAAAGTGAAAGCATTTCCCTTTTAAAAATATACAAGGTTATCTAAAATGTTCATTTTAAACCCATCAGATGAACATTTAATTAAATATATTAAACTTCATAGTTGTAATAATTACAGAAGCTAATAATTACGGACAACTACAATAAATATTTTCTTTGTTAGTTTTTCCAAGTTTCTTGTTTGCATTTAGTGTTATAGACTAAACTATCTTCTCAAAAGTCACATGTTGAAGACCTAACTGCCAAAGTGAAATCTGAAGACAGGGCTTTTAGGAGGTAATTAGGATTCCATGAAGTAATAATGGTAGTGTCCTAAATCCACAGGATCGATGGCCTTAGAAGAAAAGCAAGGAAGAGTGCCCTCTTTCCTGTCATTGCACACAGTGACGAAAGCCATGTGAAGACAGCACCAGAAGATGTCTGTCCCAGAAGCCCAACTGGCAGCCACCAAGATCTTGAACGTTCCAGGCACTGAACTGTGAAAAGTAATTCAGTGTTAAGTCACCCAGCCTAGGGTATTTTGTTATGGCAGTCCCAGGTGACTAACACAACTGGGATAGTAAAGAGGAAACTGTTACAATCCATGATACTGTGTTGCTTATCATATTAAAATCATCTAACATTAAGCTGCCGGATTTATAAAATCAGGTCAAATGACATCTGTTCTTTTTGCAAAAAAGAAAAACAGAACTTACTGTTTAGATTCATCATCATCTCCTTCATCATCTTCTAAATGTGCCACATGTCCTCTAAAGGAGAACAGAGGCCATCATTACATTGAATGGACTTTACCAAAAAGGCTAAGAAATTTTAGAAATTGCAGTAAGCGCTACTATGGGACAAAATTTTATTTACCTTTATAGGATACATTGAAAACTACAACAACATAATATTCTCTCCATGACAGAGAAGGGGGAAAATGATTCAATTCACCCGTGACCTAAGTATTTTTAGCTTAACTAAAAATTAAAATTACCGCTGATGTAATTCTTCTTCAACGGACTTTAGAAGACTCCTTGAAAGAAAACACAAAAACGAAATATAGTGTGAACAAATATGTACCAAGTATATATTTTATCAATTTAACCTTACCCACAAACTTTTAAATGATTATGATTACTTTATTACCATTTACTGTAAATTTGCTACAATGATCACCTCTGTACCATGAAATATCAAGTTAATGAGTTAATATCAAGTTAATCTCTATTTTCTGTTGCTAATGTCTTTATGAATAAATATATATACATATGTATTTTAAATGAACAAAATAAATCCTAATGTGTACCAAAAAATACCAATTCAAACAGAAGACAACTCACCATGAAATGTCACAACAGTATTGACAAAACAATAATTGCAGGGTCACAGTCAGGAGCTTCCAGGATTCAAATTTTACCTGGAATATCATACCTGACACCTGAAATTATATTGTCTTTCTCTGAAAATAAGGAAGGGACACACTTTGAAAAGATCATGCTCTCAGACAATCCTACAAAATGAAACTCAACATATTGGATCTCTCTGCAGAAGCATGCATGCATGTGATGTGAATACATGAATGTAGTAGCACTTTGCTTTCACAGAAGACACAAACTTACCTGAAGGATTTGCTCTCCAGTGGTGCACTGGCAAACACATTTACACTTTTGGGAGACTAAGCCTGTATCAGACCAGGTGTGAGGATTTTACCATTAGGAGAAGTATATAAAGTTCAGTTATCAGGGATGTAAGAGAGAACCGAGGGCATTCCTGAAGTTTCCTTAATTCTTTTCAATGTAACTTCACAGAGCATCCTTCCTAATTATATTCTTCAAATATAAACACTCAAAAGCTTTCTCATTGATAATGGGATACAGAGAAATACAGTTACTGGGATAAAAGTGATTCAGCAGGAAATTTGCTTTCTAAATACTTTCCCCTCCTAATATATGCTGGATGCAACTATCTTTACAATTATAGAACACAAAACCAGGGAGACTGAAAGGCGTGGTTATCGACTGTAAACAACCCATTGACAGCTTTTAGAGATCAATTACTTTAATTAGGCCAGCTTAATAACATCTAAGTTTTTAAGAAATGACAAGTTATAAATATGGAATGGTAAATAACATAAAAACTATAAATCAAGTTCTACTTCAGAGATACAAAAATGAAGGCACCAGTCAAATATCTTATTCATAAAGCTCTCCCATAGCCGGCTCTAGGAAGGCAGGAGCTTCTGCCTAGAGGCAGTGTAGAAAAATGAATGAGCGTAGGTTTTAAAGCAAAGACTGCCTGACTCTGAATCCTGCCTCCACCTCTGCAGGCTGCTTTAGAAAAGTCACTTTGATTTCCCCACACTTCTGTTTCCTTATATGTCAAATGGGAATTATAACAGTACTATATCAAAGTATTTAAAGATATAATTAATTAGCAGAGGTAAAGTGCTTCAAAGCATCTTAGCACATAGTTAGGTACTATTATTGACTAAGCAATTTTGTTTTTTACATGAACAAATTGTGGCCCAGGGATCCTGAGGCTCTCTTAATCTCCTGTAGGGATCTATAAGGTCTTAATTCCTTTCCCAGTCTTATTTTTCATGAGTGGAGCTTTCCAGACACTATACGGCACGTGACATCAGAACAGACTAAATGCAGTAGCAGACATAAAACCTCAGCTGTCTTCTACTAAGTCAGTGTGAAGATCTGAAAGAAATGTAAAGGAATTTCACTTTTCCTACTAACATTTCGTTTCAGAACAAAACCTTTTCATAAAAAATGTTATTAGTAGGTCTCAGGAAAACTTTTTATTTTGTTGCTCTGGTAACTGCTCTCACTGCAGTTATTGGCTGCCTGTAAGTCTCATAAGAGGGCAATCAGTGCTGCTGTAAGGAAAGCACTGTGAGGAGGTGGCATTTGAACTGATCCTTTAGGAACAGGGATTTATTTTAAAACATACAAAACATGTATGTTACTTATACATTATTTTAAAAAATGGATAAATATTTTGAAAAATTCCTCAATTTATTTTCCAGTACTATAAATACTTTGTAATCTCTGTTTAAAAAGCTCTTTGGAGTTCTCAATGATTTTTAAAACTTTAAAGGGATCCTAACACCAAAATTTTGAGGAGCACTGCTTTGAACTATTTTACCAAATTAAACATATCTCTAAGATGTTTAAAGGGCTTTCATGTCATTTTAGGAAATGTGAAAAATACATTTTCTTAAAATACTTTTTCTTAGCACATGACTATTTTTTGAGGCATTTGTTTCTCTAGCAAAAAAATATTAGGATGTGAAAATATTTGGGAAGAAAATTTAACATGTTTTATTTTTGGTTACCGTATTTAGCTGGATGTACATGGCATTCTATTTTTTAAAAAGTCTTTCCGTGAGTTCTTGCAGAGTAAGAGAAAGGGTGAGTAAGAATACGGAAGGGTAGCTAGCCGCGGCCTAGGACTCATGTACACATGCATTACTCGTAAATATCTTGCTGTATGTGAAGATACTTGGTTAACAAAGTTACAGAGTTCACAGTCATCATGGAAAGTGGAGGTATGTGCTTGGAGATACAGCTCAGCGTAGGGCGCTTGCGTAGCAGGCACCTCAGTGTTTGGTCACTAGCGTGGCATGGGAGAGAAAGAGGGAGACAGACAGACAGACAGACAGAGAAAACGAACCTGGCTAACTCTGCTAGAAAGGTCCACTTACAGTCAATGCTACACCGGGAGAGACTGCAGGAAATGTGACAACCAATTTATTCACGAAGCCTGAGCACCGCGCAGCACACAGTGCTGCTGTTCACTAGTCTACTTCTTCTTCTACTGTACAAGTGTTTATAAAGTGAAAAACAAAACAGAAACTACATAACTGAATTACTAAATAAATATAAAACAACATCCATTTTGGTGAAAAAGTTCTAAAGGGCGCGATGTGTGAGCAGATTTAACTGATGAAGTGAAGAAAAGGGCGTGGGTAAAGACCACCCATCAAAACATTCCACATATTTGAATTAGCTAAGGAGGTCATGCTATGAGTTACTAAAATCTTTCAAAGCTGTCCAATGCCCCCAAACAACCTGTATATACTTCTCTATTTCATTTTTCTAAAACTGAAGTTTTATTCACTTATATTATCCCCTTTTTATACAATCAATATTTACTGAGTAACTAACTATAAAGGCCACCAGTATGTATTTACCAAACCAGAAATACACTAACTGCTTTACAGTAATTTCCCTTTAACCCTTAGCATCCTATGAGGCAGATACTGTTATGATCCCAATTTTAAAAGGGACAGTGTTTTTTTTCTCAAAGTCAAGTGATTTACAAGGACAGTCAATTCTGACTCTATCTGTCATTTATACTACCAGTATTACATTCAACTGTGACAGAAGCTGGGCAATTCAGTTTACTCTTGTTCATTATTATTTATTAGAAGAGAATTATCTTTAGAGTTTTTGCTCTACATGTAAACAGAACCTGACAGATCCAGTGACCCACATCTGTAATCCCAGCTACTTGGGAGGCTGAGGCAGGATGACTGCAAACTGAAGGCCAGCCTGGGCAATTTCTAGAAACCCTGTATCAACATTTAAAAAAAGGGCTGGAGAAGTAGCTCAACGGTAGAGCACCCCTGAATTTAACACCCAGTAATAAAAACATACTTAGTTTTCCTCTAAATATATTTTTAGCTAAATGGTTATAACAGTTGGCCCCAGTGATGTCGGAGTTCAAAAGAAAAGGCGGTAATCTGGTATAAGTTAAACACATATGCCTTCTGTTCAAAAAAAAGAGAAAGTAAAAAAGAAAGAAAGAAAGAAAACGCCTACGTAACAATTCTAATTAGACAGTTCCCGCATGATCGGGAACAGGTAGAAACCTGTCAGTGGAAATGTCTGCCTGATCACCTATGGAGAAAGCAGGAAATCCTGTGAGTTCAAAACACTTCCTAGTCACAAGAATAAAGCAGACATATCAGTATAGTAAGAGGAAGTGCTACACCCATGCTCATGTCACATGTATGTGTACACCTGTACACAAAACACAGCTGAAGTGGGACTCTTGGCCAACCTACCTTGCCAGTGATTCGTTATACAGAATACAGTTGCTTAAGCAGGGATCCAATTAATCAAAAAATGAAGGTTGGGCAAATTATTAATATTTTACCTAGCCAAAGTAACTGTAAACTATGACAATGTCTAACAATCAGAAATGAGACAATGGGAATTATGGAATCTGAAAAGCATTCAGCAATGGGCCATACAATCTTGTGTTTTCTACTACATAATTTTAAAACATTTTATAAACCAAAGAAGTAAATGAAGTAGTTTCCAAATTACTGAGTCTTTTAAAATATACCAAAATTTGCTAAAAAGCTTCTTAAAATCAGTGGCCTGATATTTAGAGAAAATAATATTAAAAGACAAACTTTTTATTCACTAACATACTATTAGATTAACTATTCTTTTTTGTTCACCAACAAATGAAGATAAATTATAAATAGCATACAATTATTACTTAGGTAAAGTTTCATTTTCTACCAAGAAAACTGTATACTAATTTTCCAGTCAAAGAAAGATAAAGCCTAATAACAACAGACTTATTAACAATATCACTGCTAAAAATAACAAGTAATAATCCCTTAATAGTTAACTGATCATGTTTCTAAGTTGTCATCCAAAGCTTTTTCTCTGTACTAGGAAAAGACAGCACACTTAAGTAAAAAAATCAAGTGTTTAGCTTATTACGAAAAGATACAATTTTGCATTATTATCCTTAAAACTAAGCTACTTGTCATTATTTACTATTTTTCACCTGTTTAACTTGAAATAATGGGAAGATACTATGTCTCAATTCCCAAAGTGAATGAAAATTGTACAGTATTTTAAAATTTCAAGTTCTGATTAGTAAGATAATATTTACATTACTAGAAAATTCTGGCAATTTAAATAATATTCCCTTATAAAATTAGCTTTTACACTGATAATTTAATCCTGATATCATGAAAGGAGAATGTGAAGGGAAGGGCAGTTCTGACTCCTGCCTAGTAGTGTTTGCAAGCTGCTTCTGTATCACTGGAGATGTTGCTCTGCATGGAGTAGGCAGGGACTAACTGCTACACTTATTTCTTGCATGCCTTGATAACTTCCAAGACATCAAATGCACATTTTAATTGCTATCCACTTTTTAAAAGACTAAGAACTGAAAGATTAAGATGAAGATTTGTAAATAGGATGAACAATGTCAACTGAATTCACTGGCTAAAACATCTGGAAGATGTGCCAAAGCAAGTTTTGTATGAGATAAACAGGCTAACTTCAGAAAGGAAAATCAACTGCTGATAGTATTTATGTTCAGCTGAATTCTTCAGTTAATTCTGAACTGATTTCTCTAATAAGTAAGATCAGCAATGCTGTTTGATGTAAAACATTCTGACTGATCCTCCTCATTATGACAATTATTAACCATAAGTGATAAGCAGGAAAGGAAAGATAAAAAGTGGGAAGCATATTACAAAGCATATCTACAGCCCAATTTAATTTAGTGTCTTTAATAAAATGTAATATTAAAGCAATTTAATTATTTTGAATTTAAATTACATTTTTAAAAAACTTTACTTACTTGTTTCCACCTAGAAAGTAACTACCATGGTGTCCTTGTCCATATTCTAACTGTAGATCCTAATAGTACAAAATAAAACATTTGGTGTGACAGTACAGTATTTATTATACATTCATGACACATTAATACATTTTTTTAAAAGAGAAACTCCAGGCTCCAAATAAATCTGTATTGCTATATATTCTTAAAAAGAAGGTATGATACAACTTCCAACAATAAAAGGTATGTCTTTAGACCTGATTTTTATGAATTGAATATTTTTCTGGGAATTTTCCACAATGACATATAAAAGCTTCATTTATGGCTACTGCCATTGTAATTAACGTTTGTACAACTCAATTTTTAGAAATAAAAAGGTTCCAATAAGATAATTATCCTCTGGCTATAATGAAGCAAAAATGATGAGAGAATAAGGAACAAAAGCCCAATCTGACTTTTTATGTATATATACACATTCACATATTGCCACTGCTGCTTCAAGCAGGTAATTAATTTTTAAAATATCAAACTGGATGCTCTTTTTAAAAGTAAATTATAAATGTGAATTTGTACAACACTGTAAATTGCACTGAAAGACTTTTAAGAATATCATAAAGAGAAAATGGCAAAACTTGAAATGAATATTAAGGGAGTTCCTCAACTATTTAAACATTTCTATTGAATACTGAGGGTTGTAGTGTTAAGAACTAAAATTCAGAGGAATTAACAATGATGTGCTTAAGTCATACACCTTGAGAAAAAGAAATGTGCTTTTCAAGCACCACAGGAAGAATAAAGTTGCTTCCTTAAGAAAAAAATAAGCCATTTGCAGGCACCCCATTTGGGACCCCTCCTGTCTCCGGAGCTATTCCTATTCCCAATTTCTTTTCTCCAATAAATTTTCCTACTCTTGAAAAAAATAAGGCCATTTGTATTTCAAACACTGTTTTCACTGTAAGGGGGGGATATTTAACAGTTTAAATAAATCCTATCTTCATTAGAATATAGAGTACTTAAACTGTTTTTTATTTTACAAGATGTCAGATGTATGATCAGAACTTGATGTAAAAGTCAGCTTGGAGTATCCTTCCAAGGCAAGGAGATGGTGGTAGTATCTAAAGCTTCCAACACACAGATCGCTAGCACCTACCCTGCACTTTAATCTATCCACAAGTGTGTAAAACAACAGCCAGGCTATGAATTACTCAAACAAAGTGAAAAGGTCAAATCCATTTTACTTCCCTGTAATCCATGCTCTAAGAGACAGTACCTGGCACACACTAACTGTGACCTGAATTGGCTTGTTCAAATGCCAATTGCTGATTTTTTATAAATAACATGTCATGTTTGTTAAAGTACACAAAGATAATTAGGTCACAAAAATACTAACCCTAGGAATACGAAGATTCTAGACAACACATTATATTTAAAAGAACAGCACTTGAAGATTTAAGTACTTCAAAACCAATTAAAAAATATGATGAAATCATATTTGACGAAAATCAAAATCAAAAGCCTGAGCTAAGACAAGGCTCAAATTCTGTCTTCTTTAAAACCTGAATTATTCCATACATAATAGTGGAAGTTCTTACCAGTACCTGGTATCAAATGAAATTCTAATGAAAAAGAATACCTATTCTCTCTGATTTATAGTAGTAAAAATCAATGGTATCATAAGACTGCTACAAAATTATTTTACTGCACAATTTAAGTGATCATGACTTTATACAGGAATCTCTAAACTTTGGTAATCAGTAAAGAGAAACACTAATCTCTATGAATACACTTTAAAGCTCAAGGGTGCTTCCTTCAGGTATAGATAAGTAAGCCCTCTACCATACCAGCAACAACTTTAGCCAACATAATCTTGTAAGCTTCAATCACATGACAGCCTCAGATGCACATATTCGTGCACAATGGACATAGGTTCTGTTATACAAAATAGATGTGTTGTAAGAATATCCAGCTCAACTGATAGATGATAATTAGCAGGCTCATAATAATTAAAAACAAAATCAAGTGATATAAGCAGTGCACTTAGGAAGGTAAAGAGAAGTATCTAAAATAACCAAAGTCATAGTTTAATAGACAACTGGGCAGAGGCTCACGTGTGGAATAATATTCATGCCACGGGAGAAGCTGTAGATGGATCCAAGTCTGAGGGTTATGTGTGCCACACACCCAAAGGCTTTCCAGGAAGGCTAAAACTGGAAGAGCCTGCTCTGCACTAACAACTTCTTGCCTCTACATCAAGTTGTGCTGTATTAACTATGGGGCAAAAACAACATGCTGGCCATATTATCAGTAAAGCAGCACACTAAATCCTTCCAACATGTACCTGGTCTACTTTAGCATAGCCATTATTTACCATAAACCTGTTAAATGACAGGAACTTAGCCAGTAAGTCAGATGAAGAAAATGAGAAGAAATAAACAAAAGGAAAGAAACAAAAGTAAAACTAGGGTAAAGTTTTTTTTTTTAAACTATAGTCTAAAAAAGACATTTAAAATCATTTTTAAAAAGGATTCGGAAGCTATTAAATATTAGAAAATGCTACCAAAATTATGCTCAGAAAGCACTCATAATAACCCAAGACAATGGTATTATGTACTATCCTTTAGTAACATAAAAAGAATACATTTGAACATGCACCTAAGAAAGTATTAGTAGCATTAATTAGACATCGATTTATTATTGAGTGGCAATGCTTAAGTATACATCAAGTAACAATACAGACAGAAAACACATAATAACTGTGTAGATAGTCAAGCTGCAGGCTCAAACAAAGGATCAGGATGATTAGCTTAGCATGATTAAGCATCTTTTTGGGTCAAAACGTCCTAATCGCAGCAGTTCATTTTAGGGAATGGGAGAATACTTCCTAAACCTAGAATGAAGATTCTAAGGAAACAAGGTGTGAGAAGGAACTGAAAATGAACAAGAGATGTAACGTGGAACAATGGAAAAAGAAAATATATGTGATCAAGACAATCTGACTGCAGTTAACACCCCATGAGAGACTACACAGTTTAGACCTCATGAAAAAACAGCAAGAAGTAAACAGAATTGGTACAGGTGGCTATCAATACACAAAAGAAAAACATTCAGCAATATATCTTAACCAGAAGGAAAAAAAAAGGAAGAAGAAATTGTTTTCCTCATTTAAAAATGAGAAAACGGTGTCATGGTGCATGCCTGTAGTCCCAGCACACTGGGTCGTCGAGGCAAAAGGATTACAGTTTCAAACCCAGTCTGGGCAATGTAGTGAGACCCTTTCTCAACATAAAAAAATGACTGGGGGCCTCGGAATGTAGCTCAGTGTGAAAGCCCTGGATTTAAATCCCCAGTCGAGACAGAGAGAGACCAAGACAAGAGATGAGAGAGAGGAAACGATGGCATAATAGGTGATTAGTGAAATACCTTTTACTGTGGTGTGTGATTTACAGTAACCACGAGGAAGTGAACCAGTATAATGCAAAGAAGATTGTTTATTTGTTAAAAAGAAAAGCAGATGGTGTAGGAACATTAGCTGATCAGGCAGGATTCTGACTAAAGCAAACTGAGAGGCCTTAAAGTGAGTAACGTGACTTCTGCGTCATAAGCCGGGAAAGAGTCCCAGGAGGTAGGCATGTTCTTCAGACACTGACTCTGACACCAGCGCTAGTTTTACAGTGGGAACTGTGACACGCCCTGCAGTGTGGAGGAACACCGAAAGTATTCTTATGCTATGTTAAGTGAAGTGAGCCAAGCACAAAAGGATAAACAGTGCGTGGTTTCACTTATCTGAGATACCCAGAGAAGGAAAATTCACAGAGACAGACTAGAATGGTGCCACCAGGCGCTAGGGAAAAGGAATGAACTATTAGTTAATAGGTATGAGGTTCAGTGTGGGAAAATAACACTCTGGAGATGAGCTGTGGTGACGGCTGCACAAAAACACAAGTGCACCCAGTGTCACTGGACTGCACAGTTTGAAATGGTTCATTTTATGCTATGTGTATTTTCACACAATAAAAGCCCAGGAAAGTGTGGGTCACGTATGCTAGAGAAGGAGTGAGAGAAAACCAAAGACACCAGAATGCTGCTGGGTGGAGTCAGTACAGCACAGCAGCTCAGGTTTGAATTGCTGAGCCAGGATTCTTAAGTCAAGTCCCAACTCTGTTTAACTGAAAAATAAATTTCAGCTTCTCTGCACCTTACATGGCCTCTTATAAACAAGGATAGTAAGGTATCGCTGAAGGACTGCAATGTCTCTGAGAAATGCATCTTTAGGCAATTTTGAGCGATCATTAAACTAAGGCGGCTACAATGTCACTAGGGGATGTTTTCTCAGGACCGCTGTCCTAGATATTTTGCTGTTGACTGAACTGTCATTGTGCAATGCATGACTATGTCTGTAAGTCTTTAACATCTGGTATATAAGATCTTCTGCATAAATGTTGCTTTTGTTATCACAGACAGTGACCTTTTATAGTTGATTTTATAAATTATAGAATGTGAGAAATGTTTCATTCAGCCAGCTTCTGCCAGAACTACCCACAGGGTCATAGTCCCTAAAGTCCTCGTATGTGACAGGATGCAGTCAGTCACGCCCCTATACCACAAGAAGCTCTTAGGTACAGGCCTGACTAGTTACAGGGAACAGTCATGGCAAAAAACTTTGGGTACTAAGGCAGTTTGACATGTGCTACAGAAGAAAGTATCTGTAACTCTTCTGACTTTGTTACTATTTTTTCTGCACAGAGGACACTAACAAATACTAGCATGAAGTTAAACTTTTATTTTCACTGATTACCATTCTAACCTACATATATCTAATTCTAAAGAAATTTTCAATCCCAAAATCCCTCAGTGTTTTCTTTAGACATTATATCTCACTTGCCCTTATGATAGCTGATTCTCAATCTTCACACTCTCTGGCCTCTCAAGGACAGGGCACATCCCTCTGTTTGAGACAGTGCCTCTTCCTCACTTCCCAATTACCAGTGCAGCTCCACCTGACACTAGTATCACCCCCTGTAGTAACCAGTGTTCTGCACCCTTTCTTCAGATCCAATGACAGAAAACACATGTAATTTCATAGCTTCACCATTACCTCGCTGGTGAGTTGGACTTCCCTACCTCTTTGGAACATAACAATTTTGTGTACTGTACTGTCAAACACTACAATTATTCCAGGAGTAGTATAACAGCGCCCTCATTTCAGCTGTTTTGCACATCTCTTAAAACTGTGGTCTATGCCAATGACTGTTCCCGCATCAATTCCATGAAACACAGGAAGCATCTGTCCATTCCCTTCCTGAAGAACCTATAGTACTGACAGCAGTAACAGTCCCTCGCAGAGGACAGATAAGCCTCACTACCCCAAGTGCTTCTCTATAGTACCTCTTACTAGTTAGCTTTCCCTTATCAGCAGTTGGCACCTGGCAACATTTTGGCAGTCCATTTCAATGAAGGTGAACCTTTTATAGCTTTCAATAGTAACAAATAGCCCACTGCACATGTGTGCCATAGGTTTGCCACCACTGCTATTTTGTCACATGACAAAGAATTTATATGTGCAAGTATTTTTTGTCCATCAAGATAGTAACTCCCTCCACCAAAAGAAATTATGTCTAAAATCTCTTATATTCTACAGATGTTAGAAGACAAAGATTTGAGAATTTATATAAAGACTTATTTAAGCCAACTAAAATTGAAAGAAGTATGCTATTAAGACAGAGAGGAAGGAAAGAGAAAGAAAATTCCACTTGAAAGGTGGAAAAGTTGAATGTAGGAGTAAATGCGGGGGCAAGCTGGGGCTCTGATCAGCCAAGAAATAGAAAAAAGTACTTAATAACAACCATTGAAAGTACTGTTTATTAGGATTTGCCAGGATGAATTTCTCACTTTTTGCTATATAGCAGTAAGATAATATTTATTACACCAAAGATGTCATATGATCCAAAATTTTCTCCTGAGAAACCTGGACATGGCATAATGCTACAAAACTAAACTTCACCTGACAATGATTTCACTGTTAACAGGGTTAAATTAGTTTAAAATGAGTTTATATTTTAATAATTTTATATATATTATATATGAATCATGTCAACACATATTAATATATGTAACATTTTATTATATAGGTAACCTAATATGAACAGTTTTATATATATGAATGTATATATATATGGATAGTTTCTACTTTACTGAAATAAGTTAATCACTAAACTGGACATTTTTTAGGGAAATATTTCTTTAAAAACTTTGTATTTGAGTATGAAAATTAAATATTAGCGTTTTCCATAAAAGGAAAAATAATTACATTTCTCCTTCTTCTTTTTTTTTTTTTGAGACAGGGTCTCGGGCTGTAATTCAGGCTGGTCTTAAACTCACTATGTAGCCCAGGCTAGCCTTGAACTCACAGTGATCCTCCTGCCTCAGCCTCCCAAGTGCTGGGATTACAGGTGTGCACCACCACGCCCGGCTTCTACATTACATTTGAGTAAACATATTCATTAACTTGAAAATATCTGCTATATTCATTATATGGAAGCTTACTAAACGGTGTATTAATTCACAAAATGATAAAGAAAAGGTTTGATCTGAAAAAAAAAATAAGACTAAATGCTGACAAAGAAAATCAGAATATGAGAAATACCAGGTTAGATCTTGCAGTGTAGTATATTTCTTCTGAACTGTCGAAAAAACCATCACTGTCGGGCTGTTTAGCAGAGACCAAGAAACCTAAGTTATTTACACATAGACCGAAAGCCACAAATTCACAAAGGGAAACTCACATATGGGGTAAGGCCAACTAATATAATTTTTATTAAGGCAAAAGCAAAGTCAAATTATATTAAGCAGCTTCTAAAAAAGCAACATTGTAACATCTTTGCTTTATAATGCAACTACTAAATTAGTATGGAATTTAAATACATGCCCCACCAACTTCAAAAGAAAAACAAAATAAACTCTAACTGCCTTAACAAAATACAATTAACACTTAGATACATCATGACTGTTTTTTTCCTTAATCTTTTCCATCCTTCTAAATAAGGGTTAGGCTTTTAATGTTATAATAGTTTATGTTACAAAGAGATCATTTTAAGACTTTTTCCTTAATATATTTTTTTTCAGGCTGGTATACTGAATTAAACTACAGTACTTCTAACATGAGGGTTAACAACTCCATTTGTAACTTTTAGTCAAGTGGGCAAAAATAAGAATTAAACTTAAGAACAAAGTACCCACTTCTGTCTTTAGTCTTTATTAACAGTTACTCTTGCCTTTTATTAAACAGAAAAGATAAAAACAAAACAAAACATTATCTGGGGCTCCCAAAAAGAAATTTGATTCAGATGACTGTCAACCTTTTTTTCTATTCTTCCACTGAATATTAACATCTCAAATATTTGCAAAATGTTTTGCCTTCAAGATTTCGTATAAAACATTAAATATCTGGAAAGGACTATACTAAACAACTAAATCATGACAATATCCATGGTCAGCAAGCTGTGAACCTTGGCCTCCAATGTGTGTTGTATATTCCTGAGTTTTAGTGCTCTGTAAACATACTGGACTTACTGTGAGGTTTACAAACTATGGCACTTATTCTAATAAGTGCACACATAAAAAGTCCCCCTAAACTAAAACTGTAAGAAACAAAAAATTAAAAGCCAGCACTAAAAACATAATCAAGGAGTGGTAAAACCAGTAAGTTTCTCTTTAAATCATTTTGAAATAATCTCAGCAACACAGATTTATTTATTCAGAATTTTGGAATTACTTAGCATTTTGTTTCTCCAAACACATTTGAAAATATTAAAGACTTTTTAAAAATTTAATACCAAGACAAAACATTTATTTCCAATGTTAATACTCCAAGTGTACGCTACTTACGAGTTCATGATGTGGTTCTGTCTCCTTCCTTAAGGGTGGGTCAAATTTTACTTGACCAACTAAAAAAGAAAAAACTGTTAAGTCAGGATCTGTTTATATATTCTTAATGACATAATAATTTAAAGGTTATCCAGGCAAAACGTATTTAATTTTACAAGCTACCATACACCGGTCACAATCCCAAGATTTTAATACATAATTCATTAGTTGGAGAAAGCTTAATGAACTCCTAACCACTAAAAATTTAATCTGCATAAAAGAGCCAGTTTGAAGCTGGTATTGGGGCAGGTGGACAGCAGCTGATGAAGAAGTTTGCAATAGTCTGCAACACGGCTCCTAGTGCCTCCTGCCTCTTGGTACTCAGTTTGTATCGTCTTCTTCCACACTGGGTCAGGATTAGGGTTGGTGGGTGTGACAAAGAACACGACAGAGCTAATGGCATTCTCTGTCTTAGGTTCTTTCTATTGGATCAATTACTCTGGAAGAAGCCCTTTCCTCAGTGGTTCTAAGAAAAGGACGCTTGATAAGGAAGTGAAGGCTCTTAGCCGCAGTCATGTGAGTGAGCTTGGAAGTGACCTTCCAGCCTGGCCAAGCTTCAAGTGATATCCTGACTGCACCACCAGGAGAGGAGCTGAGCCAGAACCTCTCAGCTAAATGGGACTCCTAATCCTTAGAATGTCTGTGAGACAACACATGTTTACTGTTCTAAACTAATTTGGGGGAATAATTTGCTACACAACAATCAATATGCAGCTAAAGCACAAACTATCCAAAGTAGCCACGAAATAAGTGCAGTACGGTCACCTTCTTTGGTATTCTCAGCTACTTTTACCTTCTATTTCTCTATGCCATTATCTGTTATAACGGGTCAAATACCCAAGACCACTGAAATAAAATTAGAGACATAAATACCAGCATTAAAAGGAAGAAAAAGAGAGAGTCACAATAAAGTTCAACTAGTAAGAGCTTCAGCCAACCTCCCTGTCAACCAAGGGAGGTCCCAAACCATAACACATTTGTTTTACGACTGTTAACATTTATTAAAGGAAGGGGCTGGGGATTTAGCTCAGCGGCAAAAGCGCCTGCCTGGCAAGTGCAAGGTCATGAGTTCGGTTCCCAGTACCGGAGAAAAACCAAAAAAAACCCAAAAAAACAAAAAAATAAAAAAAGAAAATATTTATTAAAGGAAAGAGGTTTGAATATGTAGCAATTGGAAGCGTAAGTTTAAAAAACATTAAGAAACATACCTCCATGCTATCCCCAGTGTGTGTGTGTTGCGTGTATATGCGTATGCATGTGTGTGTGTGTGTGTGTGTGTTCATGCAAGTGCTAGCTTTCCTGTTAATGGCTCAGATATTAAATTTTGGCCCCGAGAGGTAAATAGGCTCTTTAAAAATGGGTCCTTAGAAATGAGTGCAGAGGAACACACTTGCAATCCCAGCATTCTGGGAGGCTAAGAGACGGGAATCGCAAGATTTAACTCACCCTGGGCAACTTATTGAGACTCTATCTTAAAAAAATCTTTAAAAGGACAGGAGAAGTAACTCAGTGTGAAGGTCCTGGGTTCAATGCCCAGTATGTGCGCACAGGTGCGTGCATGCACGTGCACACACACACACACACACTCTTCATACCTGTCCACATATGATCACAAAACAAGGATAGCAAAATAATTTAAATAATAAAATAATTATCTTATTATTTTATTTAATAAAATTAACATAAACATTTTGATCAAGGCCAACTGAACAGCTTTCCCCTACATGTGCCTCCAAATTACAAACTGCAATCCACGGTAACCTTGTAAAGGACCGTCGTGCATTTATCTGCCCTGTGATAAATGTGAACTGTGTAAACTGTGAACAGGTCTATTTCTCCCAACAGGCTACACCAACCCCTGAGCATGGGGATGCTGTCTGACTAAGGTGCAACTGAAGCAAGTATTCAGTATCACTGTACCTATACTCTGGGGATGCAGGATATGTTCCCAGAAAGGGAAGCAAAGTCTCTGTGGAATCTCATTCTTCATGATTTACCCTGGTGTCATTCTTTTTAAATTTCCTAATGTATGACAAGCTTCTGTCATAGAAGCTTCCAGCTGTTTAAATAACTTGGTAAATCATCTCAGTCAGCAATGCTATTTATATTCTTAATAATGTCAAAAACTTCTATCTATCCATATTTGTCTATTGGTTCTTACCTGTTTCCTTTACCATCTCCTAAAATATATGCCAAGCTACCGTCTACATTTATATTTTAATATCCAGAAGAAACTTCTGAGGTTCTCTAGGACAGTTCTAATATTATCATTTTCTAACTCTTCAATAGCCACTATGAGTCAAAACTAATTCTACTACGGCAGACAAGAAGTGGCTCAGAACAATTCCTTCTTGACTAAGGCTTTACATATTCAGGAAAGTGGTTTCATAAAAAAGGGAGAGTAACGGCCTTTCTACAAATGAGTAAGTTCTTATTCATGCTGCCTGAACACTTAGTTTAGTAAGGAGAAAAGGCTGATTACATGAAAAGGCAGCAAATAGTTGTAAACATAAAATATTATGAAAAAGAAATACAGGCTCTTACTAAAATAAATCACTTTTCCAAGCACATCTTTATAGATAATACCATTATGGAGCATTTTTGATGTATCATCTCTCACATGTAATTACAAAATATCCTAAAGTAGACATCCATTAAAGCAGTAAGACTTGAAAGCCTCAAAAATCAAACCCACAAATTATTAAAAGTAGTCTTTTCTAATCCTGTTGCTATCTCCTTGTACCAGGATATTGACACCCATAATACTGGCAAACATGGAAAGACGATCCCATTAATTACCTGCACCCCTAAAGGAGGGTTTACAAGAATCTCAGGAAAACTGGAGTATAAGTATGTAGTCTCAAAGAGCATCCATATGCATATGTGCTTAGAAGTTGTGAATCATTGACATAAATTAGTAAGGAGTAACTCAGACATAACCTTTTGCCGTAAAGAGCCTGACAATGTAATTTTTTACTTTTTCTATTTTATAGAAAAAAGGTAAAACAAAATTTCATAACAAAATAATAAGAGAATAACAACAGTTAATACACTACATATTGTTATCTTTAAAGTAGTTACCCAGAGTACAAGATATGGGCATAAAAATTTCTCCAGTCGATATTAGTACAAATCTTCCTTTTCAATGAATTAATGTAATTTTTAAATAGAATCAGATAACAAGTGATTTAGATTTTCAATAGCACTGAACAAAGTTTTCTAAATCAACTACAAAGACATCTTTTAATTATTTTTATATACTCAAAAATAACAGCAAGTGCTCAAATGCTAAGGTTGTCATTTTCATGAACATACTTTTGTGGGGGAAATTAGCAAATTTAAACCATGTAGTTTCAGGAGGAGCTTCAAAGATAATTTAACCCAGTCACACAACTAGTAGTTGGCAGAGTCTCAGACCCCGCTCTTAGGCGTCTGTATAAGCTGCCATGCTCTTTCAGGAGCCTGCTACTTTTCAGATACCATCAAACAAAACTGCCCATTCACTTCATATGCACCACAGGCTTAGCCGAAGTCCCACGTGTAGGCCCCTCAAGGACTTCCAGTGTACAGGTCACACAGCACCCCGATGCAGTTCCTAAAATGGTTCCCCAACCTCAAGGCCTCTAGGCCGGCTAGCAGCTGAGAGACGCACAGCTGCGGTGAACTCAGTGTGACTCCACCTCACAGTTAAACCTCTGCACCTCCCCATTTCCGTTCAGTCTTCTCCCCAATGGTGATAGCTCGTTCCCCTCCTTATGTGGCCTGGCTTCTCAGTGTGAAGGTCCTTAGTTCAACCTTGGATGCATCTTAATTAATAACAGCATGAGAAATACTATTTTCATTATTACTGTAGCCAAAAGTTGAGAACAATTATACAACAGTAGTTATCTTAGATAGTAATATTACCTAATTTCAATAAGGTCATATCATATTCTAGGTCTCTCAGGATGAAAATCATTAACTCACAGAAAATTATAAAAAAGAAAAATGTCACTGGGCATGGTGGTGCACACCTGTAATTCCAGTACTCGGGAGGCTGAGGCTGGGGGATGACCACAAGTTCGAGGCCAGCCTGGGTTACATAGTGAATTCAAGGCCAGCCTCAACTACTGAACTACATAGCAAGACCCTGTCTCCCCTCAAAAAAGTCCCAGGAAACTCAGATGCTAAGCCAGTTTGCAGACCTTTCTCTCCCAAAGGAATAAGAAAAATCAAATTTTTATAGCCTTGATTTAATTTTGCTTACCAGTATTTAGTAAGAAAAACTTTGGAAAAAAAATAACAAAAATAATTATAACTAAATTATACTTTGAAAAGTTATTTTCCACCATTAAATTATGGATAGTATACAGTATGTACTTACAGTTTATTTCTGAACGTGTTTTTTCTTCTCTCACATTTCTACTTGTTGAGTGAATTCTATGTGGTACAGTAACAAGGGGCTAGAGAAAAACACAATCAGTATACATGGCATTATATAATCCTGTCACACTTCTGTCCACAAATTATTCAAATATGAAAGAATATTTGATAGAAATGAAAACAAAATATATCACTTCTACAACATGTTTTTTAAAAGGCTATCAGAATAGTTCTAATTATAAAGAGAAAAAATTATAAACAGAAAACTGTTTTAAATTATCCACTTAATTTATCACTTTTTTACTAGTAGAGAGCATATAAAATGAAATACAAGTAAAAATATATTCAGTTATTTGTGTACGCAAAACTGGACTCGCCTAGACTCATTTGGTAAGAACTAGTAAACTACATTAGTACTTCAGTTCTTTTCTGACCCTGAGAAATTCTGTACTGCGTATTTAGTGCAGCCTTGTACTCCTAGCTACTCAGGAGGCTAAGGCAGAAAGTTTTCTTGAATGCAGGAGTTGGAGGTCAACCTGCATTATCATTTAATGATGATTAAACTCAAATAGCTTTGATTTAAAAAAGAAAACTTCTTCAATTTAGATTTTTTTTAAGTAACGTTAAGAAGTATACACATATACTCACCTATAGATAACAGAGCATAATGCTTTGTATTTCAGTTTTTGCCGTAATTTGAACCAGAACTGATTTAAGACTGCTGAAAACTGTTTAACTTATAATTCTGTCTGTGTGAATTTCTAGCATTTTAAGTTTTTCAGACACTCCCTGTCATTAAAAAAAAAATGCTCCTAATTTCATCTCAGTTTCTCTGGGTTAGAGATATAGTATATCATTATAATCCCCAAGAGCAGAAAACAGGTCAATATTCAACCCTTTCTCTTTAATTTGTGAAGGTGCTTCACACCTCAGAATTATTTATAGAAACCAATTAGTTGAAAGTGATGACAGTGGAGTACCAGAAAAGTTACACTCAGGATGTTTTCAATATGGTGTTTGTCAAAGGCTGTAAGAAGAGAAAAAGAATGAATTGAAAAATATGGTGTAAGGAAACCCTTTGAAAGGGGAACTTCTAGCACATCAGGAACAAAGTAAGTACCTGTTACAAGAAGCTAACTGATATAAAAAGGAGGACTGTCCAGTACTCAAAGACCACAGTCCAACATTTAGAATGGAGGTGAACAAAAGACTCGACTGAATTTTCCTTTCACATGTACTGGTTCAGATGGCTGCATAAGAAAATACTGTTGTTTTTGTTTTCTGCCCACCCCGCCGGAAACCGTGCTAAAAATGATGTATTTCAGGTTTAGGAGAAAAGAATACCACAAGATTCTGCTAAATGAGCTCATGATAATGAAAGACATCAACTCTGAAAGTAAAGTAGGCAGCATGTTAGGCACAGTCTGCTGTTACGCTAAAGAATCTGTTTGCTAATAAGGAAGATTTCACTCCTCTAAAATAATATTTCATTTGTTAGAATTTGAAATAAGTAGAATAGAGTCTGAAACCTTTCATCTCGATTAGAAAAGGTGGCTCCACAGAAAGACATTCGTTAGTATGTAATTTCACAAGCACCACACAGATGCAGTCTCAAAAAATTAAAAATTAAGGCTTTAATTTCTAAACATGACTATTCTCATTATTCTCAAGAAATGCAATGCATATTAGTCATGGAGGCCTGCTGAGTTTGTAATTACACCAATAAATGATATTTTAAAATGTGATGATGAATTAATCATTCTAATAAATGGTATTTAAAGAAACCTTTCACAATGATGCATGGTCTCCAACTTTTTTTAAACAATGCTTTACATGTCTTCAGATTGAAATTCTATTATTACCTCTTGAAAATATAAAACCCTGCCCTAATGTATCATTTCACATTATTCAAGTTATTATAATCTGAAAGATCTATAATTATTTTATCATTAAATAACACAGATACAAATAATGGGCCCTTTGCAAGGGAGCTAGATGAAAATGTAAAGTTTGTGCCAACTGAAGGAGAGATATAGACAATATGATAAACTCTAGTTAGCACACTGGTCTTTGGGTGAATTATGTACCTGAGAAGACACCTTGTGCTACCGGGGGTACATTTTTGGTTGTCAGAACGAGGAGTCAATGGGTGCTGTTGGCAAATGTTGGAAGGAAGCCAGGGATGCTAGCAAACATCCCACAACACACAGGGCAGTCCCCTATAACAAGCACTGTACAGGCCAAAATGTCACACGTACTGTGGGAGAGAAATCCTGACAGAATGGGGAAAAGGAGGATGCCTGTAAGGAGGTGCCTGTGTACTGAATTATGAAAGACTTTATAAAACCTAAGCTTTAAAAAACAATTAAGCAAAACCAAAGTCTCCCTAGTTTAATTATACAGTTGACAAATATTTGTATTTCTGAAGTTTTTATTGTCTCTCTGAAGACAATCTGACGACTGACCATGTTTTCTGAAAGATTTCATAAATAGGCGCCATAATCATTAACAATGCTAGCTATGTTAAATATGCTAACAAAAGAGCGATTTCCATTAATATTACTGCCTCTAGCATATTAGGCTTATTTTCTCTAATAAATGTATTGATTCATTTTTACTGCCACAGTTGTCAATTAGAGGTTTGTTCACCACAGTGACTGGTACACTTTCTACTAACCTATAATAATTTATGAAGCACACTGAAAAGGTTCTTTTGAGGAAAAAACTAAGTAGGAATTATTCTTAGTGTATTCTAGCATCTTGTTTAGATACTTCCCACTTATTTTCCCTTTTACATTGGATGATTTATTGGGCAACTTTATGTAAAATGACTACTCTGAAATAAGTGTAGTAATTTTAACAAACAGATTAAAAGATTCTGCCTTTGCCATTTTCAGACAATACTCCTGTATAAATAGAGCACATGACAGCCCTGGACAAAGTTAACTGTTCCCTCCAAGAGTTTTAAAATTTAGAATAGACCCAGAAATTCAAAAATTGATTTACACACACATACACACACATGCACACGCACGTATACATAGTAGAAACAATTTGTACCTCAGGATCATCATCATCAAAATCATGGTAAATGGAATGATCTGGATTATTCACTTTATCTAGCAGCTCTATTGCTAACGACCGAGTCAAAGGTTGTGTGACAAAAGGGTGCTATAAAACAAACAGAAAACACTTATTAGAAATCTGATTAAGCAGCATTTTATCTTTTGAAAAGCAAATATATTCAGGGCAGAAATGATACCTGTAGTAACTTTTCAGCAGTAGGTCTTTTTTTCGGATTTTTGGTAAGAGCCATTTTCACAAAATGATGAAAACTATTTGACCTAAAAAAATATGGAAATTAGATGTTTTTAATTTCATTTTTGGGGGCTCATCTAATAAAAATAAGTAACACAAAAATACTTACCACTTCATTTTATCCTTTAGTTTAGGAGGCTGAAAATTGCTTTTTGTCATTAGAAATAATGCTCTGAAAAAAACCCAAATAATTATGTAGCACTTTAATATTTTATATTTTAATATATTATATGAACTATACTACTATTTATTCCCAGGTAAGATAAAGCAAGGTTAGGAGAATTACTTACGTATGACATAATAATTAGTACTAAAGAAAATCCCCTCAATTTAAGGGTAGGATTCTTCAATCCAGACACACTGACCTCATTGGATGTAGGTCAAACATGGGCGGCTGAAGCTCAGCAAGCTCGATGGCAGTGATTCCCACCGCCCAGAGATCACAGAGCTGGTTGTACCCTCCTTTCCTTTCAACAGCTGCAACTTCTGGGGCCATCCTGAAGGAAACATTCCAGAAAAGAAAACACTTCTACTTAACATATTTTTCATTTTCCTTTACACTTCCACCAGAAGCACATTTAGAAGTCACTATCTAAGGACTATTTAGGCCTTGGTTTCTGAAAAGTATTTAATATTTGAAAAATCCACTTTTTCCAAGCTCCTGACAGCTCCTAAGATCCTCTATTGCAAGCCTCTACTGGTGCCTCATTTGTTACTTCATTATACTACTACTTACTACAGGGTTTATAAAAATGTACAACTCTCAGAAAGCAACATGTCCCAAATTCATACACATTCTGATGTCTTTTCCATACATATGCAAGATCTATCGGGGAATTATTGCTCTACCTCACTGTATCAATAACCTGCAATCTGCTCACTGTTTCTGCCTCACAGAAGTATTCCTTAGACCACTAATAATTTTTACGTATTTAATTTATATTTAATATAACCTTTTTTGGTATGTTTTATTATAATCATTAAAAAAGTTATAAAAATGAGTAGCTACTGTTTAAAAATGTGTTTATTCAGAGGAAAGTTACCAAAATTTTTGTAACTTTTTGGTTTCTTTTAGCCTTGCTATAGTCTTACTCTATTTATACCTTGGTTGATTTAAATGATTATTTTTCAAATGTATAAACAAACTTCTGAATCCTAAACGACAGTCTGAAAACATCCTAACGCTTCCATACAAAAAGAGCAGACTAGATAGGTGGCGTTACAAATACAAATTTATCTTCCTTGTATGATTTTAGGAAAGTCAAGTTAAAAATAAAAACCCTTTCAACTTTCAAATGTTTGGTCCTAAAATCTTTTTAGGACCTTAAAGGAGCTGTTATAAAAATTCAAGTTACGCTAAGAAAAGTGAAATTTAAAGTGTGTTGGTTATCACATCACTGATGCCAGCTGGTAGCGCTCCCCTGGACGCAGGTTGTCGCTCTGGCGCACCTTGCCCACCGCCCCGTCAGTGGAAGCACCCGGCCCTCTGCGAAGCACAGGGGCACTGCAGCTGCTGCTCTTTACTCCTGTTATGCCATGTGCCCGCCAGTCAGCTGGGTTCAGCTCTGAACTTATTCATCTCAGGTATATTTGTTACCGTGTGTACCGTTTTATGTTTTCTTTAAATACAGCATAGTGACTATGAATTTCTGAATGATTATGTTTTATTTTATTAGTACACATTTGTAGTGCATAAGGATTAAATTTATCCCGGGGAGTTGGTACATGGACACAAACACATCTTAGTTCTTTTTTTATCTCCTTCCCCTGTCTTTCCTCCTCCCTCCCTCTATCTCTTGGTCCTCTCCCTTCTGCAAAAGATCTGCTGCTCTTACTACCTCTTTTTATTTTGCTCTTTAATTTATGTGTACTTTGGGTCTCTCATGTACAAACTATGATATTTAAGCTTGTATGTCTGATTTATTTCATCTAACATTATAGTCACAAGGTATGAGCATTTTCTTACAAATGACTCAAATTTATCCTGCTTTACAGCAGAGTAGTGCTCCACTGTGTATAAATACTACATTTTTTTTGCCCATTCATTTGCTCATGGACATACAGGCTTGACTCCAAGATTTCGCTATTATAAATTGTGCTGCAATTTACAATAATAATGTATGCTTTCATCACTTTAACATAATGTCTCTGACTTTTCCAGAACATATCTAAAAAGGGAATAAGTTTAATTATTATGAAAATTGATTGAGAAGATTAAAAAGTTGTAATAGAAAGTGAAAGCGTTAGAAAAATTTGTTAAAGGACAAATTTCTAAAACCAAAGTGAAAAGCTCTAGCAAATTAGTAAGAATATGGCAACTGTATAATATAATACTGAGGTAGAAGACTGTGATCCCATTGCTGTGACATGAGAGGAAATGGCAATGCGACAGAGACAAATGAGGTCCACAGTCACCACAGGCAAGGAATGAGGGAGATTTTCTAAAAAGGAACAAAGGGAAAACTTTTTTGATGACGGACATCTATTTTACCCTGACTGCTCAACACTCACAGAACTGCACACTTAATAATGGCAAAGTCACACTTAATTTATATTGCAATAACCCTGACTAAAAATAACAACAAGAAAACAGGAAACGTAGCTGATGCAGTGTGAATGTGGCTGCCAGAGAAAAGACCTGTGTCACCGGGCATGGTGGCCCACGCCTGTAATCCCAGCACTCGGGAGGCTGAGGCAGGAGGATCGTTGCAAGTTTGAGACCAGCCTGGGCTACAAAGTGAGCTCAAGGCCAGTTGAACTGCATAGCAAGACCCTGTCTCAAAAAGACCAAAAAAAAAAAAAAGGCCTTTGTTTTTATATCAAAACTAAGAGCACAGTTCATAGGTCTTAAAGTAAGTATTTAGGGTCTAGGTGTACTCATTTCTAGATTTCCCACTTCCGCAGACTATTCTGATGGAGTAACTGCCAACCTAGTCACCTCAGAAGGCAGGTTCTACACCACTACGTGTAGGAGGGAAAGACATGACACTAGATAGAAAGGGAGGTCCTGCACTGTGCAAGCACAGCATTACGTTAATTAACTTTACGCAGCTCACAGGGTTCCAAGTATTTCCCACGTCTGTACGAAGAATAGGACTTCACTCTCTGGAAATGGGGTGGAGATCAGTTCTCACCAGCAAACATGTATTGAGTATGTGTCCGGAATCAAGCTAGACTCGAGAGAGCTGCTCCAGATGTTTAAAATCAAATCGAGGACACACAATAGCGCTTAAAAATAATGGAAGATAGCCCTTCAAACCCTTGGTCCTCTCAAAAATTAAATAAAAATAATACAGAGAACAGAGAGGAAGATAAACATGTATCATCTTTGAAAACCCAGGAGGTATATTTTGTATTTTATGCAGAACAGCTGAAGACTGGAAACCACGTAGTAACTGATGGAGCAAATGGAAGGGCACACCTGAGGTGCCCGGGACAGAACTCGCTGTCCAGTTATGCTCAAAGAACCCTCGACGCAGTGACGAGTTAGGGTTAAAAAGGTAACAAAAGTGAGCTAAGGTTGGCCAAAAGCAAGAACAGCACTGTACCTGAAAGTGTCTGTGAAGGGAAGTGAAATAGAACACTGAAGGGAAGAAAGCCTCCATCAGGAAGGTGAGTCTTAAAAGTCAGGGAATTCTTACAGAAAGCCAACAAAAACATTTTTTTTAAAGTGAAAGAAAATATCAGAAAATTAATGGACTAATTCAGGTAGCCCATGATATAATTAATGATTTCCAGAAAAAGCAGGCAAAGGTACAGCAAAGAAGTTATAAACAAAATATGATCATTTTCTTGAATTGAAAGACATAAACCTCTAGATTAAAATTACAAATGACAAGTACAAATTGAATAAAACAAAAAACCCAAAGCCTTTTCAAGTGCGTTGTTATGAACATCAGAACACCAGGCACGATCTGGGGGAAGAGTTACATCCAAAGGAAAATGTACAATGCTAGCACCACACTTCCCACCAGAATCAGAGAGCGGAAGACACTGCAGCAATACCTCAAAACTTCCTACCTAGAATTCCATAGCCCCCAAATTATCAATCAAGTGCGAGACTGGATGGACATACACAGTCTCAGAAATTTTACTCCCACACACCCTTTACTAGAAGGATATTAAAATAATAAGGCAAAACAGAGTGAATCACGAAAGAGGAAGACCTAGAATCCAGGAAAGGAATTCCCAAACTGGTGCTGGGGATTTAGCTCAGTGGCACAGCGCCTGCCTGGCAAGCATGAGGTCATGAGTTCGATTCCCAGTACTGGAAAAAAAATTAAAAAAAAGAAAGGAAGTCCCAAACTGAAGCTCCCAAGGCAAAGATATGCAAAAGAGATGGAGAATATCAGACTGGATTGGAAGAGGGGAAGAAGGGGTTCCAGAAAGGATTCAACTAGGAGGGAAAAAAAACCTCAAGTGAAGCAAAGCAAAACCAACTAAACAAAAATCAGGCCGAGCGTGGTGGCACATGGCTTTAATCCCAGCACTTGAGAGGCTAAGACAGAAGAATCTCTGTGAGTTTGAGACCAGCCTGGGCCACAAAGTGAGCTCAAGGCTGGCCTGCACTGCATAGCATGACCATGTCTCAAAAAGACAAAAAAAAAAAAACAAAAAACAAACAAAAAAAAAACCGCACAAAAAACCCCCAAAAAACCCCCCAAAATCAGGAATGGCAGTTTGACAGGCTTTATGCTGTAGAAAACTTTAGGGAGGTATCTAAATGTTCTAAATGCTGAGAAATCTGCATTTGATCTTGCAGTCAGCCAAGACATGCCAAAAAGCTTTGAGCAGAGGGATACTATGTGTAAGGTAATGTTGAAAGATTGATCAGAATACAGAGACAGATTAAAAAACATCTGTGAAAATGCAGGTGGTATGCGTAGGAGCAAGAGTCAGGATTTCTAGAAGAGCCAGTCTGTTCCTGAAAACTACTCTAATCTTGCAGTCTTTTCAGCTTAATAAAATATGATACAGTGGAATATTTTTTTGGCCCTGTAATCTATCCCCAAGAATACATGCCTAAATCACTTCACCAGTTGATGACCTTCTTAATGTAGCCTTAAATTTTGTTCCTCAGTGTTTATTTTTTGTTGGAAATGTTCTATCAATTACAATATGAAAACAAAAGTTAAAAATCAATGAAAATACAATTACCAATATGGTGTACCAATGAAAGACTTCCGTTTGGCAATTGTAGCTGTTATCTGTGCAGATACTCCAAAATCAGCTATTAAAAAAATGAAAAACATTTATAAGATACTGAGTAAAGTTGCTTAAGGTAACATGAGAAGAAACTTTTAATAATTATTTTCATTAGGTTAATTTCACAGAAATATGAGATCTTCTCAAACATCACATTAAAATTTTTAACTTTGATGGGCCTATATTAAAATATCACCAAAGAAGGCAGTGTGTATTATAGCCAAGTAGATTCCCATATATTCTCATACGAATCAGATAACAAAGGTCAAGATAAAATAATTTTGATGAGAGACAGCTGAGAGAAATTAATACTGTCAGACTTATTAATAATAAAATTTCTAATCTCCAGGACTTGAAATTGAAGGAACATCACTGGAAGTATGTAGCAGTATATTCCATTTACTCTTCTCAAGGTCATGAGACTAACATCAAACACACCAATAAGTTTGCCGGTAAAGCAATGTAACTTGAAAAGACACCTAAACACAACAGCCCCAAAATCTTATCATGGCAATACATTCTAAGGCCAACATCAATCACTACTGGGGATTTGTTATTATTTTTAAAAATACGTGTGTTGAATTCTAGTATTTTGTAATATATTTAACGATTTCTAAATCCTTAACTAAGATGCATATACAGTATGTCTAAGCAAAGCACATAAACACAGCCACAAAATAATAAGATGCTAATAGAATCTGTTTATCGGACTTCAGTTTGATAACTAAAAAGAACAGGACTAACTCTTTGTGCTTTTCCCATATTTACTGGTCACGTGGGAAAACTTTATTATGTCGATTATTAGATAATTGTTTTTAGTCTAAGACGTCCTATGATAGGCTATAGTTCAAAAGTTTTATTTTTTTCTTTTATCAATTGAAACTAAGGTTTGAACACAGGGCCTTGCACATACTAGGCACATCCTCAGCCCTATTCATATTTTTTATAAAATAAACTTTTTAATTGATTTGTCCTAAATAGCTCAAAGTAATTACTTCATATTTTTTATTAAATACTTTATTTAATACCTAATAGCAGTTTGTTAATAAAACTACTGCTCGGAACTACTGTTTTAATCTTTTCAATGTAGACTTAATTTGAATTCTCTTTTAATCCTAATTTGATCAAAAGTTACAAAAATGAAAAATGAATTCATTTGAAATTAAGCAAAATTCAGCACTTAAATGACATTATTATGTAAGTGACACTGTATTTTGCTTTAAAATTTTAAGAGTATAGAATTTGGGGAGTTAGGGAATTTTTTACTTTTATCTTACTTTTCTGTTACAAGTTAATTTTGTATAAATTTCTTACTAGAAGTCACATTCCTGCATGGAGGGGGTGAAAGAAGTCCTAAAGATATTATTTCACAGTATCTTTGCAGCAAGTCTGTCTTATGTGAAGGACAGACTTTTATCTGTATTTAAGAGAAAAGGAAAAGGAGACCGTATAGATTCAGAGAGGTGACATGCCCCACAAAGACATCTCTACTTAAAAATATACAGTGTCCGAGGAGAGGAAATCTAGTCCTACAAAAGACAGAGCAAACAGAAAATAGAAACTTAATCATATTTGAGAACAGATTTGTAGGTGTGACGAAACTCTCAGTTACTTACCCAATTTCACATGACCGTTATCCGTTAATAGAATGTTAGCTCCCTTGAAAGTGAGAACACATTTTAGTCCAAGTAGGTGACAGACACTTTAGCAGACAGGACATACAGAAGACTGAATACACATGTTTAAATAATCACAGCCTTACACCTAGAAATACTTGAACGTATGCACAATTAAAACGTTAAATCATTATATTCTTAAGAAAATTTACTTTTCACTTCTCTAGGCAATTTGACAAAATTACAAAATATTCGGTCTTTAAAAACTGCTACTACCATGATATGAATGTTAATATGAAAATGATACATTAAGTTTTCATCTGAATGCTATTTCCTCCCTGATCACAGTGCACCATTATACTGAACATCACTTCACGACGGCATTTTCAGTTCCTCGTACTACCCTTTAAACTTAACTAGCATTTCTTGTTAAACAATAAACACCAACCTCCCTTTCTAGAGACTCACCATCACTGCACTTGTGCTGCTGTGTGACGGTACCTACACTTGGAGCATGAGACTGTCTATCCTAATGTCTATCCTAATGGCCTTCCCAAGGGTTTAGAGCCATCAAGTAAGTAAACAACACAACCCAGTAGCATTTTAGTCCAGTGGTATTTCAGGCCTCTGCCCCTTTCTTTTCTGCAACTTTTAAGGAAGCAAGCAAGCCAGAGCCGGCAGCTCTTTAATCCCAGCTGCCATCAATAATTAAGTATTGGCCTGGCGGGGGGAATGGGTGAAACCACCTCCCCCACCCCAATCAAAAGGGGAAAAAACGACAGAAGAGGGGAAGAGGGAGAAAAAAGGGAGATTTCCCGGTTCCTCAATGTCATCACTGAAGCGAATGCATAGCCACTGATATTACCACAGCTCCAGGGGATAATGGGAGGAACAGAAAGAAAAGAGAGAGAGGAAACTGGAGCAGAAATTTAACTTATGTATGCCCTACCTATCAAGACTTGTGCAGACTTCAGTTGGCCTTTCTCTAGGCTTGACATTAATTTTCCTAAGTTACAGCTTATGTCACGCCACACGTACATTATGCTGTTTTCCTTCCCTTCATTTCTCTCCTGACAGGCAACTAGCAGCCTGATGCTATTGAGCTCACAGTGAAGAGTAAGTTCCAGGTCTTACAAAACTTATACCCAAGAAGGAAAGAATTTCTTAAAATGAATCGATCCATCTATGAATGAACCAAATGATTCAAAGCCAGCAGAGAGAAGCATTTTGAAAAGAAAGGGAAAGGCCACCCTAAGGCAGTGATATTAAATACAGAGCTTGATGAGAATACAGAGCTACATCCAAACCTGAGATGAGAACACTGTAAGAGTCAACAGCAAATACAAACAGCTAAGGCCAGAATGAGCTCAAATATTATATGAACAGTCAGTGTGAAGTGGCTGGAAGTGGGGCATAGTGGCACAAGCCTATAATCCCAGGACTCAGAAGGCTAAGGCAGGATGCTGTGAGTTCGAGGTCATCCTGGACCTGGACAAGGTGAGTTCAAGGCCAGACTGAACTGCACAGTGAAACCCTGTCTCAAAAAGACACACACACACACACACACACACACACACACACACACACACTTGGCTGGAACAGAATAAATAAAATGGAGGGGAATGAGTGTGAGATAAGGTTGGAGAAATGCGGGGCCCAGACCACACCTAACCTCCTAGGCCAGCGATGGCCAACGTTTCAGAGCTTTCGATGATATAGACAGCCTGCCGTGGCACAGGTGCCGTAAGTTCACCACCACTGTTCTAGGCTGTGATAAAATCACCTGGACTTTACACTGAGCGCAACAGGAGACTAATGGCATATAGGCAGGAGAGTGACAAGGTATATTTTAAAAGATCACTTTGGTTACCACTCAGGAATGGGAGCACTGACCAGTCAGGAGGTATTACCAAAGTGCAGGTGAGGTATAATATAACGGTGGCCAAGACAAGGGAGGAGGCAGTATGATGGTCAGATTTACCCAAACTCGGAAGTCTAGCACACAAGTCCTTGCACAGTGGAGCACCAAACTATGCAGACAGCTCCAACCCCTGCTACTCTCATACACTATCTTCTCCTCAAGGGTATGATATTACGCTCTCTAAAACGGCCTCATAGTTTCCAATCACAGTATCATTGTTCATAATTGTTCTTTTTGCCTGGAATGCATGCCAGCTTTCATTTCTGACAAGAATTTATCAATCCATTCAGGTTATCTAATTGCCAATAACGTAGAACCTTCCTAATTTATTAGTTTTCATATAAGTTCTTCTACCTTTGTACTCCAAAACTTTGTTGCATCTTCTAAGTGGCCTATGAAAAATATCTAAAACAGAGATCTGATCAGATAATCAGTGAGCCGCTGAGCTTTCAAAAGAAATTTGAGGGCACGTGCTGAAGGGCATTTTCTATGCAAAGAGCCCGTGAATTTCACCAGAGACCCAGAGAGCACTCAGCTTGCCTCTAGAAGAGGTTCCGAAACTTTACGCTCAAGAGAAATAAAAGAGGAAGAGAGACATCAAAGGAAGCATTAACAAGGAAGGAGGGACAAGAAAATGGAACCATGAAGTATCTAGGTTGGGGAGATGGTAGCAGCTTTACAAATACCCTCAGGAGTCCTGTCCCTACACGTAGCTTACCACTGAGCTAACCCCATCAGGGCCAGAGCATCTGTTCCCCTCTGCTGCTGAAGGAAAGACCATCAGAAGATACCAAGGTTTAATTTATCCATTTTGTTATTTTACTCGTAAGTACTTAAGACTGCCAAAGCTTACTGGCATACTCTGAGTATGAACTTTACTAAAAATTACAATTTGATGGAAGCTATGGACCTAATCTTCATTTTACAAATAGTTAACTACAAATAAGCTGACAAGCGCTAGTGCAACATTAATCACTGAGTGACATAATTAAAACAGTGAATTTTTTTTAAAAAAGAAAAACAATAAAAACGATACAGAATTTCAAACATGATAGGAAATTAACAATGCTTGTTATATTGCATATTGTTATCTTTAAAGTAGCTGCTCAGATTACCAGATATAGGCATTCAAAATTGATCAAACAATTAAGCATTAACTGTTCCTTTCAATAAACCAAAAGAAATTAGTAGCACAATTATCTTAGCTATCTTGTGTATATATACATATTTTTTTCCCCTTCCTTTTCTCCTTTTGCTCATCCCACGTGTTCTTTAAAAAGGTGAATTTTATGGTATGTGAACTGTACCTCAACAATGCTACTATAAAAAAATTAAACTACTAATGATATCAGTCAACTTTATTAAAGTGGTATGTTATATTTCAGGTAACAAATTTATGAAATAGAATAATCCAAATAATTCTGCTCTTGATCAGAGTATTTAAAAAGAGCGGCTATTAGTTTAAAAAATATGATGCCTACCTTTATATCCCTGTGCATTTTCCCTTTACTGTGAAGATAATATAATCCCTGGAGTTCCAAAAAGAAAAACAAGATTTGATCACAGAGAACAGTTGAGGATTTTAAGCAATTAACTGAGTAGCACTCCCCACACTTTATTCCTCACATAGATTCTAGCAGTAATTAACTTAGTTTAATAAATATGCTTTAATAGCTGAATGAAGAAAATGAGAAAGATAAAATTCATTTGGAACCACTAATTTTTCTAAGACAATTCTGAGCAAACTCTGCAAACAATATGAAATTAACTTTTATTTTTGAGCTACTGGAACTTGAACCCAGAGCCTCACACATGCTAGGCAAGCACTCTGTCACTGACTCTGTCAATCCCCATGACAGCGTTCCATTTTCAACCCTTTCTTCAGTATTAATGGGGATATAAAAATATACCAAAAAAATCCAAAGTGCTTCAATTTTAGGTTTTATCATCACATTTAGGCTTCACAGTGATTACCTATAAATATAAAACAAGTTTATCATATACCTTAAAATGTATTGGGTCTTCAAGGGTTTACTAAACTAGAATATTTTACCTTTGTTTATTAACATTTTACCCTTACTTAATGCCCAATAGTTAAACATTTAATTTAACAGATATTACTTTTGAATTAGCATCTGTTTACCTGTAGTGTTTCTCTGCTAACATATGCTATCTGCAATTCTGAGAGAGGTCCAGTTACTATAAAAGAAAATTAGAATTAGTAAGATTAATCAATGAAAGTTTTTCAGTAAATAACAAAGCTTTATAAATTTTACTAAGTAAAAAACTTACTAATTACACAATTCTATTAAAATGTAACCTCCACTCAGGCAAAGTTTTTACTTATTTTTTGTTTGATTTAATCACTGCTGAATTTCTAGTATTTAGAACAGTCCCTGGGATAGAAAAGCAGCTCGATACTTACGGGACGAATGGATGCCTGAAATTAATTGTATTTTCATTTTCATACCTCTCTGATCCAACATCACCTCCCAAATGTTAGCAGAATGCTCAAGAGGTTTAGGGAGTTTTTACGGACATTTAACATACAGTATGGCTTGTATTAAATGAGTATTTTCCCTAAAAGCATTAGCTTTATAGTTATACAATTAATTTATATTCATTATAAAAATTTCTATCAATAGAGAAGTTTGGAAAGTAAAGATCTCTTCCTTACCCAAAATATTATTCAGTAACAAGCAAGATCAAGGGTTTGGTCTATAATCTATCAGATGATTTTATGTAATTTGTACATAATCCCCAACTTATAATAGGATTACTGATAAACACATTGTAAGATGAAAATAACCTAAGTTCCTAAGTTACAAATGCATTTCATTCGCCTAACCTGCTGAACATTACGGCTTAGACACACAGTGTGCTGTGGACAGCTGGTGCTTACTCTGTGATGGCACAGCTAAGGGGGGCTGCAGCTTGCTGCCGCTGTCCACCAATGTGAGAGGGTACATGAGAGTACAAGAGATGGTGCCATCTCTTAGGAATGGGTCTTTACCATGTACAGCATTATGCCAGCCTGGGGAAACATCAACATTCAAAATTTAAACTATGGTTTCTACTGAATGTGTCAGCTGAACCATTGTCTAAATCAAGGACCACTGGTACATGAATGTGTACACCACACATATAATTCTGAAATCTGGCCATTCACTTTAGCATGGCTATCTATCTATCCATCCATCCATCCATCCATCCATCCATCTATATCTTAATTTTGTAATATTTGCTTAATATTTCCTATGTGTACAACTGCTAGGGTCTGAGTATGTCTTCCTCCAAAATTCATACTAAAATTTAATCTTCATTGAGATAGTATCAAAATGTGGGGCCTTGGGGAAGTGACTAGATCCAGGAAGGCTCTTTTATGACTGGAATTATTTAACCCTCTTTTTGCCTCTCCCTCTCTTTCACCATTTGAGAATAACTAGATGGTGCCATCTCCTAGGAATGGGTCTTTACCACACACAGAACCTGCTCGCACCTTGATGTTGGACTTCTCAGGAAACACCTCAATGCATGACTATGAGCAATAAATTTCTGTTGCTTATAAATTACCCAGTCCCAGGTATTCTGTCACAGCTACACAAATGAACTAAGACAGCATTTATTCGCTATGAAAAACATTTTTTCTCTTTTCACTATTTAATCACTTTAGAATATAGAAATACATGAGGTGGGAGAAACTATTGTAGCAACTGAATTAAACTGTAATGCTGGAATTCCTTTGCTAGACAGCTAACTCACATTTATTCAAACTTACAAGCTTGTAGACGTGTTTAGTTCTGTGGTTGAGCAGCTATAGTATTTTACAACTATAGAGGAAAGAAGTCCATTTCACTGAGATTCTTTTCAGAATAGGGCCACAATGAAATGTCTGAAATCATATAATCTCTGTTTTTAAACCCACTCTCACTCAGTAAGAGGCTTCCTTGAGCTTTGAGCTTTCTGTGTCTAACAAACAGTAAGATAACCTGAAAATAACACCTAGGAAAGAAATTTTTTAAAAATAAACTTTCAAAGGCTCAGCTAAGCTCACAAACATTGAGACTTTTCTAGGAGCCAAAACAAAAAGTAAAATAAAAAAACAGGTAAAACTGTGAGAGACTAGCTTAACTGTCACTAGGAGGTCTAGCTTAGTAATCCTCTACCTGGGCACAGACTAAGACCCTGGACCTGCAGAGAAGACATAAACCCCCGCATAAACCAGGGCCACATAAAATTAGGGCCCTCAGAGGGCTACATCTTCATTAAAACTGTAGATAAGCACAGATGACTAGGGATTTGGACTATCACGGGAATCTAAATAGGAGCGACATTGTCTCCCCTTAGAACTTATTGTCACAGACCTCTTCACTCAGGCTTAGGGTTCACACATGTATATACTGCAAACAATGAAGTCACTTAGATTGGGGGGTCGGGGTTGGGCAGACAACGGTGCATGGACATACCCTCAAAAGCCAATGCCCCTGGAAAGTCTCACTAAAGATGATCTCAAGTTTAAATATGTGAATTAAGAAAGCAATTTACCATCAAACAGAATGTGTAATGTTGTTAAAGGGTATAACTAAAAAGAAAAAATTTTCAATATTAAATGGTGAAAACACCCTATTATGCTGTATCAATAAAAGGCTCTATATTAATTCTTCAAAGAAAAAGTAAATGTGAACTATTGGAGGAAAAAAGGGAGGAAGAGAAGGAGTCTATAGGCAAAAAACAAATTCAAAAGTTTCCCCATGCTATGGTAGTTAAAAATGTATGCAGATTCTTTGATACTTCTCCCTTCAAGAACTTCATTCTTCTGAGAGTGGGCTGCGTTTACATGACTTGCTTCTAAACAAGAGAATGCACAGAAGAATGCACTGGCAAAAGTGACAGTATCTAACTTCTGAGATTACATGGGAAAAGGCCTTGTAGTTTCCACCTTAGTTTACTCTGGAATGACTTCAGACTGGTGACTGCTTCATTTGCTTTACTTCTAGATCCAAACAAGCTACTCCAGCAATCTCCTTGAGAGATCTGGTTGTGTTATGACTGAGCACAGAGCACTTACTGTGTGACTGTTAAATAACACACAGTCTGATGCTTCCAGCTTCTGAGCACTTGGGGAATAAGATCAGCGCCCTTGACAGCGGCAGTTGGGCTGAATTCTGATGATACACTGGTAGAATGAGCCTGCCTCTAGGGTAGGACATGCAGCCCCATCTGTTTAAGCCTGATTATGAGTAACTAATAACAAGTAACCAGGCCAAAGTTATGCTCTGCTAATGAGATGGTTTGGAACAGCAAATACCAATTTTGTTTTAGTGTTAGAGATAAATGGTATCTACCTGAATGTTCGGTCTGGCAGGAGTCACTTGCTCTGGGGGATGCCAGCTGCCCTATCACACAAACACACTCAAGTTTTCCTATGGCAAGATCTACACGGTAAGGAACGGCCTACCAAAAGCCATTAAGGACCAGAAGCCTTTGCCAACAGCCATGTAGGCAGACGATCTTGATAGTAAATTCTCCAGCCCTAGTGAATCTCACAAGGGACCATGCGTCGGAATCAGCCAGTACAGTTATTCTCGACTCTTGACCCACAGACTGAGATAATAAATGTTTGAAAAGATGCCAAACTTTGGGATCATTTGTTATACACCAATAGATAATGCTAATACTTTATTTTTTTAAGAATGTGTAAAAATTTGTAAAATCGTAAGTAGTCATAAAATCATATGCATGGGATTAAGGGCAATAAAATAAAACATAAAATGGTTTAGTGATATTTTAGGAATAATAGGAAAAAATAGGATTGCACTGTAGAAATGGATGTTTTTGGCAAATTTTCATGAGATGAAAATGTAATTTGTTATCTACCTGAAAAACACACGCACGCACGCACGCATGCATGCAACAAAACCCTCAGAAGCACCAGGGTTCTCGGAAAGGAAGAGCTTCTCTTTCACCAAATACAGAAATCCCCAGGATATTACACTACTTCTCACATAACTGACGGCGTAAGATTAAGACGGGAGAGAGGAGCTATGTACAAAGAGGGAGGAACATGTCTTCTTACACACGACTGTGTGAGTAGCAGTATACACTGCCATGAGGAAGTCTACATCCTGGAAATCTGGGTACAGCTAAAAGAATGAACACAAAGGAAGAAAGGACTTGGGGTTTTATATGAGCATCAAAGTTTCCAGCCCGCATGCTTGAGAACATCTGGGATACTACAACTTGTCATTTCTTCTACTGATCCAGTTGTTGACCAGTGTAAATATGAGATATGGACTAGATGTAAGATGTATCTAACTGTAATTACAGGAGAGAGATTAAAGGGGTTGGGGGAGAAAATACTTAGAGATAATAACTTATAATTATCCAGATTTTAAGAAAGTGCTAAGTTCTCGGAGGTAAACATATTAAGTCCTAAGCAAGAAAGACAGGAAAGATTCCTGCTAAGCAGCAATAACTAGACTGTCAGAAGGTCCCAACAACTGACTATCGAAGCTAGAAAACAGTGGTGCAAAGTACTCAAAATGCTGAAAGAAAATACCTGGAAAATATGTCTTTGTCAACCTAGAAAATATATCTATGTCTCCTTAAACTATTAGTTAAGAGTGAAGGGCAAGCACTGACAGAGAGGACCGTAAGATGACCTTGCTGAAAATAATGTGAGGAGAAAGGAAATTAAATCAAGTGAGGGGAAATGATAGTGGGGAAATTAATTTAAATTAAGGCAAAAGGCGGGAATAGCTTTTTAAGTTTATAGTACATAGAAATTATAAGCTTCCAGAAATAGTTTGTTCTGCAGTGTAAACTAATGCCAAATTTCTCTTTTTACTGAACCTTTGAAATAAAAATCACTCATCAAAAAGAAGTATTTCTCAAATATGTTAAAGAATAGCCATACTGAATCAAAACTGTCCTCAGAAAAGACATAATTTCATAAAGCAGAGAAATGTTCTCAGCTTCCAAGACTCCCCAGTCTGAGCGCAGCACCCAGACCAACAGGCATGCTCTCTGGGTGCTGCGCCTCCACGCGCCTGTGCCCTGTGCCATCTTCTCCCTACAAATGCACTCCCTCTTCCTCCCCATTGCAAGTGTGCCTATCTTTTAAAAACCAACTTAAGATCCACTTTCCTCATTAAGCTTCCTAAAAAATTCTAGAAAATCCATCATTCCTTTTTCCCCATTTCAACTGTAACTGTACATTAAAATGCTATTGTGCAAAAGAGAGAGAGAGAGAGAAGCCCACTGCTATGTCAATCTATTATGTTAAGTAGCACTATACCAAGAATATAGAGTGGACATGTATAGCTCTATTTATTTTCTTTAGAAGCCACTTTGAAGATACCAAAGTATAGCACAACAACTCTTGATAATCTCCTACCTCTTTTGTCTCTAACTCACTATTATTTGTCTATTTGTTTTCTTGAGAAACTATTTTGTAGATAATAATATGTAAAACGATAACCATTGATAATTTCCTACCATTTTGTCTGTAATTTGCTAAGTCCCCCCTATTATTATGTTATCCTTCTTTTATTCTTTAAAAAAAAAAAAAAAAAAAAAGAATATAGAGTGGAAAAGAAAGGACATCTCTCACCATCTGCTTTACTACAATCAGCCCCTAAAACTACGTAAGAGGCCTCACACTGGAAATCATAATGTATATTATGTGTTTTTTAAAAAATAAATTTTTTCCAAAATATTTTCTTAGAAAATCAATTTCTTGACTTATTAAGCACTTTTATTTTACATTGCTCAAAAAGCACACCTCCAGAAAAAGTCTATTCAGCAATATGTGACATTAATCTATCAATACCCAAAAGAGAAAAGGAGGAGAAAAACAAAGGAAATGCTCTTTATTTTACAAGCTTCCTTTATATACCACTGATTTAATCATTAAAAATGATTTAATCATTTTTGAGTCCCCAGATTTTATTTATTTATTTTTATTTGTTTGTTTCTTGAGACAGGGTTTCGCTATGTAGTTCAGGCTGGTCTTGAACTCACTATGCAGCCCAGGCTGGCCTCATGGTAATCCTCCTGCCTCAACCTCCCAAGTGCTGGGATTACAGGTATTGAGGCACCACGCCCTGCTGACTCCCCAGATTTTAACAGAATAAACATTTAGTTGATGCTACTTAAATACATGAGAGCAAAGTCAATTATCTCTGTATTATCATTACTTGTATATCAGCTGCGTAGTCTCTTGGCTTAGTGTGTTCCTCAAGTCCTTTCCATTTTTACAAGGCTTGAGCTTGAAATTTTGAACTAACTACATTGTTCCTTCTTCAGAGTTAGCAAATAATCACACTGCACATAACTTTCCAACTGTAGAAAGCAAATGTTTCCTTCATCCAAATGTACCGCAAATATCTTTATGTATCCAAATAACATAATGGTAAAACATAGCTTTCTTTCCTTAAGACAATGCTACTATTTGAATCTATTTCTACTTAATTCCTATAAAAATGTAATGCAGGTCTTACCATGGTAAATATCCTGTAAAGAGCCACCTCCACAAAATTCCATGCAAATCCAAAGTTTATCTCGCCTATAAAGAGAAAATATGTACATATCATATCTTCACGATTAGAATTCTGTTAGAGGTAACAAGTCTCTTAAGGGTGTGAGCTCTAACCTTGAAAAACCACATAAAGGGAACGTGCTGTATTAAAAGAAGCAAATTAATCTCAAGGAGTAAATGGCAATATAGTACGCTGGTACTAGGGTTTGAATACTTAAAGTACAGCATTCTTAGGATAGACAGCTATCTGACACATACAAATAATGAACAGACTTTTCTTTAGTTAAAAACCTTTCCTCTCCTGGTTTATCCATCTACCCAGATTCATCGCAAAAAATGGCACCATATCTCAAAGTATATCACTTTGATAGCACTCTCATCAACAACGGACAAAATATAAATGTGACACTCATCCAGATTCAACAAGGATTTTCCCAAAATTATCTATTAAAGTTGACCACTTATTTCCAGGTAGAGTTTCTCTCTTTTACCCATTCTAAGATACTGTAATCCTAATCATAAGATAAATACTTTGTGCAGAGATTTACATAGCTTATTTCTCTGTCCACTTCTTCCTGCAATCATTCATTATTTTATCACAATTCACTAGGAAATATAGCACCCTCAGGGGCAGAGACGGAAAAGTCTCTGAACTCAGTGAGCTCTGTCTAATGCTGAAGAATGCTTCTGCCTTATTAGCGTATCTGTCTCTTTCACCACTGCCTTCGTAGTACCTAGAAGGATATTCAGCAATGGGCACTTGTTCTGTAAGGGAATGGATACGTGACTGTATGAGGAACAAATAAATCAATCATAGCAGGGGTCAGCAAACAATGGCTAGTGGACCAAATCTGGCCTGCAATGTGATTTCGTACACCCCTAGACCATGAATCATTTTTATATTTTTAAATGATTGTCAGAAGAACATTTCTTGACATGTGACAATTATAAGAAATTCACATTTTAGTGCCTATAAATAGCTTTACTAGAATACAGTCACGCACACTCATTTATGAATTGTCTAAACTATTTTCACACCAAACAGCAGAGATGAGTAGTTGTGACAGAAACAGCATGGCCCACAAAGCCTAAAATATTTACTATATGGCTCTTTATAGAAAACATATGCGTAATTTTGGATTAAATTCTACCTTGATTCATGCATAATTTCAGCACGGATAAGGTGCTGTGAGAAACAAAAGATGAAAATACTTAGGAAAACCAAGAGAAGGTCTTTTGACAGAGAGAATATTTGAATGTGGTCTCGAGGATAAAGTGGGAATTCACCGGGGAGAGACAGGACCTATGAATGGAAGCTTGAAAGAAGATGCCCCATTTGAGAGACTAGATAATTATTATGAGCTAAACAAAGACTGCCAGCTTCCTGAAGGGACGAAGATCAGAGCTGAAGCTAGAACAGGCTGAGGTCACACTGGGGAAAGCTGTGTGGCTGCAGACTTCATCTAGACGATTTCTCACTTGAGAATGTCTCTCTGCAACACCATGTCCAGAATGAAGCAGCACAACAGTGCACTCCAAGCAGAGTTGCTGGGGTTGCATGTGGTGATGGTGGCGGGGTTAGGCGACCTGACTCTTGACCGGAAGCAGCAGACCATGAAGCATACAGCAAGGAACACAGGCTGTCAGAGCGCTAAGGTCAGCGACCCCGAATGTATGGAGTAGAGAGGTTCCACAGTTCTGGAAGAGTAAGCTGAAGAGAGTGAAGTCCCCCAAAAGAAATAAGAGGCCATTTAAGATCTATAGTTCACAGGCAGACCACATGCAAATGAAACTGAGGCACATTTCTGTTGCAATTTCTAATACGCTAAGTACCAACAGATGCAGTCCATATAAATATGAGCCAGGTGCCTATTGGTCTAGTTTTAAGAATTCTCAGGATGGATGTCCAGGGCTAGCGATATTTAACTTTATCTAAAACAAGGAAAGCACTTATGACTAATGATTGCTACACTAAGAAGTTAAATCCCCCAGGGACTCTTACACGCATCTTTATTTGAACACCATATTTCTATCAACTTCACTGAAGGCTATCAGCAATTTCTTAGAAACTACATCAAACTGATAGTTTACAGTTTATAGTTAACTACAAACATTTTTTGTATATACAGCAATCAAATTAGTTCTCTCTCCAGCTTCACATATGTATACCTGGTTCACTAAAACTAAGTGAAGGCCTTGTCCTTATTTATTAAATCTCATTCTTAAAAAAACTAGTAATTTTCACTTATGCTCCTTTACTTCTTCCACGTACCTTAGCAGGTTGCCCAGTGTATCTTTGAGCACGCTGCAGCAAAGCCAGTGCGACGTATGTTTGCATTACGTTTGAACCATACCCTCCGAGCAGCAAGCCAATATTTTTAAGTGTGCTAATTGGACACACCCCCCACACACACTCCAGAAGTAGCTGGTAAGCATCTGAAAGAGTCTAATTAGAACCTACCCTCCAAAGGGAGTAAGCACAAGGGCTGGGCTTATAAACTATTTGAATTTGCACTAGTGAATTTACTAGTGAGTTTAAGTAATGGCAGAAATATTCTTTATTGATAACATGAATTATGCTCAACTAGGCAGATTACTTCCTCCCTGGCACGTCCATCAGCCAATATTCTTTGGAACAACTCAGGCTCCAATACTGTATCTGGAATACAGGGTTCCATTTCTGGTGTCTCTAGCTGAATCCTTCCTCTCGAACAGCGGTTCTGAAACCATTGTTTGGAATACGAGATCCTTCCACGGGTAAACAAAGGTCAAGACTATTTTCATAGTAACACTAGGAAAACTTCTGCCTTTTGTACTCTCTCTCCTTGAGGGTGCAGTGGAGTTTTATAGAAGAAGCTCAATACGATGATGTCATCCCCAAAGCTACTGTAACATGGGCTTATACAGTCATGAGTTCAAAATTTTCTCAGTTTTTAATTTCTAATATGATAAGATCAGTAGATATAACTCACATAAACAAAAGCTCTTTGGGTTACTTAATAACTTTTTTTGAGACAAGGACTCACTATGTTCTTCAGGTGATCCTCCTGCCCCAGCCTCCCAAGTGCTGGGATACAAGTATGCACCACCACGCCTGGCTGCTATTTAATAACTTTTAAGAAGGTGAAATAAAAGGGATTGTAATATCAAAATATTTAAGAACCATTCATTGCTCTAAAATATTTTCACAACTGCCATAGCTGAGTCTTCTATGTAAAATACATGTTCCATGTGCTTAAGAAACAGGCAGCTGAGACTACACACACCCTACAGAAACTCCTACAGAACAAGAGGAACGACTGTTTCAGAGTCGGTTTAGGATTCACTGAAACTGTATGTGAATTGCTTGGTAGAGGTCCTGGGATACAGCACAATAAATGTTAAGCTGTTTTCACTGCTTCTGTTATAAGTTATTCTTACAGAATATTTATGTATGTCATATTAGACTCCTCCAGGAACTTGACAAAGGTGTAGTAAGTAAAATCATGTTTTTCTTTTTTTAATAAAAAATTGGCTTATTTTTATTCTTTTCTTTTTTAAGAATAAAAAACAAAGCCAGATGGGCATCACACTTGGCGTGACATTTCACTAAAGTCATGCTACTCACCCCTTCTTGTAAGCGTTTAATTATCTGATAATTTATCCTAAATGTAGACTAGGAATGATGACTGGCTTCAAGTTTGACTGTCTGTATTTCCTATGAATCACCTCTTCCCTTCTCTGTAAATTGGTCATTGTTGATCTCTGACACCTCTTCTACTTGTCAAAAGACATTCACCAACAATGGATGACAATCACATTTGCTAAATTTTCAGAATAATGTAATTTATATAAATCTAAAAGCTTAAACTCACTTGAAGTCTAGCTGCTCTGTAATTATTTCCTGTCCACTCTATACTTTAATTCCACCTTAATAATGTTTCCCTACCTTTCCAGTTTGAAAACCATTTCCCTCGGCAGAGAAAACAAACACAGAAAACTTTCCACTTCCTCATTCACTATCACAATGTCTGCTACTTGAATTGGTCTTCTCCTTTTTCTCCCTTTGTTGGAATACATAATTTTCTATTCATTCTCTGTAAAATGACTTTTCAGCTTAGAGGCAGAAAATAAATATATTAAAACTTTACTTTGTAAGAAACCTCAAATACTTTACCTTTATAACATTCTACTTGGTTCAAGTCTAGTATTACCAAAAATACCTTAATAGCCAGAACCTATTAGAAAAATCATTCCATCTGTTCCATGAATGGCTCTACATGACAGTAAATCTGTCTTAGCTTTTCGTCATTCGTTAAATCTAACAGGAAAGGACTTGAATCAATCACTCAATTTTAAGTAGGCCAACAAGCTATAAAATCTTTCTCCCTAGGTATCTGATTTGGAACAAAATTAACCACTAAGGTAAATGTTCAATGTCTTAGTATTAATTTCCCAACCCAACAAACCCTTAAAATTCTTTTGTCTTATTTTGAAAAAACTTTCTATCTTCCAAAGAATGGAAAAGTGAAGTAAGAAAGCTTCCAGCTTAATATTTACCAGAGTACACAGGAACCAAACTGCTAAGAGCTATCCATTGAAGTGAAAGTCTTACTGCTAAAGCACACTTTTTAATCTTCCTACACTCTGTAACGTATCACAGACTTAAAACCAATCAGCAAACTATTATTTATACATTTTCCCAAATATAAAATAAATTGTGCAAAACAAACTGTGACCAAGACAACTAGGAATTAGTGCTGTATGTTTGCTGGAAATACAGTCTCGGTCTTCTCTCAGGGACAGTGAAGCTAGCTACACTTCTGGCCACTGTACTTTCTGACCAAAGCACTAATCAATGACTACTCTACCTGATACATCAAAATAACTCAATTTTCAACCTAAACCATCAATATGAAGAATAAAATGTTTAACAACCACTAGGTATTTTAATATAGGATAGCTTATTTAATGGTGAGTCAAATTTAAAATGCTTTGATCAGCTTTTAGATGGATACACAAACTTTGCATTTCAAGAAGTTATAGGCAAACCCTCCTGTCTGCTTCCCCCTCACAGTAAGGGGCAGTGCAAGCCTCTCTGGTCACAAGGTGATGTATTTCTCTATAATTACACTTAACAATCCTCAGTGCTGCATAGTATTTTCCAAAGTCCTAATTCCTCTCAAAACCTGAAAAAGCAGATATTAGTAGAACACTGATAAAATCCAAATGAAGTATCGCAGTTTAGCTGACAGTACAGTATCATTCTTAGTTCTGACAAATGTGCTATGGTTGTGCTGACATTCAGGAAAGGTAAGTAAAGGATATATGCAAAGAACTCTATGATCTTTGAAATTTTCTATAAATCTAAAATATTTTAAAATTAAGTTTCCTTTAAGGGATGGCCCTCTGGGCAGCTTAAGTGAGACCCTGTCTCATAACTTTAAAAAAGGGCTGGGGATATAGCTTAGTGGTACAGCGCTCCTAGGCTCAACCCTCAGTACCAAGCTAACAAATGACTGAACACAAATACTGCCTTAACTGTAATCTTTATCCTCATATCTAAGCATTCGAAAAGATATTAACATATTTCAATTAATATCCTGTTGTAAATATAAAGATTTTTTTTTTTAAGAAAAAGATCTTGTTTCCCTTCCTAGCCGTCTCTCCCTCTAGAAAAAAAAATTTCCTGTTTTATAGAACTCCAGAGATTACCATTTCTTTCCTGGATTATGATAACAAATGTACTATAATAAATTTAACTGAGCTCCTTGTCTCAATCAGCCACACCTCAGATGCATCTTTCACAGAATATATCACCTCTCTTTAATCTTTCAGCAAGTATGCCCAGCCCCTATCGGACCTACTGAAGACATCAAAGGTTGCTTTTTGCCTCTATCTTAGTCTTACCTACTGCAACTACATCCTCAGGCTCTATACGAAGCTATTAGATTTTCCCTGAATATTTCACAAGAAATATTTTCATGCACGCATTCCCTTTGCCAGAAATTCTGACCTACCACATCTACTAATCTTTTACTAGTATTTGGGAAATACTTCATTCGCAGAGCTTTCTAATTCCTCTACTTGGACAAATCACACTTCCTACCATCTTCAGCACTTCTGGGCCTTGTATCAAATTATTACCGCAAGCAGCACGTTATGTTGCAATTACTTACTCCTGTCTCTCTCTCTCCTAGATTACAAGCTGCTTAAAGGCAAGGACTTGGTTTTATCTAACTTTGCATCTCCAGGAGTAAAAGCAGCATTCTATACACTAAGAAATAATGTTAAAACACTTTCTAAATGGTGTAGTGGGGCTGGGGATTTAGCTCAGCGGTAAAAGCGCCTGCCTGGCAAGCGTAAGGTCATGAGTTCGGTTCCCGGTACCGGAGAAAAACCAAAAAAAAAAAAAGGTGTAGTGATAATATTATATATATGATGATGATTTATAAATATTATTATGGACCAATTATGCTCATGTAAACTGTACTCTCTTTCAAAGATTTGGAATATCTGAGCTAAATAAAATTCTTTTTACTTTATGGATCTGATCTAACAGCTTATCTTTTAAAGACTTTTTGTTGGTTTTCTAAGTTGTGCTTTAAGAGTTTAAATTTGAGAGGAATGCATCAATTTTCTTAGCCTATTCCTAAAAATAAACAGGGGTAAAGAACACTTAGAAGGAAACTGAAATTAAAAGTCATCCTTAACTGAAAACAAATAACTAAGATTTAATGGGAGTAAATACGAGGTCTCTGGTAACACAATACACAGGACTACCTCCTCTAACATTTCTGTCTCCAGAGAAAGCTGTCTATCTAGTGTCCTCTCCCTGCCCCTTCCTCTCACTTCCACAGCACCACCCCTTCGATTTTACAGGAGCTCAGTCTCCGACTCTCTTCAAGCAGTAAATATAGTGGCACCTGCCTGCAATTCTGACATTCTGAGCAGCCGAGACCAGAGGATCGCAAGTTTAAGCCTAACTGGGGCATTTTAGTGACTCAGCAATACCCTGTCTCAAAATAAAAAACTGGCTTGGGCTGTAACCCACAGAGGGAAGATCCCAGGCTCCACTTCCCGGATGCCCTCCCACACATGAGCATAGCTACCCTGCTATAAAATAGCCTTCTGGAACTGAATTATATGCTGATGATCTATTAGGAAAATTCATAGGGTAACTATTCCCTGAAGAACAAGTTTGTCAGGTATCAAATTATATTTGCCCACTTTCTTTGTATTTTTGTAAATACTTGTTATAAAATGCTGTAGTCACAAAAAGAAAAGAGTATATATTTTAGAGGGTTTGTACCAAGCTCAAACAAACAAGCTCCTCAGCCTTTGTAAAATGATTTGGTAATGAGAAAGAACCCAAGAAATCATGTTCCTTCTGAGACTAAATCTGACGCTCCTGGACCAAGCAATATGGTACACCAAAAAGACGTCAGGCTACCATCTGCAGAGCCAGACTTAAAAGCCCAGTGCCAACAGTGAGAAGTCACCTATCCAGCACTTCATTTTCTCATCTGTAAAGAGATGGGCTGACACCCACAGGCCTAATCATTAAGCATTCCATATTACAAATTGAGCTGAGACTGGACTTTAACTAGGGAATAAGGAAAGAACCTCTGCAGAAGAAAAGAGCTAGAAAAAAAGAAGATCAATCACTCTTCTCTCTGCCACTTGCTCTTATATAATTTTCATCAGTAATACCAGTTACAGAGTGGAATCATCTATTTAACCCAGTATTTCCTAATCTTAGATTATGACAGTAAAAGAATATATTTCTTCTGAAAAAATGACCCTAACTTCATCTGTTCTACTTTTTTTTTGTATTCGTTACATTTGGAGCAAAGTAAAATAAAAACAAGTTGATGTTAAGCTTTCTTAGGCATGTTATTTGTAAAATGGAAATAATATCTACTATGGCATAATTTTGTTAACAGTGTTACTCAAAGGTCAAATGAGGCGCTACTTTAAAAAAAAAAAACTTTAGTAGCAGTAGCAATGGCAGCAGTAACAGTTAATATTCACTAAGCATACATCATGTTCTAAGCACTATTCTTGGCGTTTTATATAAAACCTCATAGCTATCCATCACACAGATATCAGCAGCCTTGTTTTATAGATGAAGAAACAGAGACACAGAGTGACTAAATAATTTGCCATAAGGATACTGTATAAATGAACAGGGATATACCAGAATAACAGGTAGGCTTTGAGTGTCCCATAGTGCTGGAAGACTCAGACCAGGTTTAAGAAATACTTTTAGATCAAGGACCCCAGGAAAATAGAAAAGCTTTCCTTTAACCTTAAGCTAGGCACAGTGGTACCTGTAATACCAGCTACTTAGCAGGAGGATCACAAATCTGACGCCAGCCAGGGCAACTTAGCAAGATGCTATCTCAAAATTTAAATATGAATTTAAAAAGCTGGGGATACACTTGAGCATGAAGGTTCTGGGTTCAACACCCAGTACCACAAAAATGACAGTACAAAACCCCTCTCTTTAAAAGACCACCCCACCCCTGGGATGTAAAACTTTGTAATGCTTCCTCAGTGGAGTCTCAGTAGGTCATCTCGTTAGGACCAACAGCAGTAAAAGAAGCTGTTTTGAAGTGGCAATTTTACTACGTTGGCACAAATCAATTATCTGCACTATAAATGTAAATGATTTTAAGAGCCTGCTTCTCTGAGCTGATACAGTAACTGCCCTGGCTGAGTCTGCTCCTTAACATAAAAACAAATGGAGAAAGCGTGTTAGGTGGCTGTGTGAACCGCTTGCCATGAAAGTAATATAAAACTGGCTGTTAAGGAACACATTCAAAATGTTTAACACTGACCTATTCCTATGTGAAAGGGGTCAGTAAATTCCTTAAATTATCCATTAAACCTACTCCTATCTTTAGCTTTTCACAAACTGGCAAGACAAGGGGGCAAATTTCCCCGCTTTTTTATCTGGAAGAAGAGGAATAGTGTGTTTTGACTTTGGGTCATACGAAAATGGGAACCTGCAATTCTGTCTTCCTGTCACTGTAGTACACTGGACCTAAACTGAAAGATTTGTTTTTGTTTGTAACACATTCTCCAGTCTTCCTTTTAGAATAAACTAAAAAAGAACGAGGTCACAGTGTTAAGACTCACAGCTGTATACAGAAGTGACTGGAAAAACAAGTTTTTATTTGTTTTGAGAGACAGGCTCTCACTATATACTTTAGGCCGGCCTTGAGCTCACTATGCAGCCCAGGCTGGCCTCTAACTTGTGGCACTTCTCCTGCCTCAGCCACCTGTGTGCTGGGATTACAGGCATGTGCCACCACGCCTGGCAGAAAAACAACCTTCAACTGAAGGAACTGCTATGGAAAACTACATAGGGAACCTCTCTGGGTCCTGCCCCAAACGAAACAACAGGGGACAAATTCGGTGTCTAAGATCTCTTTAGAGGCAGAAGAAAAAATTACTGAAATAATTACAGTTCCTACTCCTTTGGAGAAAGTGAAGGAAAGGGATGAGGTGTACACTTCTGAGGCCAGAAGAACAAAATACATATAAAAACTTTCAGATAAGAACATAACAAGAAGACATGTTCCTGACTGAATTCCCCCGCGTCTGTAAGGGCAACTAACTAATGGTGCACGCGGACCTCTACTTCGCCATGGAAAGATTACCCACAGAAGTCAGTTCTCCCTTGCCAGTTTCCTCACTGAAACCACGCCCAGAACTCCCAAGTCCCAAGACTGTAATATTGGTTAAGAACTTAAGACACTAGGCCCTAAGTAAACATTACATTATGAGAAAATATCCAACCTTCAAAACATGAAGAAGTACAGACCCTGGCATTGGAGCTAACTTTATTTTGTTACATGAATTAGGTCATGGAATCATTACTGCTTTTTGAAAGGGAAACAAACAATGTACCTGAGATAGCTTCCAAAATAAGCGACAATATTTGGGTGTTTACAGTCTTTCATCATAATAATTTCTTGCTGCACAACTGCAAAGTCTTCCCCTAGAGTAAAAAACAAGCATGTTAAGTATTTAGTAGGTAGGAGAAGTTTTAAAATGCGCACTTATTTCAAAACACAGTAAGAAGAAAATTACACTGATGAATAAGCATAATTAATGCGTTATGAAGAAAGCACAGCCAGTAAGTTACTAACATTCTTTTAATAACAATGTCAGTCCTGATCTGAGAAAAAGTATGATTGAAGGCATCAGCACAGTGACTCGAAGTATGGACTTTGGCCCCAGACTTTCTGGGTTCAGATCCTAACTCTATTCCCCTGTTAACCTGTGTAAGCTTGGGCAGATCACTTGACTTTGCTGAATCAATTTCCTACCCAGTAAAACAGTAATTTCATAGGGGTGATGTAAATCTGAAGTGAATTAATACTTGGAAAAGTTCCTAGAAAAAAGTAAGCTCTCTATTAGAATCAGAATAACTTATTACCAAGAAATATACATTACTTTTTCCTCTAGTACTAAATAGTATTTACTTCAATTTCTGTGCAAATAAGTAGTTCACTTTAAAGTCAGAGCAGGACTCCTTATACAGAGTGTGTCCAATTTCCACAGGCCCCTGGTGGAGAGGGGCCTGTGTCAGCAGTACCGGGTTAGCAGACGGCCCACATGCGCAGGCCTATCCTGTACTTAGTGCTTAGCTCCCACTGGGTCGGGATGCAGAGCGGCATTACATCTGAGACCAGTCAAAGAATCAGCAAAGAATCCCTCTCCTGCTCCCATCCAAATTCTTCAAAATAGGATCAGCAATCCCATAGCACAGTCACATGTTGCAGCTCCTGAAAGAACACTTGTCACGGAGAGAAACAGAAGTGCAGGGAATGCAAATGTGGTGAATCAGAGACCGACAGAAAGAGAACAAGTACAACAACGCACATGTAAACCAAAGCAGCATTACTAATTCAGTTTTTAAAGTAATATATTCCGTGAACAGCCAGACAGAATGTGCACAGGTGGCAAAGCCAAAATCTGAAGGATATACCAACCACTGTCAAGGCGTTAAGAGGCTGGGCGAAGCCCAACATTTCTGGCCTTGGCCATTTCCTACTGGGACTAAAACCAAGAAGTGAATTAACCCAGCCTAGAGCCGCCTGAACCTGTTATCAAAACGCTCCTCACTGTCCCAGTCACCAGAGAAGACGGCAAGGGGCAGAGAAGGTACGCCAGGTTCTCAGTAATGATGTGAGCTTAAACAAATTCTCCAAATGGAAAATGGAACTTTTATATTTTCAAAAATTCAGAGTATCTCTGAACTAGCATCCTGCTATGAGGTCATCTATCACTGCTAAGACTCCTGATTAACAATATGTTAAGAAGAAAAGTTAAAATAATAAAGTCATAATGAGGTTCGAGGCCAGCCTGAACTGCATAGTGAGACCCTGTCTCAAAAAGACAAAATCAAAAAACACTTGATAAATGTAACATTTTGTAGACTGAGGTGTAGGTCACTTTTAAGCATCAGTGATTAGTTAGAGAGATTAGAAACTGGCTGGAAGGAAATAGGAGGGGGAGTCTATCAGCTCGCCAAGCTCTGTGTTTGTTTTTACTTTTCAAACAAGGTCTCACTGTACAGTTCAGGCTGGCCTGGACTCAATCATTATGTATTCCAGACTGGCTTTGAATTTACCTCGATCCTGCTGCGATTACAGGCCTGGACCACCACCACGCCAGGCTTCTAACTGGTTTTTCCTCTGTGACCTACATCTGAGTCCCCATTCCCCACCCCAAACCCCCAATCCCACCACTGCCTTTTTTTGAGACAGAGTCTCATTAAGTCATTAGATTGCTCAGACTGGACTCAAACTTTGCAACCCTCCTGCCTCAGCCTTCTGGGTAGCTGCAATTACAAGCATGTATCATTGCACCCTGCTGAGTTACAGTTTTAACTGGGTTCTGCCGTTCCTGTATTACTACCAGTCTAACGAGCAGTAAGTGGACCTGTACCTACTGCCAGGCCTATCTTCCCTTGGAGGGCGTTCCCACAAGGGACGAGGCAAGAAGGATGAAAGCAGAGTAGCGGAACTGTGCTCAGTGCGACAGCCTGGTTTGCCTTAGTGAAATGAGGGCACACATCAGGACCACTCCAAGGGCTTAAGGAGCCAGCCACAAGTCCTAGGTGTGTATGTCCATTTCGCCAGAGGGAATTGGATGAAGACAGCCTGCTGGATCACCGGATCACTCACCAGAGATCTGAAAAGGCACCCGTGTTCTGTCCACTTTGCTGTTTCCTACCAAATGAGAATCCAGGCACCTTCAGTGGCAAGTTACGACATTTGCAAGTTAACTGTACTCTGTTTTATAATGATTTCATAGACTTTAATATCATTGAGGAAGCTCTTCTCCGAAGAGCCTCAGACCAGTTACTTCTTAAATATGTCAATCACTCGGACACCACATAATTTTACAAATAGGAAGGGGAAGGGGAACATTCAATTCTACCATTTCAGACATGGCTTGAACAATTGGAGGGAAACTGTCAGTGCTTGATGGGGCAGAATGAACAACCAGCTATATGTTATATCATGGTTCTATTGCATTCAAAAATTTCATTTTGATGGTTTGAATGTTTTATGTTTTATGTATTTTCTTGGAGACTGGGCTCCATCAGTTATCAATATATGGAAGAAACACAGGCTGAGTAGTAAGGTGGAGAATCTCTATTGCAAATTGCATGACCTTAGGTGTAATGCTACATATTAACAACTACCATCATGGTCAGGCATGGTAACTAATCTTTGTTCTACGTAAGAAGACGGACAGTGAAACAATGCAGATATTCAAGGAATATGGAACGTGTTCCAATGCTCTTGTTCTAGCCTCTAACAGAGTAACATGAACAATCTCGTATGGGAATAGAACAGGACAATTTTGAAGTCAACAAAGATCACTGAACCAAATTATATTATGTAATACTGTAACAAAAACATTTTGTGTTAGCAACAGAAAGTCATAATGAGACTAATACCAATTTTCATACGAACAGTAAATAGTTTGGAAATTATTTTGTTTTGCCACCCACACTGAAATTACACTCTTCTGTAATCCAGTGAGAGGTCACACATCAAGTTGGACTTAAGAGTAAACCCATTTTCTCTTGCTGGGTGGATGACAGAGCTCTCCTGCGGGGAGTAGGCCTAGGAGTCATTAGCAGTCACCATGCAAAGGGAGCCCACCAAGAACAAAGTTATCCATGAAAAGCACTGAGGAGAGACAAGAAAAAAGGAGCGCACTGAACAGCGAAACTGCAGTGAGCTTCACCTGGCTCTGTGACTTTCAGGTGTCTCTGTGCATGACCGAAACTCCCCGTATCGTTTAAGCCACCTCTGAGACAGAGGTGCACATCACAGCCCTTGTCACACCACATCCGTATCTGCGTGTCTATGTTCTCACTAGAACACAAAGTCCTCTAAGACAGAACTATCTTAATTGTGTTTGTACCTTAGTACCTAATATGTAACAGAAAGAACTGTTGATTGAATAAATCTATGACAACATATAATTCCTTACTGTGATGACCATAAATCGAGCCCATCAGCTTTTGGTTTACTTTTATACAATTATGAGCATACTTCATATAGTAAATAGCTTATTACTCTTTTGATTTCTTTTCAAACTAATAGAGACTTTTGGGGGCGGCTGAGACAAGGTTTCACTATGCAATTCAGGCTGGCCTTAAACTCACTTTGTAGCCCGGGCTTGTCTTGAACTCACAGCCATCCTCCTGCCTCAGTCTCCTGAGTGCTGGGATTACTAAAACTAGTCTTCAACTACAGCTTTTTTCACAAAATGTTGTTGATTTAAAGTGCATAATTTTTTCCTATTAAGTCAATTCTGTGTAAGGGCCAAAGTAAATTCAGTATTTTATGGGGAAAAGAGGCATTCAGTTTTTTAAGGTAACTGAAAATGTAAACTCAGCAAAAAAGAAGTGCGGTACATTAGTAATCCAAAGAAGCTGAAGAGTTGATTTAAATAATTTTCTTTAAAGCTCATGAGAAACATTCTGAAAATGAATAGGGGTTCAAGAAAAATTTGCTAGCCTGCTTAAGTGGGCTACTGTACAGCAGAAGGGTAAACTAGATAATCCCCAGAGCCTTTTTCCAATTCTGATAATATAGGATTTCTTGAAATTTTAGACATTAAAGTGAAAAATTCATCTTCCACAAGATGTGCTCCCCGCCTCCTAAAAAATTGGAGGGGCAAGACAAACTTAAAAGTAGAGCACATATTAAATTAATTAAACAAGAATGAGCACATTAAATGCACAGGCGACAAAAGCAAAAACAGGTATGTGAGACTGACTCAAACTCAAATCTTGCACAAAAAAGGAAATGATCAGACTAAACAGGCAAGCTATGGGATAGGACAAAATATCTGCAAACCATGTATCTGAAAAAGGATTAACATGCAAAATATATAAAGAACTCTTGCAACTCAATGGAAAACAAGCAACAATCAAATAACTTGATTAAATAATGAACAAAGTATTTGATATATCTTATCCTGATCTAATCACGTCACCACGTATACATATAGTGTATCAAAACATATTGTATACCCATAAATATACATAATTTTTATTTGTCAATTTTATACTAATAATGCTGAGAATTTTTTAAAATGAGCACAAGAACTTGAACTGACACTTCTCCCAAGACACACAAGTGGCCAACAGGCATGTGAGAGACCTTCAACATCGTCAAGGGTCAGAGACATGCGCATCAAAACCACAGCGGGTCTCACTTCGCACCGGCAGGAGAGTCATTATTTAAATAAAAACAAAAACAAAACCAGAAAACAAGTGCTGGAGAGGGCATTAAGAAACCGAATCCCTTGTGCACTGTTGACAGAATGTCAAATCATGCAGCTTCTATGGAAAACAGTGTGGAAGTTTCTCAGAATATTAATATAAATACCTTAAGCCTAGCAACCCCCTTACAGACAGATACCCAAGAGATCTGAAATCAGAACGTCAAAGAGGTATTTGTGCCC